GTAGTTTCAGCTATAGTCCCTATACTATATGATTTATAAGACATACGCCAGCCTATTCGGCTAAACCATTCTACTAAGCTATGATTGTGTTTTATGTTGTTTTTAGACCCCCCAACCCCATATAACACTTCGAAAGGGGGCTTGTGACAACAGTATCACAGGTTGGGAAAAGTTTAAGACCAAATAGAAGAACAACAAGTTCAAAAAAGAAAAACATACAACAGAAGGGATTCGCTGGTGGTCACCCACCCAACTACTAACCTCCCGGCGTGTGGCTTGAGTACGGCTGAGCGGACGGGAAGCCCTATTTTCCACACCCTGTGGTCGTATGTGGTGTTTTCTTCCTTGCTAAAGTATATAATAACCCAAAAAGAGTGCAAGAGAGAACTGCGCGGCAGCCAGCAGTTAGCACTCTGGGAGCCCGGAAAATAGATCCGAGATTCGCGATCTTGTGGGTGAGGAGTTGAAACCACTACTAACCTTAAATGAGCTTCGCCCGGTCGACCGTACAGAGCGGATCGCCATTTTAGATGAGCCTTTTTTTTCCATCAAAAAAAAAAAAAAAAAAAAGGACCTATGTGATAGTTGTCAGGCACCTGACGATTCTCGAGGATTGAGCGGATGGAGCATCTTTCTCTTCTCTCTTCTATCATTTTTCCCTCTCAGGATATATGCCCTTTCGATTCGTCTATACGGTGCCACCTATCAACACACTCGGTGTTATCAACTGCAGGGGTTTGCACAAATTCTATCTTGTGAAAAAGTAACAGCAACTCGGACATTGCATCGTTGCATGTATTACAGCGCAGGTCATAAATGGAATATATTATATCATACAGGGAATTACTTTTGCTCGTCAAGGGAGGAGGGGTTATTTCTACCATTCACAATGCAGCACCTCGTTCGCGGACTGCCAGCCTTCCGCGCACGTGGTTCCCACTGCCAGGTCGGTATAGCAGGTCGCATCCCGGAACCCATCACACACAAAGGTGCCCACTTGCGCCTCGTTGGAACCGGACGATTGGCTTGCCGGCAGATCCGTACCCTTGTAGGTGCAGGTGGACCCGAAAGCCTTGAAGCCGCCCGTCCCGTCGCGCATCCCCTGGAAGGCGCCGTCCGTCATGACGAAATTCGGGGTCTGGACCTCCGGGCACATGTCCGGACTCGGGCCGTGCTCGTAGTACTGGTACAAGTCCCATTCCCCGGCGCCCGTGTGCGCGTCGTGGTAGTAGCTGATGAGGACGCGCCCGGCATCGGCACCGTTGCTGGGGGCGCTGCCGGACGCGGTCCCCGTCCCCGTGGCTGTGGCTGTGGCCGTGGCCTCAGGCCCGCTGATCACCTCCAAGGGGCCAAACATCGAGGAGAGCTCGGCTTCCTATGACATGGCAATGCGGATGTCCTCGTCGGGCTGCGGCGTGATCTCCGGCCATTGCTCCATGGTCACCGCGAACCCTGGGGCGGGTGTGTCGGTGGTCGTCGTCGAGGTCGCTGTGACGGAGCACCCGGTCGTCGTCGAGCAGTCCCAGTCGCAATCGGACCCGGCCACGCAGACGGTCGAGCAGATCTTCGCCGTTTCGGTGCTGCAGTCCTCGTCGTCGGAGCTGTCAGAGCCACTGCCTCCACCACCACCGCCGCCACTACTGCCGCCACCGCCGTTGACAGCGTTGCTCCAGTCCGGCGCACACCCCAGGCAGGGCCCATTGCAGAACGCAGCACACTTGTGACCAGCGCCCTTGCTACCTTTGCTTGTGGTGGGCTTGGCTTTTCCGGACGACCAGATTGTGGGTACGGTGTTGAGAACGGGATCCTTTGTAGGCTGAGACCATGGATACGGGGGTGGTGTGAGGGTGGTGGTGGTACTGGTTGGAGTCGGGCCATAAGGTGGTAGGACTTGCACCACGAGAGGAAGGTCGAGACTAGTCGTCATGGTTATAGTTGTAGTCGTTACACTGGCATTGACATAAAGCCCCCACATAGGAATAAAACCAGTAATGACTGGAAGTGAAAGTCAGCTGAGAGAGCATGAGGGGTAAAGGACGGTGGGTTACATACTAGGTGGCAGAGCAACGGTGATGTTGGTCGTAGTAGTCTCGTATCCATAGTGAGTTGTGACCTGGCCATCTCCGCCGGTTGAGGTATTGCTTATCACGTAGCTTCGTGGGACCTTGGTTGTCCAGGGAGGAAGATGGATGGTTGTTGGCTCATCGAGAGGCAGGGGTGGGAAAATCAACGAGCAGGGAGGATAACACTGAACCACTGGCGAAGGATCATGCCAGATTGATGGTGCAAGATAGACATCGCCATCTCCGGACCCTGAAGCAGACCCCGAGCCAGACCCTGATTCGCCGGAGCTCTCCGTTTTTGGCGCACACGCGCCTTCGGGACAGTATCCTCGCTGACAGGTATACTCGCATAGAGGACCGTAGATGGCAGGATCCTGACCAGGGGCTGCCTCGCCCACCACGTCGGTGGTGGGATTCATGACGTTGACTGCTCCCTGGCCTGTGCAGGTACAGGCGTTCATTGGGCAAAAGCCATGGGTGCAGCTGAAGTCACAAAGGCCTGCCAAGTTACCTTCACCCGTGCCTGCCGTGCATGCTGGAGGAAGAAATGGAGAAACCGAGGGTGTGGTCAAGGGAACTTGCTCAGTTCCGCAGGCCGTCGGCGGGCAGAAGCCAAGATTGCAGTCGAAGTTGCACAGTCCACTATAGCTAGCATCTTCTCCTGCGATAGGATATCCTACGACACCTGTAGAGTTGGGCTTCTCGTGGCCAAGTCCCATTTGTGTACACGTACAGGCGCCGAGGGGACAATAGGCGTACGTGCAAGAGAATTCACAAAGACCAGCAAAGTTGTTGGCCCCCGTCCCATTCATACAGCTCTGCTCAGAAAGAAGCAGCTTTGGCCTAGCAGACACTGTAGTCCCTGCTGTAGCACTGCCGACCCAGGCATTCCAATTTTGAATTCCATTGGGGCAGCTTGCTGAGATCTCCTTTCCTTCGATGGTAGCAATCACTTTGTTGTCACGAAGCAACGATACGGTTACTGGTCCCGTACGGCCGTCAAAGGCGACACTGCCATGGTAAACCCCGACATCGTCATCAGGAACCGAGGACCATCCAACTGTCTGAGATGACCCTCCGATTGTTACTACAGCCCCGGAGAACGAGCCAAGCACTGCAGAGAAGAAGATACGATCCTGAACCATCTCCGCAGGTGGGAACTCAATTTGGAGTTGGGATGCAGTATTGCCGCTAGTGCCCCCGCTGGCACACGCAGCAGCAGGAGATAGTCGATACCAAGCCACGATGCTTTCTTCTGTAACCTCAGCAGTCTTTGTCTTGTACATATCGATCCAGAAGGGCAAGGTGGCTCGCCAGCCGTCATGAGGCATATCAGTCACATAGTTGAACGGTGCCTTTCCAATATCAAATGCTTCCATAGCCTTGTCGTAGAGCGGTCCAATATAGTGGGACTCGCCATAGTCATTCCAGGAGATAATCTCCACAAACTCCGGCTGGACGTAGAGTACCTCTTGCCAGCGATCATGCCACAAGTGGTCTCCGCGCCAGATCCAGTTCTTTTTGTACCCAGGAAGATTGGTAAAGAACCAAGGAGAAACGGGCATCATATAAGGCAATCCAGCCAAGTATTGAAGATAGGACGCATCGATATAGGTGTTCATATCCTCAGAGCCCCAGGGCCAACCGGCCCAGCTGAAAAGCCCATCCACTACTCCAGTTTCTACTGCAGGCTTGGCTCCGAGGGATGACCAACTTGGAATAAAAAAGCATCCAGTAGCGGCCTTGATCGAAGGCCAGTCATCTGCTCGACCTGGTCCTTCAAAAGTGGAGACAAATGCCTGTCCATCGTGAAAGAAATAAGAAGAATGAGCGCTGTACTGAGTTATCAGGTTGATAACATCGGTCTTTGGCCAGTCACCGTTTCCAGCGTAATCAAAGGAGAAGAAAAGCTTGAAGCCAACCGAGTCAGCCGCTGCAAATGCAGCAGGAAGAGCCTTGATATTCGTCGGATCATTGTACGCCATGTTCAAGGCGAAGGCATCAATGTGGGCATCTTGTGCCAGCTTCATATCATTCTTCCAGTCATCGGACGTGTAGTTGGCTGAGTTCGTGACCTGAACCCACTGTCAGGAGATGCACAATAACTAGGGTGATTGAGATATGTACCATAAAATGCGCGAAGACAGCGGCCGCCTGCACGCGGCAGGCAAGAAAGAGAAGCGCGATCCAAGCCAGGATAGAGTCCATGGCTGGCTATGGGGTGATGGCAGGAGTATGTCTGGGAAGGTATAACTATCCATGGTACCATGTCTCCTAATATAGGAATAGAAGACCCCCTGTCAAAGGTCCGCTGGCTGACCGATTTCCTGCGCTTGGGCCGAAGTCCGTTTCGATAATCAACATCGGTTTAGCTTCGAATTTCGGTGATGATTCTCCACCCGAGAGGCATATTACTTACTCAGTGCTCCTCTGTGGTATTACTCCATCGCGAGGATTTCTTAGTGCTTTGAGACCAATTCGTGGAATGAGGTCAATACTCAAGTGGGTCAACTAGTTCGCAACTAGCGGCGAACTTCCGGCTGTTGTTCCTAAGCGCAGCATTTCGCAAGTGCTTGGCATTCAACGGAGATAGCATCGCTTCCTCTACATGGATTTCAGAGAGAATCTCTCATCACGCTAACGAAACCAATTACCCTTGGTGAAATGACTCTGAAAAGACATTGACGTTGCCTAGCACAGCGGGTGCTTAGTGCCGGATACCGATTGTGATTGTTCAAGCACAACATGAGTTGTATTGACCTCCCAAAAACTCGTGTGTTTTGTTGTTGTATACTCTACATTGATTTGCCTTGACGACACATGAAAAGTAAAGCTTCCTGGAAATTGTTTGCGACCATATACATTGATAAGCACAGGTCATGATGCAATCTTTGCCCTCGAAATTCCCACAATACAATAATTTCCACCGCAACGTCTCAATGGTGATGTTCGTGTCTATGGCGAAAGATTTCACGCCTCGCACGGGGCTAGAGAGAGGGGCAAGGTTTACCATTAGCCATGATTGCAAGTGGAGACAATTTAATAGGGGAAAAGCGTACCAAGGTAGCACTCTCTGAAGGGATCTGATTTTTGCTCGCAGCAGCGGAGGAGGATGCAGTGGGAGATGCAGTGGGAGATGGAGGTAACCGAGACTCGGGGTTCGGCTCGCATCCGCCAAATGTGAAGCCAATGTTGTCCGAAAGGCTCAGTGCTTTGGTGCGGTGCAAGTCACACTGGCCTGATTGGTCAACATAAAGCCAGGCTTGGCATGCCTTGACATTTCGGCACCAGTTCTGGCATTCAGTGGCGGTGGCGATCTCGAAGCTGAAGGTGACGGGCGCGCTGTTGAAGTAGGCGACTGTCTCGTTGTACACTGAGTTCTGACAGCCAGCCAAAGCTTCCACATTCGAGAATGCCAGAGCAGCCATGAGCATGAATGAGCGGATAGGAGTCATCTTGTTGAGAAGTTCACTGAGCGAGGATAGAGATTGTGAAGCCGGATCAATTAGGGATGAAGTGGAGAGTATATGAAAATCTTTCCAAGTAGTGCTCCGGAGGGCCTTTGGAAGTCGTCTTTTCTTGGCGCGCTGTCGGAGCCGAAGACAGAGTCATTCTACTAACTATATAAACACAGACGCTACGGATTAAGCTAGTCATGTACATAGCAGGCCAAGGGGGTCTGTATAGAGCCTTTTCTACTGTTAATAATAGTAGTATTTAGTTATAAAAAATAATTATTGGTTATCATATAGTTATAATACAGTTATAATACAGTTATAGTACAGTTAGAATACAGTTGTAGTAGTAAAAAATAGTTTTAAAATAATAAATATTATTATATAATAGAAAGAGTATATTACAGAACTGTATATAACTGGTATTAAAAATAGATTATTTAATAATTAATTTTAATACTAATAGTTATTTTAAATATTATATAAGTTTCTTATAATTTATTTTTATATTAGATTAGTTATCTTTCTATTCTTTAACAGTAGTCTAAGAAGTAATAACAGTACTATTAAGATTTTTAAATATATAAAATATTATTTTATAATATAAAAATAATAGAAATCTTTATAATACTTTATATAAAGTTAATATTCTATATATACTATATTAAAACTATTAAGATTAGAAAAGTACAAGCAGACTTCTATAAAAAATCTAATATAAATATTTTTTTAATATTAGAATCAGGGCTTATTAGAGCCTATTTACTTAAATATTTAAAGTAAAAAAATACTAATAAAAAATCTTTTTAAATCGCTTGTAAAGACTTTATAAAAAAAAATATAAAATATTAATAACTAAGATAGTATATAACTCCACAAGAAAGATAGAATAGAGTAGAATAATATTAAATAAATAATCGACTATAAAGTAGATAGAAACTAATAAATATTAGTAAGTATAATATAAAGAATATAAAAAATTATAAACTAACTGTTTAGAAATTCTAATATAACTCTAAAAAGATAGTATTATATTATTATACTGGATTAGAATATCCTAAGAGTATTCTGTTAAGTATACTAGTAAAAATATCTTAAGAATTTAATTTATTAAACAGACTTTTAATCTTTTAAAATTAAATTATTTAGACAGAATATATTTCTTAATTATAAAATTATATTTATTTAGTAGAATATAGTAATTTAAAAGTTATAGATATAGCTGGCAGAGCTTTAAAATTAATTAAATTTAAATAAAAAAATTATAATTTTAAATATTATTAAATCTAAGTCGCAGAAACTGTCGAATCCGATTTATTCGAAAAAAATAGATTATAAGATTATATAGCAAGGCCTAATCTATTTAGGTTTTATAGATTCTAAAAATAAAAATAAAAGTAATTAGAGTTAAGATTCTAGATAATAAAAAAGTTATTTTATATTTATCTATATTTTTGTTCTCTGCTTAGTATATTATAGTTTATTAATAGCCTATACTAGAGTGGCTAACGGCCAGGTCAGGTCAGGTTAATTGGAATTTTTATACCTGACCGCCAGGTTATAGCCAGGTTAAGGAAATTTTTATACCTAACCGCGGTATAGCTAAAAAAGAGACGGTTAACCATCTTAACTATTCTTGGCGCTAAGATCTGTTTGCTATATTTATTTAGATTCTAGCACAGTTAAGATATATCTAGATTAAGCGGTTATTAACCTGATCATCTTAACTATTATTTAAAAATATATAGAAACAAGCTTTTAAAATCAAAAAAAAATAACTAAGAAAAGTATTAGTATCTTCTTTATCTCTATCTTAAAAAATTAATCAGAGATTTCTGATGGTGTTAATAAAATTCAGCTTTTTATAAAATTATAGTTTTTACAGCAAGAAATATATATAAAGATATATAATTACAGCTTGGTTTAAACTGTATATCTTAATTATAATATATAATATCAGAAAAACTGTATATTTACTAATAATCGGACTACTAAAAATAAATATATTATTTTTATTCTATTATTCTTCTTCTTACTTCAGCTTAAATAGTTTATTATATTTTTATTTTTATCTAAAAAAGCTAAATTGTCTGTATAATAAATTAAACTTAAAGAAAAACCTGTGTAATATTATTTATATAGTTTTTTTCGGTAACCGTACTTTTTAATAACTATCTTATTAAATATTAGATACTATAAGAGCAGTCTACTATTTTTATTTTTTTAATTTAGTTAATTTTTTTTATCTTTTTTATTTAGTTAATTTTTTTGACCTGTTTAATCTTTTTAATTTTAAGTACTTTAAAGACCTGCTATTAACTATACTAATTTTACTTTATTTATTTAGTTTAACTGACTTTTCTGTATAATAATAATATATATTCCGAAGCCTTCCCGTACTTTTTTTTTTTTTTCTTTCTTTTTTTATGTTTAAAATTCTTATATTTTAGCACTAAATAGATTAGTTTTTAATTATTTGAACAGCTTTTATAGATACTGTATTTTTTATAGAGGGCTTTATATAAGTCTTTTTTAGATTTTTTTTATAAATATTAGAGTGATTTAATCAACCTGACTAATCTAACCGATTAAAATAAATAAGATGCGGCAGGCGCCTTAGCTGTATTTAAAATATAATAAATTATATTTATATAAAAGTATATTTTAAAGCAAAATAAACTATTTTTATAAAATTTTCTACTTTTTTCTTTTTATATCTATTATTTGCAGAGTAGTCTTAGAATTATAAGTTAATTATAGTTATCTAGTTTATTTTTAAAAGATATTATCGAGCTCTCTTTTTCTATTTTTTAGATATTTATAAACTATAATAATACTTAAACTAAAATAAACTTTTTAAATTAGATCTTTTTTTTTTCTTAAATCTCCAGATTACGCGCGTTGCAAAGAATCGGAAGATTATTTTATATTTAACTTACAAAAAAAAGTATTCTATTTTTCAGAATTAGTAGTAGAAGATAATCTTTTTTAAAGCCCGTATGCAAGCTCGAAAACCGCTATTTTATTTTAGTCGAAAGAAGATATTAACAATATAAAACAGCTTTTAAAAAGATATATTATTTTCTAATAGAATTTCTTATATCTACTGTATTGCCTGTCTTTATATTCTGCAACACCCGGGAATTAAAAAAAAAAAGGGGGGGGGGGGGGGGGGGGGGGGGGGATGCAGATACTGTACATGCACAATCTTTGCATGGTATTAGGGGTGGGGATAGTTTGGTTGGATTCCGGAGGGTTAGAGGGGGAGGAGTGAGATTGTGACGGTGGATGAAGGTTTGATAGGGCTGGAAAGGGAGGAGGTGGCAAGTCTCGGTCTCTACTTGAGGCATTTTTCACTTGACTTGTCTCGGATGATCGTGTGAAGAATGTAGGTAGTGCTGGTTCACAATCATGTGTCGAGTGACTATGTCGACGGTGGCGCTATAGCGTTCCAAAATTGTCCACTGGTTTCGATTCTCTATGATACCAGCTGCGCTGGCTCCCAGGATTGCAATGTCAACTACCTTACTTTCAAGTACGATGACTCGCAAAGCAGTCCCAAGGACTTGAATTGAAATCCATTCCAGCCGTAACCGGTTGCCGGAGAATGGCTGCATCTCTGACGCAGAAAGCAGGTTTTCTTGCCACCATTGTTGCTGATAGCCCAACTCGTGCAATACTTACCTGTGCTTCGTGAATTTGCTGCCCTCTCTGTCTGTGGGATTATTACACCTTCTCGCATCCGAGACATACTATTACCATCTTCTGCCTCCTTCGTATCAACGCATCCAAAATGTACGCAGCGCTGAAGAAAAGCAGCAAGGACAGCACCTCCTCCGACCACTTGCCGCTACCAGACTACCATGACGAGCATTGCTCTAAGACCCAACGTCTTCTGGAAGAAGAGGAAGAGGCCTGCTACATCGACCGGCCTCCCCGGCGACCGTTCTCCTTCTTCCGATGGCAGAGCCTCTGCTTCCACTTCCTGCTTGCCTCGCTCTACGGCGCGGCTTTCTTGATCGCGACGTCCAAATCAAGGGAGTGGCCAGTGTCTAAACCAGCGCATTTGATTGATTGTAAGCTTCCCAAACCCTCACCCCAAGATAATCAACATGTGAAGAACGGATAGGCTAATGTCAGATAAGCCCCCCTCCACGAAGCCATCCACATGGAACGCAAGACCGTCTACGCGGCGATCGACAGCAAGAACCCGTTCAAGGGCGCCCCCTCTGAGGAACTGGACCACGCATGGCACCAACTCTTCGTCAACTCCAATATCCGGGTCACCGCCGAGGATCTGGCCCGGATCAATCGCACCTCGGTGCCGATCAATGATGAGAAGGGGGGGTATTATGCTATCCCGGGTAGGTAGTCATCGATTTTGTTTCTGTTCCGTCGTATGAAGTATGCACAGTATGTGGCTTGAAGGCTGACACGATAGCAGACGTATACCACCAACTTCACTGCCTGGTAAGATAGTCTGCCCTGATGGGCTGGGTTTGGGGATGGGGACTGACAGCCAGTGTGCAGAAATTCCTGCGGCAGGTGGTCTATCAGAACTATTATCATATAGGGAAACCGACGACTCCGGTTCATATCGGTATGTCCCCACTCCTAAAAGCAAGAAAGGCTAGCTTCGGATGTTGTTGTTGATGTTGTCGGGCCATGGAATAGAGCACTGCGTCGACAACCTCCGCCAGAACATCATGTGCAAAGCCGACGTGGCCCTGCTCACCTTCACCTGGGATCCGAACGACCGCGCCCCGAAGCCCAACTTTGTGGTCGATCATGAGTGCGCGAACTGGGATATGGTGGACAATTGGGCTAAGGAGCATGCGTTTGATATCTTTGATGAGACGACGCTGGTGCATCCGACTTTAGGTGAGTTATCACCAAATCTTGGAGGGGGTTTTGGGGGGTAATGTCCAGGGTAAGCTGACTTTAGGCGACTAGGTCCCTCGTTTCCGGAGAAAGAGTACAAGGCTACCGGGAAGATTCCGGGGCATCCGGATTTTCATCCGAATGAGTATCATGGCGGGGAGATGCATCATCATCATGATGGTGCTTAGGGGGGTTGATGGGGGTTGAGGAGGGGAGGGGGGTTGCTGGGATGTCACATGTCGGGCTTTGTATGCCTTCATGATGAATGATTCTTGTGAACCTTGTTGAGTAAGGCATGGGTATACAGAGGATGCTCTATAGTAGATAATGCAGGCTGTCAATCATATTCCCTAAGTCATCCAAAGGAAGCTGATTCATGGGCATGGAAGTATGCGCGACTATGAACATTCACTCCTGCTCTCATATTTCAAAGCCCTAAATGCAGATCCATTCACCCTGGATATCGATGAGAATATCTACCAAGTATTGAGTACTGGTGAATCATCATGTCCTTATTCCTTGCTAGCCATAACCCATTATTGAATACAATAGACTAATTGAATAATGCAGCGGTCGCTGACTGACGAGGTGCTTAAAAACCTCCTTCTTTCTCTTCTTCCTTTTTCTTCCTTCCTCCACACTCTTCAACTCTCACCATCCATCTTCATCTTCGTCTTCCATCTTCGTCTTCCATTTTCGTCTTCCGTCTTCGTTCTCCATCTGCATCTTCGTCTGCATCTTCATTCACTTCTAACCTTCCACCGTCCACCTTCCACCTTCCACCTTCCACCTCCAACTCACCATTTCCATCCTCCATATCTGTGTCTATCTGTGTCTGTCTCCCTATACAACCTCCATCTCTATCTTCATAGCCCACTCTTTCTACTTCGCCACTCTACCACATGACTGTGTCCACGGTGATCTCCTCATCATATGATCTGCATCCGAGAAACCAAGCATCAATCAACTCCTGGCTTATATTGCTAAGATACCATTTTTCCCTTCCCCTATCCTTCCTACCAACCAATGTCGACAACTTACATAATGCAACTCCGCAACCTATCCTCTCATGGCTACACATCACTGATTCCTTAACTGCTGTCCACGCCGTCTTGTCTACCATCTATTGCCTGTTTACAGGAGCAGTGGACATCTAAGATGTTGTCAGAAAGATTCTATCTATGGGACCCGTCCTAGGGCTGCTCAGTTTCTGTTTCTTCTTCTTCACTTTAATGGAAGACCGTTCCGGCTGGTGTGCAATGAAAGCAGTTATCGGCCCCTGGAAACGTGCCATGGACCGCTCTCATGTATATGGGCAGTTCATCTCGTCCATCACCCTTCATGTTCGTTGACGAGACAGCCTAGTAACCTGAGAACCACCTCAAACTGTGCTGTGAACAGGATGCTTATCATGGGTTCGTGGGGTCTTCCGAAACGGACGCTATCATCTCAGTTGCGAGTTATCGTCACCGGCGGCCATGCTACCGGCAGCAAACTGCACCAAACCCATGAGATTCGTGCAGTTGAAAAAGAGGCCAAAGCAAGGAGGACAGCTAGGGTGATGAGCGATGCTCCTTGCCCTGAAGACAAACAACTGATTGGTGCTGTGGAGATGCTGGGCACCGGAATCAATCTCACCCGAGCGAAAGATATGATTATGGTAGACCCCTGCTTCATACCGGCATACGAAAACCAGGCAAAGAAGTGCATCAATCGGTGGGGCCAAAAGACACCCATGACGTTTACCGGCTAGCATACATCAGCTTGTCACGAGCTCGTCAGCTGCGAAGCTCATGTTCATTTATTGATCCTTTGTTCTCCCGATTGAGGTGCCAAAAAAAGGCAACTCATAAGTCGTCAGAGAGCTCAACTAAGTACAACACCACCCATGTACGGAAACTACCAGTATGCGGCCATTTACGAGCACTTTCTGATGATCCGGGGTTATCCCGGTCGGCACAAAGAAGTCAATTCATATAGTCTTAATGCCTCTCGTCTATCCGAGGAAGATGCTAAGAATCTGCATACACAGGTATGTCTGCTAATTTCATGCACTGACTTCCAAGAACAACGAATAAGATGCAATATGGCAAGGGAAATTCGAGCCGCTTGTATCTCGCAGATTCAAGGTTCCCTTCTAGAAGGTGAACACTGTCAACGCCAGACTTGGGCTTACTGAATGAAAATTTGTTCATTTACTTCCAATACACTCAAGGGCCTCTATGACTATGCCGGACTTTCAATTTGTGGAATCAACCAATGAGGTCGAGAGGAGATTCTTCATCAACTCGGGCTAAGCACGACCAGAATCGACTCTGCCATCAGCGGGTAGGAAATGTCCCACGCACTGCATTTATTGCGAAGTACTGAACTGTCATGTGAAGCATCGGAAAGAAGAGTGTTCAAAGGCTATCTCAAGGGCTAAGATGGCTTAGAGATGCTTACAACTGGCGAGTACTGTGGTCTTACTAAAACTGGGTCCAGGCTATGATCTCTAGATTACCAACTACCTTAAACCCCAAGCAGGAGGCTACTTTTCCTAGCAAGCTCAGCATCATATCAGCCCTTACTGCGACTGCTCGCAATAGGTCGACTAAGAAATCAGTCGATTCCACCGAAATAGAATGCCCGCATCGTCTACTGATTTATATCACGGGGACTCGCAGGATGAGTCTACTTGCGTGATCACCGGGTTCAGGAAGCCCATCGAAGTGGCTCATATATACCCTGCACGCGTTGGTCGAAAAGGTCAAAAAGACCACAGCCAATTCTGGGAAGCCCTGGCCCTCTTCTAGAAATCAGACAAGATCGAATCATGGAAACAGAACAGACAGGTCACATTAAGCAAGAAATTGCATGTATGCTGGGGCGCCGGCGGTTTCATCTTGGTGCCAGACCCAAGCGGTCCATCCCGCGACAAAAAGACTCTTGAGGGGTAGTTTGTTTTCGACTACTGCCATCTAACATCTACTGATAGATTTAAGTGGCATCACAGGTTCATTAGATGCAATCAATGGTTCCAGGGATCTGGGCGGTTGAAGGGCAAAGAGAAGATAGCTTCCAAGGCGCACGGATGCATTGCGGTTCCGATTCGTGACTTCAAGGATTCGGCAACCAAGGTTGTCCAGCCCGGTAAAATATCCCACAAGGCCATTGTTGGCCATGAGAGGGCCATTTGAAAGAATCGTCATGGGCATTTGAAACCACTTGAGAGCATGATGCTTAGAGTCTTTGGTCGATCCTCATACCGTTGATCCATCCCTGTTCACCAATGAACAAATCCTAATTCAGAATTCCGTGGCACGTCAAGGAGCGCACCAAATTGAGAGTTGACTTGCGGGCTTCCCAGAAGGAGAATCGGGAGCTTACTGTGGAGAGCAGTCAGTCATCGATGCGAAGAAGCATGCAAAATGCGTCTGCTCAGCAACCTAAAGTCATCGACATGCATGAACCAGCTTGAGCAGGCTTATTGGATTTGTGTGTGTTAGCAAGGAATTTCAAGCTCCTCGGTTCTGATATATTCAAGTGCACTGATCAGCAGCTGCAAAAGGCGGCTACCCGATGGATAGAAAAGCAAATGCCGAGATTCGACCGAAAAGCTTCGAAATAATGCAGCAACTGTTATCGATGGGAGCAAGCATGCTTGGGAGGCACAGTTCTCTCTGGTATAATCCCAGAAGAAATATTGGTCAGATGATCTCAGAATTCAGTGGACCCAAGGTCGAGCCAGTTGGGGGTGTGAAACCTTACATTGTCCGATGGAACGGAACGGATCTTTCGGAGATGTTCGATTTCTCGGATCAGAAATCGAGCTATACGAGCTATTCCTGGCATTGACCCCGACTACAACGACTTCGACATCACCCGAGGCACATCATTGATTCGTTTCATCAATATCGAAGACATAATCTCCGCCGACAGGCTACCCAAGAACTATCCCCCTTCCGAAGAGCCCCCAGTGTTCATAGAGCCCAAGCTTCCCCGTTTCCTGGTAGGATGGATGCAAGGAAAAACTCACTACTATCGACACACCATGGTATACGACAACTCAGTTGTTCACATCTACGCGCAAGGACAGATTAAGTCGAACCTCCACCGTATTGTCAATACCGGCGGCACAAACATTTCCAATGGCGAACTAGACGAGTTCATACGCGACCCGAGCAGAGAGTCAATGGGCTCGTCGCTGCTTTTCTTATCTGGTCGCAAAATCAGCGGTTGTTCGGATCATCGAGCTATTCAACGTACCATCGGTGCTTGAGGAAATCAGCTGTTTACATCGTGAAAATAGCCTCGAATAGTGGCTATTATGAAGGGAGACGACAGTACGCTGCGCTATCACATAGTAGCAAAAGGAAACGGACACCGCGCGATCAACTTCACCAAACTATCGACTCTTGCCTGACGAGATCATATCAGTTGTCATATTCCCAGCTTGTTCTTATACTTGTTATCTAATTCTTCTCTTCGGTGATCGTGATTCATAACCCTATCAACAGCTTGAGTTCGGTGGAAATTTCGGCCTTTTCTTCGGGGCGCTGAATGCTACTCTGAAATGCAAGTCACATCGTCTGTTATCAGGGAAGTCTAATTCCAGGTACCTTCGGGTTATGCTATCACCGAATCGCTACTCTCCCGGATTTGGGTATATTATTCCTACTGCCAGCCAATAGTGTCACAGGATGCCCCTGGAAAGGAGGCCTTTGCAGCTAGTGATCAGGTTGCTAAGTCTGCTATCGAAAGCCATCTCACCGAACCCGGCCCAGGTTCAGTGATTGACCTAGGCCAGTGGATCATAACACCAAATCAGTATCGGGATAAAGTCTGCAAGCTTACTTGTCAGGTGGACTGTGGAGTTTGCGATCTGACTTTGGAGTCTTACACTCTCTTCTATGACCCTGAAGGATCATCAGGCCGAGAGGCAAATTTTTGTGCTTTTAAGCTTATTCGATGTTTCGACAGTTGCTGCCATATGAATGAGCCCCTACCATTTTGGACCGTTCTGTTTGCACTTTTGGCTAAGGGCGTTTATGAACCGCCACAAGGGGCATCGAAGGAATACCAATCAGAATGCATTGGATGAGGCTGATATTAAGACACTGCAACATGGCTCTGAGCCTTTCGGGTGGAGTTCCCCGAGGAGTGTCATACTAACTCATGACGCAATATCGCCGCTTACCCAAGAGTCCCGGGCGTTCTACCGTGTTCAGACCGCGGTGTATATGGCAATCGATGAAGATTTGATGGTCGATTAGGGTCACTGATAAACAGAACAGTTCAGGGTGGCGCTGGCCTTGGCCGGCCTGGTTTACCACTTGCTACGCGCGATCGACGCGCTGTTGAAAATCGGAAGAAATATCGGATTAATCCTTGTCCACGCGTGACATACCATGGGTTTGTTATGTGGCATCGAGACTTTTGAGATCATGGTTGAGACATCAGTCGTCACACGGTTTCATCGCTGGAACGCTCATGGATGGCCTCTAAAATGTGCAACCAAACAATGCCCATGCAGAGAAAGGTCCAAAAATCGCGCCGCGTGTGACACACATCTAAAATCCCATGAGGCTTTCGTCAGCTCTCAACTCATTTTTTTGAGAGGATAGGCAGTTTAGCAACACCCTGCCTCTAGTAACGTCTCCGACGAGATTGAATTTCTCTCCCTCTGAACTTTTGCGGTGAGTGTTCGAGGAAGGAAATTCTAGAATGTCTTACCAGAGAAGAACCAGTGGCCTGCCAGACAGAGCAGGGCGGGCGTCGGACTGGGAGCAGCCTGAGATGGGGGACTCGAATAGTTCTGGCTCCGGTGGAAGGAGACTACTTTGGCAAATGCAGCTCGAACTTCTGTGGATCACTGTCTGTGTCCATCTCCGGGGTCGGGGCATGGATCATATGCAACCCTCACCCCATCCTCGTCCATCTCCGCACCTGCACTTCGCGAGATGGTGAGGGTTGCCGCAAATATACAAAAACTGGCGTGTGCGTGCATAGGCACCACTCTTGAGCGTGTGAGAGCGGTTCCTCCCCGCCACCGCCGCCACCGCGAACCCGGCCGCTGCCGCCGCGTCTGCCCCCTGCGGGTCCCCGGGAGCCTCCATGCTCCCAGGAACTCCCCCGCCCCCAGGGGGCACACCCAGGGCTATTCTTTGGAACCAGCCGGCTCCCCGCGAGCGGGCTAACGACGAAGAGTGGGAGGCCTCACTCTTCGTTGGATTGCCTCCCGCGGCCTGGTTCGCAGGTCGTTTTGGAGGCAACACCCGCCGTGGTACCCGGCCTCCCCCCACCGGAAAGGTTCGCAGCCCCTGTCGAGTCGCGAGCGGGCCTGGATCAGCGAACCCATTGTGCGGTCTGTGCCGTACATTGGGTGGTCGGATCCCAGGCAGCTGGCTGTCCGGGCTCAGCTCCGCGAGGGCATCCTCGTGTCCTGGGTGGACTATAACCTCTTCAACTACTTACAGCTTAAACAACATCAAGGAGTTTGAGCGGATGGTCCGCCTCTAGACGAGCAACAACGGGGATTTTGGTCAGACTTGATCTGCAAGGACTATGCTTCCGTTGGTCGAGTCTAACAGTGGGGGCTTATAGATCGGCGCAACGGGCTTGGATATCTTGACACGGCTTCCCCGTGCCGGGCCCTAAAGTTGATTCTAGTCAAGCAGACCAACGCCCAGAGGACAAGACCAATATCGATGCGCATTACCATTACTTCTGCATCGAGAGAGAGGAAAACTGTCCTGCAAAATGAATGGACAAGTCGACTGCAAACGCAATCGATCTGAAGAAAGCGCGGTAGGAGGCACGCAGCGCTGGCCGGGTGGGGGTGGTGTAGTGCTTGAAGCACATGAAATTGTCGTCGCCGGCATTCCTGATACCGACGAGGAGCAGTATATGCTAGCAGGGATACCCTGCTCGCCAATTGCTCCGACAGCCTGCCGACAGTCGATCCGTACAGCACCATCGCCAACCAGAGTGTTGCCCCGGCTGAACTTCTTGCGAGATGGAAATTCCACGACCCGCAGACCGCTGCGGTCTACATCTTGTCCAGTCTGAATGGGCCGATCGGAATCGTGCAAGAACTGCCCGGCACAGGGAAAACCTTTTGGATTGTCCGCTGTCTTCTTCTATTCCTCCGCAATCCCAGACGGGATGGCAAGCCGTACCAGCTGCTCATCGTGTCCACCTGCAACGATGTTGGAAGGATATTGCTTTCTGGATAAATGGTAGGGTCGCTAAGCGGGTCAATGACAACGCCAGTTCACGCCCACAGCTGGTCAATAAGTACCATACGATCAGCACCGAAAACAACCTCTGCTGGATACCCGCCTCAGAAATACGCCCAAACGTGAGTCATTTGTTCACTATAGAGAAGTAAGACAACTCCTATGCTCATGACGCGCTGATCGACAAAATAAGTCATATCGCTAGTGGATTGCTGCAGCTTCATCTGCGAAGCAACCTTTGGGAAGCTCATGCATGAGTGACTGGCTGCTCCTATGGATTACGTCCACACATCCTAATGAAGATGACTTCACAAGACAATGGGATTCAGCGGATTCCATGCCTGTCGGGTTCGTTCCCTATATCCTTTGACCTCAAATCCTGCCATATCAAGTCTATCTTTCCAGGGGTAGCTTTCACCCTTTCCGCTTCTTCCCGGTCCTTCTCTTCGTTCCTTCTACAACTCCCTGGTATATAAGGCTGACTTGTGTGCGTGAAGTTCAGATCTGCTCTCAGAAATAGCGTCAGTCAAGTATCTCAATGATCTCCGAGATCTCATCGCAGGTTGGAAGCTATGGACCTCCTCAATTACGCCAATTCGCTGCCTGTTCGTTCTGTCCATGTGATTCTAGTACCCTCGCCTTGCTTAGCAAGATAGAAAATGCTCTTGTATGTGCTTGCCTCCCTCTTTGTGTCCCTTCATATCTGGCTGGGGCCTTCGCTGACTGCGCTTACTGCAAGCAATGGTCCCTGTTATCCCGCCGTTCGACGAGGTTCCGCCGAGCTTCCGGTGGATATTACCAACGGCTCTTGTTGTTTCTGCTTTTACATGCGATTCTTCTGTCTTGCGCCCTCCTGCTTCCTGATCGGGGAGGCTACTGGCTTCTCTCCCCGTACTTAGGAGGGACGGCTTGTGGCCCCCGCCTATCATATCAAAAATGCCACAATCCAGGTTATTCTTTCGAACATCCAGGAAAAAGGATGCGTCTGGAGTATCCAGAATCTGAGCAAGGTCTGGGTGATCAAAGAGGAGAGCCAAAAGCATGCTGACTGTGTCTCGTCGTAAAGAGCCCAAGAGGCCTTTCGAGCTGTTGCCTTTGATATGTTTCGGTCTCAGTGCAGTTCTCAGGTCTATTTGTCCAACCGCCACTCCAATGGTCGCTTTTCATGATCTTCAATGATTGCCATCATTATCCCCGGAGCGTGATTAGACAAATAAAACGCAATTCAGGCGTGATAGGCTTTCGGACTGAAGTTGCGACTGAAGTCAACACGCCGGGTACTCGGAGTCCTTCCCACCATCACTTTCAACGCGTGGTGCTCCTCTAATCCAGTTCTTGTCCAAACAGAAATACTTTGGCTGAGCTTCCGAAGTCCTTTGGAAACGGCCATAAGAAGCCCTCTCGCTGTGAATCATGCTGCATGATCTGCGAGAGCGTGGCAGGCAGAATGCAATTTCCAAAGCTTCGACAGATTGAGCTGCACGCGAGTATAGGAGTCAGGCACTGATCACCAGTCGATTTTCTCCGGTAAAGGCAAGGAAAAAAAGTCAAAAGATGATGAAGAAAGCTGGTTCCCGGGGCGGACTCCTGGGGGAGGGTCTCCCATCCGTGGCAAACAACATTTGACATTGGGGAAAGAATTGCCCTTGGACGCGTAGCGCATGCCGACGAGCTTCGCCTCGGCAGGTACCACAGATGAAGGTACCCTGGACGAGACATGGAGATGTCTATTTGTACTCGTAACTTTGTCGTAATGGGTTCATAACGTACAAAGGAACGAGATTCGTTAGCCCAGAGGTCCAGAACTATTGACCAACATCTACGAAAGGCTCGAAGGAATCGATGGCGCCGGTGTGCTTATTGATAACGCACGCGGAGAGATCTTCGGTATAACTCGGGATAGCAAAGACTATAATCCGGGAGTAATTTACAAGCCCATCTGAGCGAATTTGACAGGTCTCTGCCACCGATGTCCTGGGCGTTCCCACCGTCGGAAGGCAGAATTCAATGGCCGTGATCTGTGCTGTGTGACGCATAGTACCAAGATTTTATGAAGCATCAGCTCCGGTATCAGAATTGCCGTTTCGTCCGGCATCCATGAATTCGACACGTTGCGCTCAACACGCTCATGCGCCGTCAGATCACCACTGTGCTGGCTTTTGTGCCCGCAATCCATAGTTCAGTAAAAGAAAATGCTTGACCCGGGAAACAGGACATTTCAGAGAGGAATGCCCACAGTACCTTCGTGGAGTGGGAGAGAAGTCTCTAGAGCATTGATTCGAGGACAGGTTCAACGCTGCATCCCGGCATGATACTATGCAGTCCAGACATTACTAAACTCTGTGAGACACGGTATGCCGGTATTTAAGGCTGCACGCGGTCTTTTTGGCTCGCTCGCTGGCGCCAGCTTGAGGCCCATGTTACGAACCTACGTTGTACTCATCTCTTCATCACTGTCCGCTGCAGATCTACACTGGGATGATTTGATGAGGCGTCGGCGAAGTACGTGAAATGGCTTCAAGGAAGTGCCGCCCTACGCATGCCGTATTGCTAGGGCTAACCCGCTGAGAGCACGAAATTCCAGTTGCAGAGAACATACTCTGGGATTGATGAATAGGGTCAAATCATTGAGTGGCCAGGCTCAATGCTGTTGCGATTTGACTGGTGACACCGTGAAATGTCAATACCAAGAGCCACGAGGATGCTACGAGACCTTGACTCATTGGAGCCGGCACGCTCTTTGACTCGGTTGACGTTCTAAAATGATACTTTCAGGGGGGTCCGATTGATTGGACATGTACCTGGTTGACCGAAGTGACTGGCCTGATCAATTAGGATTGGGGAAGACGCAAGCAAGCACAAGTACGCAAGGCCTCCTGGAAGACAGCAGGATTGGGAGCAACAGGCACATTGCTAATGCCGATAACGCCTTGTCCGATTTTTTCTTTTTTCGACCAAATTTTGGGGTATGTGGAAAAGGGAACACCGAATGAATACTGGCCGCGAGATCCTCACATGTCAGACCCTGGAAAGATCATAGAAGAACTAGTATAAGAAGAGGATACTGCTACTGGTTTGAGCCTGCCTATCGATCTGCAAGAACGCAGCTCGCAGCTCGACCGTTTCGCACAAGCGCACTGAAGGACCCCAGAATGCCATCACACGCACAGCTCCCGGCCGAAATACTTATGATGATAGTGGAACAGCTTATACAAGGCCAGGAGTGGCCCACATGGGTGGCATGTGCAGATTCGACCGAGTCGATGCAGAAACTCGTCTTTGCAAACACCACCTTCAGCACTGCGGCATGATCTGTTATCTAAGCCCGGGCCAAGGATCTGACTTGCGAACATTGTGGGTTAGCTGCTGTCAGACCTACTATTCGAAGCTTGAAAATGATCTGCACTCTCCTTGCCTCATTTACTTTCCAACCCTCCTTGAATCCTCTATCCTCTTCATTTCTACATCTACACCCGTTGGAGCTGCCGAACGAGATTGCCCGGGCACACATGGCCATATGTTTCAGAAACATAGCGCACAAGTTTGAGGAAGGAAAGCGCGCTTTGCCCTTTACCCACTTGGACTGAGCGATGACAACACAACCCTGACAGTGGAATTCTTTCGGCTGCCTACAATGGCATACCAGAAAAGCCAGTCGTTCGCCTCAACTCTGCTGGCGTGTCTATGTGGCTATCGCCCGCGTCGAGACTTTGCGCGTGGCGCGACAGATGTTTCGGCTATTTGACACATCATCACCCTCCCCTAGACTCGAGCCGGATGGCCTTTCAACGTTCTGAGTCACAACCGACTGACATCCATGATGCGTGGTTAAGATGCCGCGACCGACGACATAATCTGAAACGACGGCAACGATAGGGTCATGATTGAAGATGGAGCACCTCGGCTACCCGGAAGCAAGGAAAGCACAGAACCGGATTGTGATTCTAACATCAACCCAGTTCTACGCGACACAGATTCTCCAGGCCACGGAACGTACAGCAAAGGTTCAAATCCCGACCCTTTTTCGCAAGAAGAATCTTCATCATGTTGAAGGTAAGGGCGAGTGTGGTGTCGTGTACGCTCGTGTCATTCGAGACGAGTTTCATCTGGATAAGGGTAAAGGGACGGGGGTGACCCAATACATGCAGGACCTCGAGGCCCTCGAGCCATTGCGGCGACAGCCTGAATTCAGATGGATACCGGCAGCCACCTCCGCCTGTGTGGCATTTATCATGGTCCGTATGTATACGGACAATTTGCATCGTGTGCAGGATGGGCATCGACCATGGAGTAAGCAGCGGATCACTTCTGACATATATCCATCAGAGGGCCAGGTTTACGGCCAATTTGTTTGTTGCAAGCATTCTGGGGCGCCGTTATCCAGAAGGTGGTAACCATCGAAGCCAAGACTGCTCCAGGCACACCAAGAAATATCGTGCCCCATGATTCTGGCACCTTTTCTGAGAATAAACACGGCGATGCGGTTGGTAAATGGACCTTAACTATATTGACAGAAAAGCAATAGCTTAAAGGCTTTTACAGGACGTGGGTAACAGCCTGGGTCTATGATGAGGTATAGTCCAGTCGAGTTTTGGACTGGGCCTGCGAGGCTTCGAATAGCCGACGAGGATGTAGTAAACATCGATCTAATTGCTTTCCTCATGACTCTCACACATCCGAGCCCCAATGTGCAGTGATGGTGGTCAGCCAAGAGAATGCGATTCAGGGTTGTCAGGAAATCGTCCTTATCGCACCTGAATTCCGTACGAACCAGTCCGGTACATCTCTCCTCAGAGCCTGTACAGCGATTGCTCAGTCAAGGCGGACGCTCGACAGGGTTCCAAGTCAACGTCAAGGATTTACTATATCCTTGTGACCTCGCCTACTAACCGGCTCTTAATCTTGACACCATGCAGACACAGCACAAACCGGCCTTGACTTCTGGGATCGCAAGTCAAATGGCCTTCTTCATGAGAAGAGTCGGTGGCTTGTCCCAGATTACAGTGTCGCTTCGAGCGAGCTCTCCTTTCCGCGCATAGCTCTCTACCGTAGACCGGCTGACAGCCAGGACACATTCAAAATAGAGCTCCACATCGTACTACGCACTAGAGTGCGAGGCCATGCTACACTCCGAATCTTGGCCTCTTGTGAATGCAGACGTGTTGAAAGCCCCAGTTCATCATAAAGGGGTACTGTGGAGACTCTGCCGGAACCTCTCCGCGCTCGGGCAATTGGTCCGCTATATGATTGTCCGGGGCGTTTCAACAGATTGGATACGACATATCAGCGTCCCGAGAGTGGCATGTGCGTTCTCCACAGGCATAAGCCCAATGGCAATGACCCATCACCCACAATTTCCAGACCAGCAATAGATCAGGTTGAAGGGCCGCTGGAGGAGAACTGGACAAAAGCAAAGCTTTCCCACTTCCTCCCTCCGCAAGCTGATGTCTTCAGGATATCCTGTCCGTGGTGGGGATCCCTTTGACAAGCTACCCTCATCGTCCGTGTGTACACTTTCTCGTGCATCCCTTACCTTGGGCACTGCGGCTACTTCCCTGGGCTCCTCCCGTCGGGTGCGCCTTCCTCCGGTCTCGTCAGAAAATGTGGACAGAATCCGCCACAATTCCCAGGGCTTGGTTGATGCACCAAAGAACGATCATGAAGCAGCCAGCCACCCCAGCAACCACTACCGCCACACCTATGGCCACCATCGCAGACCTCGTTGCCACCCTGAATCACAAATCTATTTGCACTTCGTGGTCTCTATCATTTTGCACTGTCACATGCCTGTGTCTGATTTATGCTAGTGGGCTATAGCCCAGGAACAAATGGACACCCGAATGGGGTACCGCTCTGCAACGCGTGACAGATTTGGACGTATCCAAAGGGAGAATCATACCATTCATGTACACGAGGGTGTCAACGAGATGGTAAGGACTCCTTTCCCTCCACAGAGTCTGGTTATGCCCCTAGCCAATCCGTAGCGAGTCGGGACGCCAAGCTGTTGTGAAATAGATAGCTAAACGCGCAAACCGCACTTCAGAAGATTCAGACACAGAATCAGGTTGAATAGAAGAAGAAAGATGACACGAACGACGAACCGAGGGGTCATCTCAGACACCGTTCCTTCCATCGCTGATTCGGTCCACATTATCAGGTTATGAGCCCTCCTATGGCGGACCTGGTTCTTCCTTCGCAAAGCTCCTATGAGTGAGCGAATACTTCAAATCCTTGTAGTGTTCTTTGTGTATTGCCTTTGTCATCTTCTTCAAGTGTGTGATATTTACTTATCATATTATTACTTATCATATTATGTCTTGAATATATGCCACGGCTCTATGATTCTACTCTAGATCAAACTCTGCACAACAGCCGCATTCGATGGTTTTTTTCAGGCTTCCTGTTCAGCTCCTCGGGGCGGGAAATGCGGCACGCACATCTGAGCAGAGTGATTGGATCTAAGAATATTCGCATGTGGGACCTACAGATACATCCCGTTGCTCTGTCACTCAGCGGCATTATCATAATTGACTACTGGTCTGCAGATATGGATCTAATGCACTGGGCTGCATTTATAATAGTAGCGGAGCTGAACAAGCTAATTCGAAGACTGCTACTACGCAAATAGGTGTTGGGGTGTACTCTTGTTGTAAAAAGCAACAGTCGGATTGTTGGACAGATTATAAAACTTAAGAATCTGCGGAAATGGAATTAACACTTCCGTCCGGACGCTCAGCGCAAATACCGAGAAAGGCAACAAAGTGTGCCTTGCCCCATGGCCGCAGTCATCCGCCAATATGCCGGTACCAACAAAAGAGGAGCTGGATGCAGTTCTGGAAGCAGATCTAGGTGCAGACCTGGCTGCTGGCTCATTTTAAGGTCCGAGCCCATGGAGGACAAACCCGCGAGTGTGTTTGCAGTACGACAACACCTTCTGCCGGGTCTTGCATCTCCAGGAATAAAGAGCTGTTTTACAGCACAGACAAGCAGATCAGAACAATTAAAAAGAACATCAGGAACTGCCGCAGGGCAACACTAAGCATTACCCTCACCTGCAGCTGACTGGGAAAGATCTGGACTTCACCGAGTGCATCATTATGCTAATTGGGGATGTCAAGACCTGAAGCAAGTACATCTACCTCCAGCTGCGGGTGAGCCCTGGCCTACCGTCACCACAGTAGCCGCCACAGCGTTCCGTTCATTCAAGTACCCTGCCCTCCTTCGATGGGAGACGCATCGAGAAGTCAGACATTGTGGCCCTGCTATGGTCGCATTCTCGATGGGAGGTTATCTCTTGATATAGCTGACGCGGCATTCCACTACCAGAGGCATGGTGTTACTTACGAGGAAGGACAAAGTTGTGGCCCAGCCTCTGGAGAACACGGTGATTGTGACTGAAATCTCATGTTCTATGGTGCTTGAGATCCTGCACAGCCTCGCCAATGAAGACGAACATTTGAGGCGGCAGTGCACAATATTTAAGGTCTCTGTTGGTCTGGGTTTTTCGTTCTATCCATTATTAACCTTTGCCATCATCAAGACGCCCCCGTCTGCCCTTTGATGCATTCGAGCCTGGCTGCCTTCGTGAGCATGCAGTTACCGGGGCGAAGATATTTCCAGTCTACTGTACGTCCCTATTAGGGTTATCGGACCCGAGGATGACACGGGAGTTGTTGTTCCCTGGGACAGAGAGCTTGCTGGTGTATTTTACACTAAAAGCAAAATCTAAACTATCTAACTCAAATCTCCAAGAGTCCGAAAACTGGCGCACGCAAGTGGCTCAGTAAGCTTTTATCTGAAATGAAATTTCAGTCGCGTGCTGCGGGGGAAATCCTTACGGCAGCGTTGACCCTAATGTTACATGTACACACACCGTCCGATTTCTGGCCATGTAGTCGAATTCCAACCTGCCTTCAAGGTGTGCAAAGCACATGCAGATTAGAGGTTGCCATTCGTGTATACCACGCACCACGCAATCTAGAGGTACAAATCGTACTTGAATCGGCCCCTGGTTCAGATAAGTCGCGGCGATAAGATAAACCTCGCAGTCAAAGCAGGAACCACAATTACCTGCAAAGCAACAGAAGAGCCAGCCCACCGATAAACCCAGCCAGTAGCCCCGCCCCTCCTACCCTAGAATCTCTGACCCTAACAGGCAGTTACGCTACGGAGTACAGTAGGTAACTTAAGGTACAATTCGATCCCCAAGTTTATAACCACCTCAAGCAGGAATCACCCCTATGACCAGTCCAGTCCAGTCCAGTCCAGTCCCCTTCTACCGGTACTCCGTACCAACCAACCCCTTACATCAACCGGCCCCTCAAGCATCGCATCATGCAGGGAAATCAATAAAGTTGCCGATCATCGCGCACCAACCCCGATATCAACTACTAGCCTCATACCCCGTAACTTAACTTACTCGAGTTATAGCTTCTGCATACTCTACAACAAACCCATAAAGCCCACCAACTCCCCCAACACCTCCCCTACCACCGCACCTCTCCTCACCTAATCATCCACCCCCACCCCCCAAAATGCGCCTCCCAACCCTAACAACCACAACGACCCTCCTCCCCCTCTCCCTCCTCCTCACCATCACCACCATGCACCTCCCCCCCACGCAAGCCTGCACGCCACCCCTCGACCCAACCGCAGAGTACCTCCTGACGCGAGCGCCCTGCACCACCGACGCGACCTGCTCGCCCAACGAATTCTGCGTCCACCCGGCCAACCGATGCCTCCCGCGCTTAGTCGCAGGGACATGCTGCGCCGCCGACACCGAATGCAGCACCAGCTACTGCCAGACGGGGAGCTGTGCGCTGAGCCAGACGGGGAAACCCTGCACGGCTGTCTCGGACTGCAGTCCTGGCACCGACAGCGGACAGCAGCGATGGGTATGTGCGCCGCAGACGAACACCTGTCTCCCCGGCGTCCTGGGGCTCGGGGCCGCGTGTCTGGTCGACGCGCAGTGCGGGTTCGGGCTGTGTGCGGCGGGGATCTGTGCGCGACCCGGGGGGGAGTACGGGGCTGGTTGTCAGCAGACGCAAGAGTGTGTGGCCGGGCTGGTGTGCACATATAGTCTGTTCAGTGAGGATCAAAGCACGAAGATGTGCCAGGCGGCGCCGGGGCCGGGGGCGTATGGGGCGGCGTGTGCGGGCGACGCGGATTGTGTGTCGGGGAATTGTGGGGTGAATGGGGAGTTGGTCTGCGGGGAGCCGAGGGCGTGTAAGGAGGAAGGGGAGGGTTGCTGGCGCGATGCCGATTGTTGTCGGGGGAGTTGTCGGTTTGGGAGGTTGTGGGTTTGGAGGACTTGTGAGGTTTAATTTCAAGGGGGGGGTTTCACATGATAACCAGCTAGCCCGGCTAAGCAAAATGTCATACTAAACACAAGCACTAGATATTTTCAAATCTCGCGATCCAAGATCTTAATCACAAACCACAGCAAGACAGAAACTTATTCCAAACTCAGCCGCGCAAAATTCTCCTCCAAGTCCCTCGCATGCGTCACGCCCTCGGCAGCGGTATGGTTCTGTCCACCGACGGGCTCTCCACACTCCGGACAGACGGACCTCTGCATCGCCATGCCACACTCCCCAATTGTAAAGGAATGGCCGTTGCGACAGTAGTACCAATGCCCCGTGCCCCGGAACTCCTGCTCCATGGCAGCAATGACCGCCATGCGTTCTTCGTTGGTCACGGGGGTGTAGAACGTCGCTCCGCGAAGCATCTTCTCCACCCCTTCGACTTCGTCCATCAAGCCACGGGTCTGACCAGGCCAGAAGGTGCAGAGGGTTTTGGCGTGATCGAGGGCTTCCTGGGCATGGGCCACGTGTTGATCGACCAGCTCAGCCGAGGCTGCATACGATCGCTCGAACGCATGGAGCTGGGCGAGGAAGATATAGCCCTCCGTCTGATGAACAACGTGATTTGAGAGTCCCGCTGTCTCCACGAGAGCTTTGCATTGGCCGCGATTTTTTGATAGATCCATCTCAATCACACTATCGGCCTGTTTCGGGGCCTCGTGATAAAGCTTCAGAAAGTCAGCCAGCAAGGCAATATCCAGACGCAAACTGAGCGCGGTGGCTTGAACTGACCCCTTCATCTGTAGGATGGCGTTTCCAGGCTCAAGGCACTCAGCAGTTTCCTTTCGACGACGACCGATGGCAACCAGGTTGCGTACTTTGCTGTATGGTTGCTCTTCGGGCGTCACTTTCCTCATATAATCCTTGATTCGCTGCCGTAGACCAAGAATATTCTGCCATCGTCCCTTGTCTGCTCGAGAAAGCATGTCCCGCATCGCAGTAATCTGCCCTTCGTACTTGCCCGCAATCTTCACAGTAGCCGGCCAGGCAATAGGTCGTTCATTTGTCAATTCCTGGAGCTGTCGTATGCATCGAGGGAGTGCCTGCGCTAGGGGGACGAATTCGCGATTCATGTACAATATTAACTTTTTTGTCGATTCATCCAGGAGAGCACGGCGCACCAACCGTCCGTACCGGGCGATATCTCTCAGGGGCCCACGGCAGCTGGCACACGTCTTGATGTCGTCCATGGCGAACGGCGCCGCTGATGCGGCAATCCCAATTGGCTTCTCTATTGCGTCAAGGATGTAATACTTCTTCATGTCCATCTTGTGCATCCATATTCTCAATTGTCAAGAAGTGACCACATCGCGGAAAGACACATGGGTTCTCGTCAAGGTTGATGTCCCGGTAGGTCTCCCCAAGGATAAAGTCAACCATGTGATTCTTAATTTCATCGCCCCCACATATTTGACAATATCGCGCAGGTGGGCAAATCTCCCCACAGACGGACGGGCATTGATGTCCACACGCTAGCAATTGATCACACCTCTTCGAACATGGGACATGATCGCATGGAGCAGCACAGGGCATTGTGCAATAACTGTGAGAGCAGGATGACAGGCAGATCTCTACAGCGCAAGGAGTGCATGGATCCGAGCATTTCTTGTCGCATCTGGAATGACCACAGCGTACATCACAGGCTGATTGACAGGGTGGGCACGCTGCTGAACCATGACATGGCGTCTCGCACTGATGAGCGCAAGTAGAGTGGTTTCTGCCACATATCTGCTGGCAACGACCATGATCGGTCTGAGTTTCGCCCGTATCACTTCTGGTGACACACTTGACACATGAATGCTTACACGAATGACCACAGGCTAACGGTGCCCGACATTGAGCAGTACATCTGTAATGTGGAGAGGTCACATCAATATGGCATGCCACGGTAACATCATGTCTGCAGCCCGGAACGGTTCTCTTGACCAAGACAGCGCACCGGACGGTTGACAAGTCCTGACTCTGCCAGCATGGAAGATTAGGCGCCAAATGACCACAATCAAGCTGCTTATCCTCCTGGAAGACATTCATCATGCATTTGATTGGGCATTGATCGCCGCACTTGTTTGGACAGGGGTGAGAGCATCCCAGAAGTGGTCTCTGACAAGGTTCTAGGCAATACACCGCATTGTGTAGAATTTCGGAATGGCACTTTTGCACACATGCATGACCACATAACATACGCCTCTCACATCGAAGATTGCACCCTCCTTCGGGGGAGAGACGTGGGAAGTCGTTTGGTTCGCAGACGGTTATCTCACTGTCCGGGTGCCGTGGGCACTGTAGCTCTAATCTGGTGCCAATGTTTCCGTTCTGCTCGACCATCTCAAGGACATCAGCCCACATGGGAACATGCATCGACGTCATCGAGTTGCCAATGATATACATGCCATGCTTAGCTCGAGAAAGAAGGACATTGATTCGATTCGGCGTCCGCAGAAAGCCACAATTGTTCTTCGGATTGCTGCGAACCAGTGAGATGACCACCACGTTAGCCTCCTCGCCCTGGAAATTATCGATTGTAGCAACCCGCACGCTCTGCAGCAGAGTTGATCTTACTACAGTGCAGTCTGGAGTCATATCATCGTCAAAGCCAGCCTTATTGAGGTCATCCTCATCACGGTCCCCCAGAGCGATTGTGTACAACTGGCCGAGTCTGCGTCGTAGTTTGTGAAGCTGACCAAGGTAAGGTGTGATAACAGCAATATCACCCTTCCTGTACTTTCCCTGCCGTAAAAGGTGACTGACAAGGGCTGTAGTCATCTCAACTTCATAGTCGTTCCATTTTGATATGGCTGTTGCATCCTCAATTGACGGGTCTGCCTCTGGTACACGGTGATCTAACCAGAATAATCGCTTTCGAAGCCCAGCAACGCCAGGGTATGCACTCACAGATGTTGCGTCTTGGAGCTGTGGATATAATGTGCCACGTACAAGCTGAGCAATGGATGGATGCATACGCCGCTGCGTATTCAAAGTACTGAATGGCAGATTGGCACCCATAGGGCTCTCTGCATCGACAAGGCGTTCGAAGAGAGATACATCCAATGCGTACTTTTCACCACCATTCTTGTTCTCGCGCGATAATTCATGATTCTGTACTTGGGGCCGGAGCTGGAGATGATCCCCAATGAGAATTGCATGTTCGACCGATGGCAAAAGAGTGGTAAGCACATGGGCTTCAAGAACCTCTCCTGCCTCTTCGCATAGCACAACCTTGGACTTCATCCTCCGGAGCATTTCAAGATTCCGTGCCAAACCACTCGTCGTAACGCCAACAATATCAGCTTGAGCGAGACATCGCAGATCAACTTCGTTGCGAATGTTATCAAGCTCACGTCTGGTAGTGTTATGTGACTCGCAAATATTTATCAATTTCTCTTCCATCTCGTTCCGTATCTCCATCTGCCAATGTCGGTACAGAGCTTCTCGTTCGAAATGTGACATCTGCGTAAGGTTGACCGAAATCAAATCTTCGACCTTTCGAACATGATTGGCGTCGGCTTTCCCACCGGAAAAGCGCCAACGATTGAAGACCTTGCTGTTCATGCTCTGTTGGTATTTGAAGCTGTCTTCATCTGTGCCGAAAAGCTGGTTATAATGATCCGTATGGTGATCGCGCAATTGATGCATTAGTCGAGCAGGTGTGATTCTCTGCGTCAGGTCTATGCTCTTAAACTCACGAGCACACTCTTCCAGAGAGCGATGAGACTCCCATTGACTGCTCTTTTCAAATTTCGTCTTGTCAAACTTTCTCGCGAGCGTGCGTAGTTGAAAGGGCTCCATACATTCAGATCTGGACCGCGAACCGATTCGAACGATTTGCTTGGTGACTTCGCTTTGCAGTAGGGAACCCAAGAGTTGGTCAAGAGCATGGTTGGTGTATGTTACGCATAAGATCGGTCCTAAGTCTGCCATACCAGGGCCCTTATTTGCAAGAAGGACCTTGATAATAGCAACACCTGTATAGCTCTTGCCGGTTCCGGGTGGTCCTTGAATCAATCCAAGTCTTCGTTGAAGAGCATCGACAAAGCCAGTCGCCTGTGCATCGTCGAGGCTGGAATGCTGACGCAGAGCTCGTAAGTCGGCTGGCTGATCGGGATAGACATACAGATCCCTATCTTCATTTGTCAAGCATCGGAGATTGAATCGGAACCCCGGGTTTAGGGCATAGCGCGGAGGAGAGACTGTATTGGGCTCGGAGGTACTAGGACGAGGAGGAATGACCAGTTCAGACAGGGGCAAGTTCGCGGTCTGCTTTAATGTCTGGAGTGCTCGTAGAGTCGGCTCAAAAGCTGGGAGAAGGACACCGGGAAACTCCACCAGAGCGGAGCACGGTTCTTGCTGTGTGTATTGTCTAATAAGACTCTGGATATTCTTGTTTCTCCCATCGGTCAGCTCCACCGTAATGCGTGCAACTTGAGGATCTTCCGATAGAGTGCACAAATGATTTTTCTCTTGTCGCTGGTTTCTAGCGCCGTGTCCTTGTGACATGTTCTCTGGCTGTTGTTGAACGATGGTACAGAAAAGCACAAAGTTCGATTTAGTTATGAGGCATACCAAAGCACCTGGCTGCAAGCGTTTAGACATTTTCCACCATTCTTCGCGCTTCGTAGCCGACGTTGGAGCGACATTGGCAGGCTGACGAAAGCCAACCTCGAATTGAACACCGGCCATCGAGTCAAAGTCAATCTTGAGGATTCTCACCCGGTGGTGCACGTTTGTACGCTGTTGACTCTTATTTTTCTGGGATTGTCCTGAAAGCTTGATTTCCGAATGGATGGCATCACGGAGAAGACCGATGGTATCTTCCCGCAACAAACGAAAGTTGCGATCTAATAGCCCCTCAAGACCATGTAGATGCCACTGTGAAGGATCGCATAGGGGAAGATACTCGTTTCGTGTACTCAGGATCTCTTGGTAACTTGGCATGATGCGGATCCGACAAATATCTGCATGATCATTGTCATGGCGGCCCCCAGGTGGGTCGCACTTACTGACAAAGGGTTCATAATTTCCGACGGCATTTCGAGAATTATCTTGGCCGATGCTCGGAAGGGAGCTACCAATATTAAAACGTCTCAGGAGGCGTTCTAGGTGCACTTGAGATTGGTGGTGTAAAGAGGTCTCCGTATGACTGCTCGTCCAGGGGAGAAAGATCTCCTCAAATCCTTTGGCAACGGTTCTGAGGGATTCTTGAACGAGGGCCTCCGAGTTGAGCTCGACCATCTGAGAGAAGACCAAAAGAGTAACCTCCAACCAGGATGCGGTGATCTCATCTTTTACACGATCTTTCAAGACGTCTGAGATGTAGGCAAAGAGTTGTGATGCACTGACACCCCCTATGCCATATAGAAAGTTGTAGATGGTTCCGACCGCTTGCTCGAGGACGGGAGACGGTAGGACCTCTGGGTGGGAAATTACTTCGAAGATTGGGATGACCTGAGCTCTGAGAAGTTGTTCCTGTCTGGAGCCGTCCAGGCCTTCGAAGGTCTGTTCAAGCATTTTCTTGATACATCTCGAACCACTCTCAGTACCAAGTGTTTGTATGACGGACTGCCGCATGCCAACATCAATGTCGATGAGTCGCCGTGCCTCTCGGAAGACGGGCCCCAACTGAGAGGCAGTGCTAATAGCATCAACGTTTCTTTTCCATGCTCGAAGGTTTCTCTCTGAGTTCGATAGGCGAGCATATGACGATCTGTGATGAGATGCTGGTCTAGGAGAGGGACTCGCTTGGTCGTTTTGCACGTGGGCGAACCTGCAGTTCCTTCTGTTGCAGTGTCCCTTGTTCGCAAACTCGTAACATACCCTAGATGAAATAACGCCGTCAATTCAGAAGACATGAAGAAATGTGGGAGACAACTGACCCTGGAGCCATGATCACTGAGCCGCAGATGTATGATCAGACAACATCGATGATATGATTGTTGAAGATTTCGTCATCAACAGTCGGTGGATAGATGTACCAGTTTGGTTGCAGGATATGAAAGGCCGGAGGCACGCTGGTGGGATTGTATTGACGTTAAACAAGTGAGCGCGTAGAGATAATTCTCGAAATCTTCTCTTGCCGTCCCAAGGAAGAGGGATTATCCAAAAGAGGTTTGGCTAAGCATAAAAAAAGGGAAGAGAAGGTAATGTGAGCGAAGCTGGAACAGAGAAGAGTGAATGACGGTCCGCAGAAGCGGCTTTGTGAATATTCAATGTATTTGATAGAAACTCACTACCCCGCAGACTTGTGGGTATGCGACAACGACTGAGTTCTAGATTGTCATGACACTTTTGATATCCAAGGCAGTGTCCAGCCGAAAGATAGAACAGACAATAGTCGAGCGGGATGTGTAATGGACAGACTCGCAAACGAGGCTCAAACGCAACGGCTGTCTGCTGAAAGGAAGGAGGAGTTACGTTAGTGGACAGATCATAGTTTGGTAAGGGGTTAGACAAGTCCGTTTGTCTGTTGTTGGTTTTGCTGCAACGCAACAGGAAAGGAACAAATTCATGAAGAATACATAAATTAAACTCTAAACTCCGGAGCAGTTCATGAAAGCAAAGTAATGATAATTTTCAATTGCAAGCCCAAGTCCAAGTTCGTTTTATGCCCACATATAAGTAAACCCGGAAGCATCGAAACGCGAAAACCGAAGAGATATGATACCTAACCCAACCGTGCCATTGAAACAGTGCCAGACAGTACAAGGCAAATCCGCAACCAACCCAGCAGCCCCTTTACTCGTCGCCAACCTCCTCCACTCGAGGCGCCAAATCGCGCTTGACAGTGCTGGAAGTATCGGGTGCTTCAGTTGCTGTCGTGGATGCTGCCGGAGCTGCGTCGGTGGCGGTCTCGGTAGCAGGTTCCGTGGCCTCACCAGCCACAGCCTTCTTCGACTTCGACTTCTTCTTCTTATTCTGTCAGGTTGGTCAGCATTGTCCCAGGCCAGGAGAAGAAGATACACATACCTCTTGCCAGCCCCACAAGGGCTTGAAACTGTCTACGAACCCAACATCTTCAAACAAGTTCGGGAAGAGCCAGAGACCAGGCGGCACCGCGAAGACAGTAATGCAGAACAAGATGAGACGGAAAATCGACATAGCGAAGAACAATCCCAGCAAACCCATCATGCCGACACTCAAGTACCAGACTCCCTGTCGCAGCATCATGGGCCATAGAGGGAACAACACGACAGCGAAGATACCCGCCACAACGGCACCCGCCATCAACTTCTGCTTCAATTGAGGTCCCTCGTACAGCCAAACATAGTGCATCATCGGGTTGGTCTCCTGGTGCTGCTCGATCTTGACCGTCCACAGTCCCTTGACACGGTTCTTGGGTTTGGCGTGGTTATGTCCCGCGTGAGGATCGACCTTGGAGACTCGGAGAGCCAGAAGGGACAGGGGCAGAAGCTTAAAGACGTTCTCGGCGGAAGCACGGTCGGTCACTGGCGGGAGGAGGGAGTTCTTCTTGGCGGCGGCTTTAGCATAGGCGGGGGATTCAAGGGCGCGGATCGCGCGTTTCACTAGAGAACTGTATCAGCGCCGCTGTTATCGAACGAGCTACCACGTTATCGAACCTTTGAACATCTCCTTCCGTTGACCGTCCATGATACAAGTCCGCGTCTTGAGGTTCTGCGACTGCAGGAACTGCGCCACCGCGATCGCCTTTGGATCGGGAGGATTGGACGGGTTGACGGGAACTTGACGAGTCGTCTGCTGGGGCTGGGGTTGTTGAGGTGTTGGCAGGTTCTGGCCGGGCTGACCGGGCTGACCGGGCTGACCGGGCTGACCGGGCTGGCTGGGCGGTTGAGCTCCCTGAGCTTGTGCTTGGGCCTGGGCCCGGGCTTGAGCCTGAGCCTGAGCGATCTGTTGCTGGTGTGCGGCGATGGCGCGCGCGCGGAGCTGCGCGACATATTGTTCGGTGCTCATGTTGTGCTTAGCGGCCTCTGCGGCGAGTTGTTCACGCTGCTGCTGGGCAAACTGTTCCGGAGTCATTCCGCGTCTGGCAGCTTCAGCAGCGAACTGCTGCTGCATGGCTGCGATCTGCTGGGGAGATGGCCCACCGGGCGCCGCCATAATGAGTGATGGATGTGTAGATCGAGCTAGCTGATAACAGAAAATTTCACGCGACGTTGGCAATAAAACCCCTGGGTATATTCAGGGTTGAAAAAAGCACGCAAAAAGGCGAGGAAGAGTTGGGCTGGTAGAAAGGGCGGGGTGAGATAAGTTGAGTTGTGAAGTGAGGTGAGGTGAGGTGGAAGCAAAGTAAAGCAAAGAAAGAAGAGGCCAGATGGTGTTTGGGCCGGGCTTAAAGTCACCCACCGCCTTCTTCTCCGCACTCGGCCGGCCGGAGCTTTTCCTCCTCCCCTCTTCCGTGCTGCTCCATCTTCCCTTCTCCACTGCTGCATCATCAACTCATGCTTTGTCGCATGTAGCTTCAAATCCAACGGTCATGCCGACTGTTCCATCGCGCAATCAGCCTCTCCGCTGTCCGCGGCCTGTAGTAACGCATCAATGAAGTTCGATCCCGATATAATTCTCAATGCGACGCAGTCGGCTGTCTTCCTGGTGAGTTTGCGACAAACTCCACCTTACGTTGAATCATACCACTAATGTCGCATAGAGCGAAAGAGACGTCGCCGGCCAGATCCCGCTGAATTTCGTCACCACCTCATCCGTCTCCCTGCGCGCAGCATGCTTTAGAAACAATATCTATGACAAAGATGCGGCTGGGCGATGCATCTCGAACCTACTCACGGTCGGATATCGTCGCTTGATCGTGGACCTGTACTGGTCCCCCGACGAACGCAAATGGCTGCTTTGCCCAGTCTCAATACCCCAGGACGCGACGGTCGTCAGTGTCTCCGGTACCGCGACCGAGACCGCGACCGCAACCGCGACCAATGCCGCGCAGGCGACCGTCACCGCAACGGCTAGTTCCTCGGGGTCGCTGCTCTACGAGCTCGGCTCCTACCGGTGCACCACCAAGGTCGACCTCGACGGGCTGATCGACGTGCTCCGGGGCCTGTTCCAGCGCACTAGCACCGAGCTGACCGCATACATCCGCTTTGTCACATTCAACCTGCACGCCGCCGCCAGCGCCGCGCACCCGGACGAAGCCGCCTCGGAGCTGACCGGCGGCCAACTGCCCACGGGCTCGGACACGCTCAACTCCATCTTCGACCACCAGCTCTCCTCGTACGTCTACACCCCGTCGGAGCTCGCCTCGGAGCGCGCCAACCTCAACGAATCCTGGTACGAGGTGGACGACAGCTACAAGCCGATCGCGGAGTACTTCACCGTGGACTCGGATGCCAAGGGCATCCAGAGCACGCCGGACGGGTGGCCGTGCGGGAAGTTCGTGCAGCTGGCGCGCGAGAAGCGGCTGCTAGTGGAATACGGCACCGTCGACCCGCAGCTGCAGGGGTACGACCTGTCCGCGGCGCACAGCCTGATCTTCCCGGCGCACTACCTGTCCTCGACGATCTCCATCTCCGTCGACGCGGCGGGCCAGCTCGACTCGACCTGCTACTACGTGCCGGGCGCCGCCGGCATCGCGGACGCCAACTCCTCCTGGGCAATCTCCGACTACATCCCGATCCCGACCGGACAGTCGCGCAATGCCACCATCCAGGAGATGTCGGCGGTGTCGGTCAACCTGACGGCGTGCGGCCTGACGCCGTCGCTGAACGACACGCTCTTCAACACCACCGCCGCAGACACCATCACCCCCTACGAGCAGCTCTCCATGGCCACCTCCTGGGCCTGGTCCATCCACCAACCCGCCGACACCTCAACGTCATCCTCAGACTCCGACTCAGACACCTCCACAAATAACCACTGCGCCGTCATGGACCTCACCCTAGCAGGACACTGGCGCGCTGTCAACTGCAGCCTCACGCGCCACGCCGCCTGCCGCGTCGGCACCGCCCCGTTCACCTGGCGCCTGTCCGCGACGGCGCACTCCTTCGCCGACGCCTACGACCACGCCTGCCCGCCCAACACCTCGCTCTCCATCCCGCGCACCGGCGTCGAGAACTCCTTCCTGTACCACTACCTCCTCACGCAGTTCGACGTCCTCGACTCCGCGGCCACGGCCACCACCAAAAAAGAAGTCTGGCTGGATCTCAACTCCCTCGACGTCACCTCGTGCTGGGTGACGGGCGGGCCCGACGCGGGGTGTCCGTACGCGGCCGACCCGGGCGAGCTGGAGCGCCGCACCGTGCTCGTGGCCGCCATCGCCGGCATCGTCATCTGCATCATCGCCGCCTTGACCCTGTTCGTGAAATGTAACGCGAACCGCCGCAATTCCCGCCGGAATAAGCGCGTCATCAAGGGGTGGGAGTATGAGGGCGTTCCTTCTTAAGATGCTCCATTGCTCCCCCTAAAATCTAGAAGGGAATGTATTCGACACATCTTTTGATATTTTCTTCATCCTTTAGGTACCATGTACTTATTTGTTGCTTTGTCTTTCTTTTTGTACAACTTTCATTGCTGGAGTACCCAGCTGTACATATGTGTATTACAAATGTTCCAGATATCTCATCGATATGTTCTTCCATTCCATTTTTGTTCCTGCTGTAATCCAGCCAATATGGACGTCTGTACACTACTTACAATACGCAACACAAGGGGTACCTAACGGAGTATCACAGCCGAGCGGGAATTCCCATCCATCAAAGCAAATCAAATCAACCAATCATAATCCACATAGATCGTCATAATCCATCCAAATCAACAACCCGTCGAGTCATGAAGAAAAATATCACAAGGAGACCCTCCCGTAAGCACAAATAATTACAAACCACATCACGTCACAAGTTACAATCCCCCACAACACCGAGCCTACAGCCCAGCGAACCGCGCCCATCCGGCCGCACGCACAGGCTTGGCATTCTCGTCACCGCGCGCGGGACTACTGCTCTCCAATCCCGGCTTCTTGCTCGTCTCCGCCCGGCCTTCCTCCGCGATCTTCCCGCTGACGTCGCGACGTCTTCCGACCCCAACGACGCCCAAACCGGCAAGGTAGTTCCCGTAGGACATCGACGAGGCAGAGTTGGCAGTCGCAGCGGCATGCGACTCCGTGGCCGTTCGACCAAAGTCCGCGCCGGAGTTGCTGACCACGCGACCCTTGCGATCGCCAGCCAGAGTAACGGGGTCGGCTTGCAGGTAGTCGTTATCGTCGTCATCGTGCTGCTTGAGTGCACCGTAGGCGCTGCGCTTCTGGTTCCGATTCATGGTGAACTTGCCGAGCTTTTGTCCTAGACTGGCCTTTCGCGTCATGTTGTCACTACCACTGTCGTTGCCTCCGCCTGCCAGAGATACGTCTCCGTAGAAGGTCTTGCTCTTCTTCGGGCTTGGGTCGGTAGAGATTGCCTCTGAAGGTTGTTGCGGGTTAGGTGATAGGTTTGGAATATCGGTCAAAGCCATACGGCCGCTGCTGTTGCTTGGCGAGCGGGTGACGCTGCGGATACCGTTGATCCTGGGCTGCGGGGTCGGAGGATTCAAGGCAAGGGGATTGACGCGCAGTGAGTTCCGAGTTTCTTCGTCAAGGTATTCGTGTTCATGGTCGCTGTCTTGGAAAATGTCGATCCGGTTGTCGCCGATGTCTTGTTCAGCGTTGTCATAAAAGCCAGTACGGTACAGAAAATCGTGAACGTCGTCGTCATTGTTGTGGCTGTAGAACTCGTTGGCTGCAATCGACTCATATTCGCCGCGAACGTCTTCTGTGATGGCTTGTCCAACGGGCCGATCTTGTCGATGCGAGCCGTTGAACCAATCCATGACCCCATTCTTGGCCGACGTCAGTGTCTCGGCGGCACTGTATGCGGAGGATGGTTCACGAGGGTCTGGATGCTGAGTCTTTGCCTCAACTGGGGTCCCAGAGCGAGATGGGTACACGATCCAATTATCTGAAGCAGGACTCGCGCATTGAGACCGGGGAGGCATAGCAGGTGACGGCTTGCGGACTGGGGAGCCATGTGAGATTGTTGTGGTTGGTCGATTGAAAATATCGGGATTCTCGATTGGCGAGTTGATAGTGATATCGTCCGGAATATCATTAGGCTGCTGGAATGGCAGCTGAGGGATCGACTCGGCCCGCGACATGCGCTGCTTGGACTGCGAATATTGAGAATGTCTCTTATCGGAAACACTGGGAGGATAGCGACTCAAGCCATCGAGGTACGAGTTCTCGCGGGTGTGGACGAATGGCATTTTGCGAGCATCGATCAATGGATCTTCACTTGAACCAACGTCAGTATCCAGAGTGGACAAACTAGCATGCTTCTCTTTGATGCTCTGTCTGCTGCGACTCATTGGGCGGGCAGTGAGATTGTCTTCCAGTGGGTTCATGTCCGGAGGCAAACGGTGGATCTGGCGGAAGATTATCCCCAAGAAGATGCAGATCCCAAGGGATAGAGCATGCAACCCTCCGTTGACAACACTCAGTAGAAACGTGGACTCGGCGATCTTGGCTGTCACATCAAACTCAGAACTCAGCATCGTGGTCCAGTTCCAGGCGGTATCAGTCCACTGTCTGTAGCCCAGAAATGCCGAAAAGACGTAGAACGGAACTAATCCCAGATCTAGAGTTCCAGCGAACAGCATGTAGCTGGCCTGGGAGCCAGGGGGCCTGCTGATCGCAGATCGACTCAAATGCCAGATACTGTATATGTTGTGCAAAATCGCCACAGCGGGCTAGAGCGCGATCAGTACATATCTACTCCTCGTGGTCTAGTGCAGCACTTACCCCCACTCGCACGATCCAGATGATGGTGTTTGCTGCATTCTTGATGACAATTGAGCAGAACAACGATCCCAGCGCACCGATCAAGGCGAGAATTCGCAGTCCCAGTTGCACCTTTCTTCCGTAAATTACTCTACTCTTTGTGTGGAGGCTCATTGGAGTCCATCGCGTCCGATCGGGAACATTGTAGTACTAGAAGTGATGAGCATGAATAAACAGACGACGCTGACGATCGGTAGAGGTGATGCTTACCGAGTCCGGGTGCCGATTGAGATCAACCAAAGGACCTTTGACTTCCGCTCTCGGCTCTGGTTGAGCCCAGCTTGCTTCTGTCACGGCCTTGGGATTGAAGGTTTGGCTGTAGAAACGTGGCGAAGCTGTATGCTGGCGAATGGGGCGATCATACAAATATGGAGGGTCGGACTCGCCCATGTTCGCGATGGATGACGACGACGCCGCGAACTAAGGACTAGAGCATTGACCCACGCGATAGGCGGGGTGGAGAGCAGAGATTGAGAGGAATGTGGAATGTGGGAATGCTGTGTGTGATAAGCTTAAAAAGAAAGAAAGAATACCCGTCGCAACCACCAGAAAGAGGTTCACGAGGGGAGGAATAGGAAGTGAACGACAGTAATGACAGCGGGAGGGAGAATGTAAGAACCGTGGAACGAAGAGGAGGAGGAATGGAAGAGGAGAAAGCGATGGGAAGTGGAGGGGAGGGGAAGCAAGCGCGCACCTGCAGGGCTGGCTGGCACCTGCAGCAGAGCAAGCAGGCTGCGTCTGTCATCATCCATCAGTTAACTAATCACACTCCAACCATCATCCACCATCTTTCAGGTTCCTTCATTTCCATGGTTTGCGACCCGATCGTCAACAACACGCCCGATTGTCGGCCCGGCAACGGATGTGATAGAGCTATCACGTGATACGATGTCATCGGACCCTGCAAGTGGCTTGCCCGTGGTTCTTCCGCTTTTCCCCGGAATGGTTGACTGAGAGATTCATTTTCTCCCCCCTCAGACACGATGCATCTCCAACGTGCCCCTTATGTCTGCGCTCAATGCACCGCGCAGATCACTCGCTCCTCGTGGCACGGCTTGACACGATCTCGGCGAGCTCACTTCGTCAAACAAACTCGTCGATACAGCCAAGTGGTACAGAATGAGAGACCCTTTCGTGTCGCCGTCATAGGCTCGGGTCCGGCCGGCTTCTATGCTGCCTATCGCTTGCTCGCCAAGGTGGACGGAGCAGTCGTTGATATGTACGAGAAGCTGCCCGTCCCATTTGGTCTGGCCCGATATGGTGTTGCCCCTGATCATCCCGAGGTCAAGGTACGTTCAGACATTGCGACCGAGCATCGCTCAAATCCATGACTTACATACCATCCGTCCAATTCAGAACTGCGAAGATAAATTTACCGAGGTCGCCACATCCCCGCGATTCAACTTCATTGGCAATGTCGAACTAGGCGCGCCTCTCCCTCTGAGTACGCTCAAGCCCCACTACGATGCCATCCTTTTCGCATACGGCGCGCCCAAGGACAAAGAGCTCGGCATCCCGGGCGAGAAAGCCGCTCGGAACGTCTACTCGGCGCGGGAGTTTGTCGGCTGGTATAATGGCCTTCCCGAGCATCGGGATCTGGCTCCAGACTTGACCACTGGGGAGAATGCTGTCATTGTAGGACAAGGCAACGTGGCTCTGGACGTGGCCCGGATCTTGCTGTCGGATATTGATGTATTGCGCAAGACGGACATCGCGGAGTATGCGGTAGAGGAGCTGCTCAAAAGCAAAATCAAAAGGGTCCGCGTTGTGGGTCGTCGAGGACCAATGCAGGTATGTCCTGCTTGACTGCTCTTGGCCGTGTCTTCACAGAAACTGACCGCATTGGGCTTCAGGCTGCGTTCACCATCAAAGAGCTCCGCGAACTCCTCCAGCTACCATCCGTAGCGTTCGACCCGGTCCCTAAGGATCTATTCCCTCCCGAAGAAGTCATGTCAGCACTGCCTCGCGCCCAGAAACGTCTGGTCCAGCTCCTCGCCAAGGGTTCCACAAACGACCCATCCAAAGCACAGAAGTCATGGTCGCTGGACTTTCTCCTCTCTCCCGAAAGCCTGCATACATCCCCCGAGAACCCCGCCCGCCTCTCACATGTCACCTTCGCCCGCAACCAACTGGACACGTCCGACCCATTCCTTGCCAGCGCCAAAGTGACCCCTCAATATCTTCCGACCGGCGAGCGGGCTACCGTTGACCTTCCCGCGGACGCATTCTTCCGAAGCGTGGGATACAAGTCGCTCGCGCTGCCGGGCATGGAAGACCTGGGAGTCCAATTCGATGCACAGCGCGGAGTGATCCCCAACGATGGATTCGGGCGGATCACCAGCCGCACCGAGATCGGCGATCGTCAGGAGCTTCCCGATGGCTCGATCATCTCCCATCTGCCCGGTTTGTACTGTGCTGGCTGGGCCAAGCGCGGTCCGACGGGCGTCATTGCCACGACGATGACCGATGCGTTCACTACGGCCGATGCCATTGCTGCCGATGTGAGGGGCCAAATCTCGCTCAACGGTCCGAACAAGAGCACCGGCCTCGGCTGGGAGGGCGTTCGTCCGGAGGCCGAGAAGCGCGGCCTGCGACCCACGAGCTGGGAAGACTGGCAGCGGATTGACGGCGCCGAGCGCGCGCGCGGCCAGGAGAAGGGGAAGACCCGCGACAAGTTCGGGCGAGTGGAGGAGATGCTGGATGTTGTGGCATGAGACGATAGACTTGTACTATAGAAGAATCAGAAACGCACATCTCACCTGCCGCTACACCAACCTTACCAACCAGTTATCTGGTCACAGCGGTAAAACAAGCACCCTCCATCAAACCAAAGCTACGAGCACGAGCACGAGCACCAGCCCTCCGATCCACAACCGGTAGCCCCGTACGACAGACCTGAATACTATCCCGCTCTGCTCTTTTTTGAGCCTCTGAACCCCCCACTGCAGCCTTGGCTTGGCATCGTCCGACCATTGAACCTTGCGCCCCCGTACGTTAAGATCCCATATTCGAGATTATTTGACTATGATATAGTTGTTTAACTTACGTTACAACAACAATGAATCCTAAATATCAGACATTCTACATCTTACTTTCTTATGTTATATCCTGCATCCCCACGCCCCCAGCAGCAAGAATGTCACGACCATTCCGGTGGATCATAGTTAGTCTCGGGGAGCGGGGACCAGAACCCCGAGTGTCTGCGCTCCGTCTCGGACCAAAACAAACACGTTGTGAGGAGTAGAAATAAGGAAAGTCTAGGCCATATGGAATCATGGACATTTTGCTTGGGGATTTCTCGCAAAGCTATGGAACCCATAATCCAGACACGCGACGACACAATCGATGAAACTTAACGGTCCAGTTACCCATGGGCCCCTGAACCAACAAACATCGCGTGCCATGAACCATCCATATATACACCTTCCACAGCACCACCATCACTGTCAACCACAAACCCTACCCTACCCCTCACCAAAATTTACTATAAGCTGACATACAATCACCCTTACCAATAAAAGAAACAAATGCCAAACCCCCAGTTCTTCAACTCACCCCATTAATCGGTCATTTGCCCCGGTCTCACTCAAACACTCCCCCCTCCCCCTACATGAGTAAGTCAGTCCCCAACAACATGACTCAATCGAAGCAAGACCAACCCAAGTGGAAACAATTACCACATCGCAACTCCAATTTCAGATCATCAGCATCGGGGATCCTCATCCGCCCGTTCCGCTAGTCTAGTCTAGTCTTTCTCCCTCCCCATTCTCCAATCCTCTGTTGGAAACGAGAACCTCGAGATGAAAATAAAAGCGCCCGATCGTGAAGCTAAGACGTTAGGGTGAGGCGGTGTCTTTAGGTAGATATTAGACAGAAATAGGGAGGTAGGCTAGACTGGGTTAGGGCCGGCGCTAACCTTAGGGGCCGACGACGGGGTCGAAGGGATTTAGAGATGCCCATGTTATAGCTGATTACGTGGGAGAGGGGGGTACGGGTGTTGGATACCTGGCTATATTATGTACCTTGGGGTATTTGTACATTTGAGAGTGTTGTTTTTATGCTGGATGGCGGTTTGGTTGTAGTGTTGATTGCAGGTTGGAATGAAAAGTTATGGTGTTGTATGTCGAGTCAGCGGGAGAGATATATGGCCGTATGGAGTGAATAGACCAAGGCTGGAGGTAGTTCCAGTATGTGAGATAGTAGGCTGTGGGTATGAGATTTATTTCTCATACCTGGCAAGATAGTATCTTCTTTCTTGATGAGAACTCCAGACTTTATTCTGATCATGGAAGGGCGTATATATATATGACATGATACTGGGCCAGATTAGTAGACACGAATTGGGAAGGAAAACGGGTTCTGGAATATAGCGCCCCTTATCAAGTGCATAACTGGACTGCCAGGATGTAGTCAAAAATATTTGAATTCTCCTGGGGTGTATTATTGGTCTCAAGGCTGGGGAGGAATATACATGTTTTAGGACTGAAGGAAACCGAGAAATCAGCATCGGAGTAGACACGATTATTTGAGAAATGAGGGCATAGATGGCAATCAATCGAACCTCATGCTTACGCTAAAACATGGCCTTATCAGCTATAAAACTCGTTCTCACTTCAGAAAATGATATGCTATTATACTATGAACCATGGCTGTCATGTAAGTCATGATAGCTAACAATGATGCCATGCCCTGTCCAGGCGCAGTTCAGTGTCATTGGTTCTAGTCTGACCAACAGACCATAGCTTTGTCGATGAAGGATCGTCCAAGCACCTTCATGAACAGAATGGTGAAATTATGGAAGGAACAATGGAAATCATCCGACAGCAAGTAACACGCAACTGCGGCTGCTCTTCCTCCAATCTCATCGCAAGAACATGGGTCTAGAGCACCTCTAGCCAACGGAACCCAACCAAAGCACACGGAGCTGATTTTATCCATGCTCATCTCCAGGTCGTTATGATCGCCATAGTGTTGCGAATCATTCTTCCATCTAGACGAAACCCAACCAATGACTGTCGCACAGCTTACATCCAAGTCCCAAGTCACGCAAAGGTATCGTCAACCGCCCTGCCCCCTCTCAACACGCTCGAACATGCGTCGTGGTCTCTCGATATCCACCTCCTTGTTACCGTTACCAACACAGCACGCGAGGAACCACGGACTATACACGAAGTCTTGGCCCACTGGGTACCATCCACGGTTCCGACCTCAGCCACCAAGCCACATCCATAGTTACGGGACGTAAGCTCCAGCCACAGCCACTCATTGCTTCGGCTTCGAAAATGACGCTGGACTCGGGATTCACGCAGGCTGTCATTTGCCAGCTGCGCAGCCACCGGGAAGGATGTGTGCGCATTTTAGTGGATCGCTTAGGCGACAGACGCGAAGAAAACCTGCTGCCGTCGACGACCAGCTCAGGCATCCTGCAACGCGTGTCGGTAAGGATGACCACGTTGGGAATGGTTGCCCAGAGGAGAGGTATGCTGTAAGTTGGCGGCGAGTCAGTGGCAGAGATGACAGCGCCAGCGACAGCAGGAGAGACAGGTGCTTGGTTGTGTCGCCAAGCTCATGCTGCAGATGTATGTATTTTAACTCAGATGTATGCTAGCAAGTGTCGGCCGCTAGATACGCAACGGACTGCGGCATCAAGGTAGGTAACTACCGGTAACGAGGTAGCTACTCGACCCTCTTTTCGACTAGCAAATGCATCATGCAGCCTCGCTTGACCCGAGTATCCGGACAGATGAAGGTTTTCCTGCCGTGTCTCTCAGCGACATCCTTTGCTCCGGAGACTAGCAGCACCAGAACCAGCAGGCATCTCGTATAAACGGGAAACAACCGAGAAGCTGATAGAAAACTTTATTTGCCAGTCGATGCTGGTGACGATCCAGCCCCTGTTTCGTTGAGAAGTGACTGAGCGAGTCGGAGCTGGAGCCGCAGGGAGTTGCCGAAGAGGGAAAAACCAGAGTAGGCCTAGTGCGGCAGCCGACGAGATGGAGACCAATCATATTTCTCACCGGCTCAAGCTTCCACGTTGTGGGGCCGGCCTGTCGATCTTCATGCCGACCGCGCTTCCAGACCGCCCATTGGTCGGGGCAGTGCCATCCAGGGCAGCCGGCTTCGTATCCGCTTCAGTGTCCGTCGGTGGGGTTGACAAATTGAACGTGCAACCGGAAAGGAGGGGGAGGTATCCGTAATCACACAACAAACAGCATTGACAGGCCGCGTCAGACAGTTACCAAGAAGAAAGTTATTAGTGATTATCAATTGCCCTCAATGGACAACCTAGGTGTACATGAATATGGATACAGGTATTGGTATAGTGATCATGGATATTCTCGTAAGTAAGAAAGATCGTGACAGGGGTGAGATATGCTCAGTAAGTAGAAAGAGTGACTGTATCCACACAGGAGGATGAAGGGGTAAAGAAAAAAGAAAAAAATTAATCTAGGGAATGAATGGCAGGTGGAGTAGGAATCCGGCTGAATTCTCCACCGGCATCACCCGCTGTGGCGATTCATCTTCTGAAAATCTTCGGGCTCGGCTGGCTCGTGCGAAATTTCGATGGTCGTCTCCTGGTACACGCCATGCCCCAGATCAGCCAGTTCCATGTCCGTCTTACGCACGATGTCTTCGGTAGACGAGTCGCGGTTGTCGTCCACCGTGTCGTTGATGCTCTGTAGGCCTCCCCGCCGAAATCGAGTCTTCATGCGCGGCTTTTTCGTCTCGCTGTGGCCGTGACCCGTCGTGATGTGTGTTTGGTATGCCGCCGACTCCGTGTAAGCATACATCCTGTCCGAGGCGCTGAGCTCGGTTTCCAACAACAAGTGGCGGCGAGTCAAGGTATACACCGCCACATCCACCAAGCCCGACAGAGCCATCAGGGTTCCGGCCACCGCAAAGTAAGCACGGCTAGGAATAATATGCCGGGCGGTTGACATGCGGCCAGCCGCCAACGGAAGCGACAGCACCAGATAAACCAAAGGATAAATGACCATGTAAACGACCACCCGGTTCAATCGCTTCAAGTTTTCTTGGTGATTCTGACGCAGAGACGCCGCCTCCTGCATACGGCGTCGGAGGTAGAAAAACATGATTCCGTAAAGAATGACTGTACCGAATTCGGCGAGGAAAATCCATAGATAATGCAGCCATAGTCGCTCCGTCTCGTGTTGTGGACTCAGCCAGCACTGGAGATGTGACAGAAGGATTAGTTTTTGAAACCTTGTACCAAGCAACTTCAGGACCACTTACCCAGCCTGCTTCGGATATAACAAAGGTCTCAGAGCCAAACAAGCCAACGGGAATGAGACCAAGGATGATGATGAATATCCAAAGGCCCACGACACTGGCGACAAAGATCGGGAATGGCAACTGTCGACCTCGCAGAACCACGGCACCCGTATGCATGGCGATCGCCAAGACAAACAAACCACTTCCAGGATCACCAGTCTGAATCCACCATCCTTGAAGAACACAGGGTGCACTTGGATAGTAGACATAGCCTTTGGAAACCCAGTGAAGACATAGCAAAAATGCCGTTGCTTGTTGGAGGTCGACCAGAAGGAGATTATAAATTAAGACAACGTACTGGTTCTGTGCCAGCGGACGCTTGTAGTATTGACGCCAGAAGATGAAACGATAGGTAAGGAATGACAGCAGACCGAAGGATGCAACAAATGAACAGAGAGCGACAACACCCATGGCGATGAACCCTGCTTTGTCGCTGGCCGTGAGAATTCCGACCTGCGGGGTCGACCGACCTGCAAGATGGGCGCGACCAGCATCACTGCTGTACAGCAGGTGTGACAGTAGTGACAGAGCAGGCATCGTTCATCTCCCGGTGTAAGAGTACCTAGATCCAAAATGCTAGGTTGACAGAGGTACCAGGGTCCAGCCGGCTCAGAAAAGTGACAGGCGCAGGCTTTAAATCCTGGGGCAGAAGGTTGTTGAGGATGCTAAGGGACTGGCAGGCTAGAAATTGGGTTATCATGCATGGCAACGTCCAGTCTAAATTCTCCGCGAAGCATCCTTAATTTTCGCTTCGCTTTCTAGTTGAATCCTGCCAGCACAATTGGCCGTGACCATCCACACGTCTTGCCTCTTCCGACTGAAGACCCGGATAGGGGCCACAAAGATCTGGTATGGAGCATCCGAAAATCTGACAATGGGTCAAGCTTAGTGCGGGTTAGTGAGTGGACCACAGGGACCAAAACACCAAATGCTAAGCTCGCATACTGCTAGCGCAGGATTTAGCAGGAATAGTACTCCGTAGCTTGCACGCTGCACGGTCTTCGTTCGCGGGGTCCACTTCTGCATCTAACACAATCATTTTTATTAGTATTCTCCGAGTCCGTTGCGCTGCACAACCGCTGATTTGCGAGGAAGCCTAGAAAAGACGCTCAATCCCAGAGGAGAGGAAGATTGCCAAGTTTTGATTGCCAGAACATACTCAATGAGTGTTTACGTCAATCTGTAACCGGAGCTTCTTCAAAAGTAAGGGTGCCGTTGGTGCGGACCAGGCGACAAGCTCCTTACTGAGGACTGCTGATCCATGCTAGAACAGCTAATCCCCTGAAGTCTGCTAGAGGGCCCGACAAGGAGTCGAAAGTTCTGTGCAGGATCGCCTGCAGGACGGAGTATCGATCTAATCTGCACGGGGAAGTCGGGCTGTTGCGCCAGAGATCTTCATAATTGGAACGCACGCTCTCCGATGATGCGACGGAGTCTAAACGCAGCTGGGTCAAGTAATTGCAGGCTTATACAGCCCCCGACTGCTTGTGGGCTAGTCGCTTTCGCACGCCATCGAAGTTTGTCAGTCAGGGAATTTACGTAGACACAAAGCTTCTCGACCTCAAGACTTCCGCCAGTGGAAGGCTATCGCGGCCCAGAAATCTGGTACCGGTTGTTGGTGGGAGATGATCCAAGGTATCAGCATCTTTGCATTGTTTAGATGCTGGTGATTGTGTTCTGTGGTATATTGAGAAAGGGAGTTGACAGAGTTGACATTTGGTGGTGGGCGAAAGGAAAGAGAAGGCAAGTCAAGTGACCTTTCCGTGTCTCTCGGTTTCTTTCCTCTTCAAGGTCTCACCAACACAACCAACACAACCAACTCAACTACTCATACTACATCGATGTCAACTCAACTGTCTCAACTCTTCCTTCTCCAAGTCATTCCTTCCACACGCCATCACATCTCTTACTCCAACCTTGACTCATTTCGGGTTGTGCAGTGATCTTCAGGGATGAGCGGACCTTTCCAAAGCCATGGTCTTGAAGCTTAATTGCTCGGGATTCCCCCATCGTGGCCAGAAGCTGACCCGATCGGCTGGGTACGACCTCGTGAGGCCCATAGATAGCCAATCTTCAGAAACAGCCATGTGATGGCTCATCCATGGTTCCTGAACTATACCAAACTTCCCAGCCGCGAGGCTGGTTCCAAGGAACGAGCTCCTAACCACGAACCGTGGTCTACTCCAAGTGCCATCCCACCATTCTGCGGCTACCCCGATACATCTATCATCATCAGCAGACACACCTTCAAACGTCAGATCCAGAGTACATGAACAGGGGCTCGACGGAAAATACTTTCAAACTTGTTGGTGGAATGGGCATGGGTTGTTGTCGCAGGTAACAAACAAAAAGAACGCGGAGACCAAGTCTTTTCTGGAGGGATTTCCAACCGGTCGGCAGTGGGAAAATACAGCAACTATCTCAGCTGCACAGTGCCTTAGAGGTGTTCGGCACCTCAATTTCTAACATAAGCCGTCGCGGCCCAACCCAAATGCGGCCGTGGTTTTCCACGCCAGGACTTCGGACCTCCTACACTGTGCGTACCCGACATTCTGTCTGGGGGTTACTCCGAACGTCGGATCTGGAAGGATTGATCGACGGGAGGCATCACGCTGCTTCGACGCCGGATGCGACGATCCCTCCCTAATGGCTCGTCTCGTTTCTTGGCATGATGAGACCTTAAACAATTAATGATCAAGTGGCACCATTCGCCAAGCTCCTCCCCAGAGTAGTCAAGCCTTCGCAGAAGATTTTTGGTTCAAGATCCAAACCATCATCGAATCGGCCATGTTTGACTCACCAGTAAAGTTCTCCCCATGCAGCTTCAACGTCGAGATTAATGATTGACGTTGTTAGAAGGAATACGGGAAGGAATGCTGAGTCGCTTGGCATGGGGTTGCATGACCTGGCCATGCTGCAGTTGTATTACTTGGATGATCTATGAATAGGATCCATTCCCAGTCAACCCACAGCCTCCAAGACAAGTCACCTGTTCTTTTCCCAGTCGGAGGTAGCCGGATGTGAGGGCAGCAAATGCCTCTAAGGCTGTATGTCTCATCCCAAGCCCGAGCTCGTTTGCTTTGACTGGTCCGGATTGTCTGTGCTGCGGTCCCTGCCACCCCCGCATGTCTCTCCCGCTCACTACTGATGTGGTGTTGCTCTCCGCCAAATGAGGGGGAATGTCTCACTCCCGCCTCGTTGTGTGCAGATCTATACCTGTCACTGTCCTAGTTCGGAATACGTGGACGATATATTCTGTGATCATGTTACTATTCCCAGCATCAGGCCTCCAGTGCTTAGGCGGATGCGACGGATCATAGCAGCACGTTGACCAGGTAGGTCATATCCAAGGCAACCACTGAGCGAGCCTACCTTCGATAACACACCGCTTCGCGACCAAGTCAAGGAAGAGAGAAAGCTTTATAAACCGCTCCTCGGACACTTCAAATTACCTGCTCATCAAGTTCATCACACACATCCTCTTACCCACGCAAGCAAGAAACCAAGAGTAACAACCTCGTCATACTCTCCCAGCCCAGACAATATTCGTTACGCCAAGATGAAGTCATTCGCATCTGCTCTGGCTGTTCTCAGTGTCTTCTACACCTCCGCCCTAGCCTCCCCAGTCGAGACCACTACCGAGGCCGCCGAGGCCGTCAGCGTTTCCGTCTCCTACGACACAGTGTTTGATGTTGGCAGCCAATCCATCAACACCGTCTCTTGCTCCAACCTGAACTACGCTACCTTTGCCGACATCCCGGGCTTCCCCAACATTGGAGGTGCTCCCACCGTGTCGGGCTGGGGCAGTCCCAACTGCGGAAAGTGCTACCAGCTGACCTACGGCACCACCTCGATTTACGTGACGGCCATTGATGCGGCTCCCGGCGGCTTCAACATTGCTGAGGCAGCCATGAACAGCCTGACCAACAACCAGGCCGTTGCGTTGGGTCGGGTTACAGCGACCTACACTGAGGTGGATTCATCATTCTGTGCATGAGCGGTCGGGAGGCTGTGAGCTTGGGAATTTCCGTCTGATTGGTTAATGGATTGAGTGATGGATATGTCATATGTCGGTCTTTGGAATTCGCTAATCATTTAATGTCATAATGTCAAATATCTGCACGTTTTGTGCACCGTCATGCAAGTCAACAGTAGCACTGTTGTAAGCAGCAAGTCACACGCTGACCTGTACAGCATCAATTGTAACGTCCTCAAGTAGTTCCTCCTGTCTCCAGACCATGGTTATGATGGTATAGAATACAGAAGAACGCCGGATGCGAAACTCTTCCCAGCACAATTTGCATCTTGCATCTCCCTCCGCTAAACAGCCTCAGACCCACTTGGATTAGCAGGGTTTCCATATACACCATCCCGTTCATCGCCCTCGACCCCACAATGTTGTATGGTCCTTTGCCTGTCCCTATGTAAAGTAAGTAGGTGCAATATCTCCTACTACCGTTTTTTAAACTATGCTACTTAGCCATATGCGCCCATATGCTCTCGGTTATCCATACTTCATGTTCAAGTCCGTGCGTGTGCGTGCCCTTTCCATCGTACAACAAACGCACGTGCGCGGGTGGTCTTCGTCGCCGTGGACGACCGACGCTACTTATCCTCAAATGCGCCGGCGTGGATCTGTCATCGTCGCAAGTAGGACGTATGGGACAGGGATGGTGAGGGTCTGCTTTTCTCGACCTTGGGGCCTGTGCCCATTCCCTTCCCTTCCCCTGTCCTTTCAATGACCAAGTTCCAGTGAGCTTTGTAGTTATCAGCATGGTTCGCATCCCCACAGCTGATGAATGACTCTCCTACTCCAGGCAGAAACCCCTTGTGTTGAAGAAATGTTCATTCTTCTCCACCTGCTAGGGGTGTCATAGACCCCGAGGCCGCTTAAATCCGATTCCTTCGGAAACTCAACGCACAAACCAGGTAAGATGGTATGCCGCGAAAAACTCGTACATATAGTGAGATTCCATCTATGTACCGGACTGACTGCCTCGGATATGAGAAACGAGTCAGTTGCGTCATGATGATATTTTTTTATACCTCTCTCTGCCGTGCGTGGTGCTGCTGCTGCTGCCGCCGCAGGCTACCCTGAGCACAAGCAATAGTAAGAGCCCAATAGTCAAACTTTGGGTTGCTGCTGCGCAGGAGCTGTTCGAGCTGTCTTTGATTGAAGGTGTTTCGAGTCTGAGGGAAACCTGTCAGTATGCGGACCACACCTAGCAATCTGGAGAAGATGCCTCCGGGTGGGGACTTACCGGCCGTTGATATGAAGGACCGAATAAGCATCTTGTTTGAGAACTAGAGTAGATGCAGCTGACACATGCGCGATGGTTACGCGCACGATCTGACCGGTCTGACATTGCCACGCATTCGGCGGAGTGGCCCTTGCCCTCCCGACATGACACCCAGGCTTCTTCTCTCTGGTAGAGTTGCCCCCGCTGCTGGAGAAGTTTGCTCTCCCGGTGCGATGACCGTGGTCCCGTTGGGTCGGTTTCGGGGTTTATTGGGGATTGGCCGCATCTGCAGCGGCATTCCTGTCGGGATGAGAGTCTCTGTCCACCACGGGAGCAGTCTCCTCTTCCAAGTTAGGCCTGATTGTTACCTCCCGTGGCCACGGCTTTGGTGAAAATGTTGGTGATCATTTTGATCTACTGCCGAATACCCTCAAGGCTAGCGCGAAGGCAATTGTATTTCAATAGATTGATTTGCAGACGGCTTAGTGGCAGCAGCAGTTGTTTTAGTGGTGGTGTCGTGGTGGTGGTAGTGGTGGTGGTGGCGATGGTGGTTTCTGTGCTTTACGAGTGGAAGCAATGGAGGTGCTCAAGTGTGCATCTATACGAGTGACTCTTGGCCAGCTGAAACCTGTATATCCCAGCCCTTTTGGCCAATCTCGTTTGGTCGTACGTGGTCACGAACCCATATCGACTCTTGTAAGACTTGACCTATACTGTCCATTAGCGAACGTGCCCGATGTATGGCTGTGGGATACGCTACCAATCAGCACTCCCAAGTCTTTGCCACGTTTCAAAGAAGCTGAATTCCCGTTGATCATGTGTGAGGTTGTAAGTCCCGAAACCGCTATTTGCCACACTCAGCTTACCGACGCAGATGCTCTGGAGTATGGATGGCTGCTCTAGGAGCCGCGGCTTTCGCCTTGGTCTTAGGCCTTGGATGCGGGTACGGGAAATTCTTTTCAGGAGTTATATTACGGCCAATACGGCCAGCACCTGACAGCTTTGATGAGCAAGGCAAGCAGAATTCTGGCCTTGCGAATTGCCAATCCACCAAGTAATGTCCTGTCTCAGGAGGATCGATTTAGAAAAGTCTGCTTCGATGACATACATCGGCCACAGTTCACGACGAGGTCTTAACTAGAGATACTTCGTCAACGTCTTCTCAAATCAGAATTTGGCCAAGAGGGAAAGTCACCAGGATTCGTAAATCACGATGTAGTCGTGGTAAATTGCCGCATTGCCCAAGCCCATATCAATAGGAGGTTTGGTGGAAGGGTCCTGGTGCACCCTTTGTTTCAATGTAGTAGGTAAGGTTGATTATGGTCTGGAAGCTGCATTTCTTATGTTTCGAGCATTAGACCAGGCTTCCAATTCTTGTTGAACTCCTTTTACCTGTGGAGGTCTTGGTTCTATTGGTTTCTTCGCCTTTGTGGAGTCTTTCGGGTTGAAGGTCATTGGAGTTGACTTGTTGAGCCGGATTTCAAGACTTCCAATGGGTCACGGTTGGAATGTAGACCTTGTCAAGTGTGGGCTACTGCCAGTTCCATAATCTCGGAAGTAGAAGAGACAAAGAGAAGATAGGTTTGATGGAGATAGGTGTGTTGGTTGGTATGTGGGTGGACGTGGAGGGATGGTTTGTGGTAGAGGGAGGAGAAGTTGTTGACAGCGGGGGGTGTCATCTCTTAGGGTTCCATTGAATAGGAAGCGCTCTGGATGATAGAGAATCTGAGAATCTACGGTTTGAATACGGTTTGTCAATACGGGTAATTTAATGTACCAATAATTAAATGAACATCGCTCGAGATTCCTCAATTCAATCCAGTTCGGTTCATGTTCTATTGACCTAAGGAGCCTGTCAATTCTCCTCCAGTGAAACAGCTCAATACGCATCACTGGTTGATTGGACTCTTAGTTTGAACAGGGCGCACTTCGTGATCCTGAGACAAGCCCTCTCTGGTCTTCTGGTCAACCTCACCTTGTATCTTCTCTTCATCCTGCGCATCGCCTTTCTCCAGAAGTCGCCGCGCGGACTCATCCCCATCTAATCCAGCGGCACGCTCATTATGCAGGCGCTCTTGCTCCTGCTTTCTATCCTTGACCTCCAATGCTGCCTCCTCCCGAGCCACTTCGTCAGCATCGATACTCTCTAGACCCACCACGCCTAGAATGCGTCCAACCAGGAATTGGTACCGCAGATGGCCGCTGATAAAGTCGCTGGCGTCCACATTTTCCACCCCGGACACACCCTGCACAGGCTGTAGACCGGCAACACCAAGCTGAAGGCTGCTGGTTCGGTACAGTAGCGCGAGAACGGCGTCGTTTTCAGAGTACACATTGACCAATCGACCACTGACAACACTGCGTAGACGGCGCCAGTGAGGTGCGTTAGACGGAGTAGGTGAGCCCATGAGAACCGCTGATTCCACTAAGCCGAATGCCTGCCGCTTGGCGAGGGTCTGTAGACAAGAAAAGATAACCCGGGAGCCCATCGAGTAGCCGATCAGCGTGACAGATCTTTCGCCCTGTACTTTGCTGATCAGGGCATCCGCAAGTGCCTCACCGGCCTTGTCCGCGCGAGCCTTGGCCACGCTAAATGGGTTGTCCGCGACGCGGGCAACCTTGAGTAGCCCCAGGGGTAGCATGACTGCACTCATAATCTGAGCAAAGATAGTACGGGACAGGACTTGACCTCCAGCAGCCCAGCCAGCACTCGTGACAAGATAGTTCATGGCGTTGCCGAGCTTCATCAGCGGCTTTCTTTCCCAACGTAGACCGAATACTTCTGAGTCACTGCCAATCACTTTCCACGGGACAACATAGTTGTCTTCTTCCGTCACCCAACCTGAGATGCCGATTGTGACTCGCAGCATATGATCATTTTCAGCTGCCTCCCTCTCGTCCTCCGACCTTCGATGGGTACCACGAATAGGCAGGAAGGCGAAGTCGTCCACTTCCCGCGCATACTTGTCGACCATGCGACCCGTCATGCGGCCTCCGTAAGCACCAAAGAGCCCTCCGACGATGACACCACTACCAGCCAAGGCGCCCAAGTAGCCAGCAGCGGCTGTGGCGCCAAGGCCAAGCCCACCCAAAACTGTGCCAAGACCAGCCGCAACAAGAGGCGCGGCGAGCCCGCCCGTGATGCCGATCAACGCGGCTCCTGCGACAGATGCTATTCCAACCTTCCACTTTCTAGACGAATCGCGGTGCTTCCCAGGTTCTTTGGCCTCGGCTTGGGAAAGCTGAAGAGCTGTGTCGAGCAGTCCCCGTGCAACCTTGACCTCGTCTCCATTGAGGATCTTAACGTCAAGGTCTAAGGAAGACGATACGTACAGCATTAGTACCCGTGAGCGAGCATTGTAGTGCTCCAGACTCAGCATCAACAGTAGTAACGAGTGTAGGATCAACAGCTTCTTCGCTCTGGGCAGGTGCACGAGAGGCGTTTCGACCGGAGGATAAACCTCACGAAGTTTCTTCAAAGCAGTCTCATCCTGTTCCAGTCGTGGCTCGGGCAGTTCTTGCGATGCGTCGTCTTGGCTGGATTCAGTCTGAGCATCATCGTCCCGATTTACTACTTCCCCGATCCGGAGCAGGACGGTATCTCTCCAGTCATCAAAGCCCGCGAGAGCTTTGGCCTCGAGTTGAAGATCCTTGGTCGAAGCCTTTACTTCCGATGGAGCACGATCGTTTGAGCTTTCGTCCTCGTGATGTTCAAGAGGATCAAACAAGGAGTCCGTATCTTCCTCGTCCTCCTCATGTTTAGAGAAGTCATGTGTAGTCTCCTGGATGGCCGGAGGAGCGACATGGAAATTAGCGACAATGCCATTTCGCATCTGCTCAATTGCCTCGGCGACCAGAACAGTCAAGTCAGCGCGCTGCGGGCGGTCGAGGATGGTTGTCAGATCTGCTCCGCGGTCGCTCGGGGACGGAGCAGGCGGCGTAGCATGGCCCGACCCGAATTTGCTAGCATGTTTCTCTTTGAACGATTTCCACATGATTGCGGATGACCACAGTCGGAGATTTACATCAATTGATGCTAAGGGTGTCTTACAAGCTGCAATCACGTAGGCATCAGTGAGTGAGACAGAAATCAGGAGGTCGCCGCTTGCAGCGGAGATGAGATCACGGCTGACTCAGCGCCCAGACTGTCCCCGGTTATTTGGAGCAGCTGAAACAATCACGTAAGTCACTCTTAAGTTGAATCAACCTGCCAGCGTGCGTGCAAAGTGCCTGATTTTGGTCTCTTTCTCCCCCAGAAAGAAGCGCTTAGTTTTTGGTATCCACCACGAAGAATTTGCCTTTGGTCTTGGAAGCATATGCGAGGGCGTTTCCATCCCAGATGTCTCCGTCCGGTCGCTCGTTCCTTTGCGATTCAATTCGTTGAATCCTCTTATTGCGTCCAACAACCCGTTCCTTGGACAAGGCTTCTTTGAGCTTTTCCAGACCAATCGTGTTTTCCTTCACCGCTTCAGGAGTCTCGTCGCGGATGCTTTGTAGAGGCTCAACGCCGCTGGCATCGACGCGCTGGATTTGCTTCACAAAATGGATCTGGGACTCCAGAGTGTCGAGCATTTTTCTCTCCTCTTCCTCGTTCGCGGGTCGAGGCAGTGCAGACAAGCGGAGCAGATGGCGAAGCTGTTCGGGAGTCACCGAGGGAGTGGAGGGCTTATCGGTCTCGTCGGGGAGCAGCGAACGGACAGACCAAGTCGGCTTGGCAAGAATTGCGTCAATGTCATCTTGTCCTTGAGGCTGGGAAGTAGAATATGGGCGATGTTTGGCGACGAGGGAGCGCGGAGATTGACGGCGCAACAAGGCGGATAGCCGTGAGCTGCTGCTGCGCAAGAACATATCGGTCGTGATGATGAGTGCGTAAGACGTTGCGCAAGTAGTAGGTCAGATTGAACAATGTAGTAGACACTTGTGCCAATTGTAAATGTCAAAGCGAGAGATAAACAAGCAAGACAGGCTGAAGATTGAGATCCAGTGAACTGCGGTGGAGGCAGGGAAGAGAGCAAAAAGCACCACACAACAATTGTGGCTGTCCTCCAATAAAAGGGCGGGACAGCCCACCGCCTACGTTGATGGGGAGGGAAGCTCTCGATCCCGCCCGCTGTTAGTGACGGCAACCTTGAACGCTTCAGTTCGCCCTCCATCTTCTCCTCATCTTGCTGGCTGAGCCGCTCCCATATCTCCAATATCCTTTATTTGCTCTAGCTGGAATATAACTTCTGCTCTTTTCTGCGGTAAATAAGTTTCAGCTGTTCAGCATGGCTCAAGATCCTCGAGTTCTTCTCCAAAAAGTAAAATCTCCTTATCCCACTCCCCCGCCCCGCTATTCCTCCATATTATCATACCCGACTCCAAATGAATGACGATCACTGATTCCATGCTCCTCCACTCTTTAGGCTGATCAAGCGCTGAGTCGCGCATCTGGTGGCTTCAGCTTCTTCGGTGGTCGCACAGAGAAATATGAAAATGCCGCCGACTTGTACTCGCAGGCTGCGAATGCCTTCCGAGTTCAGAAGCAGAGTAAGCAGCCTCCGCACCGCATTCCCAGTCGCCTTACTTCAACCCTGACACCAAATCTCTCCCCTTTTCAGACAAGGAAGCCGGTCTTGCGTTCGAGAAGGCCGCTTCTATCCAGGCGCAAAACCTCAACGAGCCCGATGACGCTGCCAACACCCTGACCGAGGCCTTCAAGGTCTACCGCAAGTCCGACCCCGAGGACGCCGCCCGCGTGCTCTCCAGCGCTATCCAACACTATGTGCTCAAGGGGAACCTCCGTCGCGCTGCGTCGCAGCAGCAACATCTGGCCGAAGTGTATGAGGTGGAACTGGGTGACAACAAGAAGGCTCTGGAGGCCTATGAGAAGGCAGCGGAATGGTTTGAGGGTGATAATGCTGAGGCGTATGTTCTACCCTTCAGAATGAAGCGTTCGGGCCATCTATCCGGCAGAGCTAATCTTGCAAACGCAGCCTCGCGAACAAGCACTACCTCAAGGCCGCGGATCTGGCCGCCCTCGAAGGTGACTACTACAAGGCCATCGAGCACTACGAGCGCATTGGCCGCTCATCTATCAACAACAACCTCATGAAGTGGTCGGTCAAGGACTACTTCCTCAAGGCTGGTATCTGCCACTTGGCGACGAATGTTAGTTTACTGTCAACCTCTAGCATCCTCCACTGCCTAACATCGAAAATAGGATTTGGTCGCCACCAACCGTGCCCTCGAAAACTACCGCGACATCGACACCACCTTCGCCTCCACGCGTGAGCATCAGCTTCTCGTCGACCTGGTCCAGGCCTGTGAAGCAGGCGACCAGGAAGCTTTCGCCGACAAGCTTTTCCAGTACGACCAGCTCAGCAAGTTGGATAAGTGGAAGACGACGCTCCTACTGCGGATCAAGAACAACATCGAGTCGCAAGAGGAGGACTTTTCTTAGCGCCCCGTTCGCCTTCTTTTCTTCTTCCTCGTTTTTGTTTGAGCTAGTTATTTGGTTTTGAAATACTTGATAAACCGAGGAAGGGCCACCTCTCCTGCTTTCGAGTCCCTAATCGCATCTCAAGTGATTACTTCTTTGGCTGGTTCCATGCTTATTAGATACATGCTGCGCTGTGCCTATCATGCTCCATTATCGGAGGTTATCGAAAGTTATCATTATTGAAGTTTATGTTAATTCTGCCGATCGACCCCATATAGCATCAGTTTGATCCTGACTGTGGTCTACATTCGTATCGTTCCTCTATGAAAGCGATGCCAACGAGATCATTCGGTATTGATCAACACTACTACAAATTGAAATGGAAGTTCTCGTGCACTATCTTCATATTTGGGTCAATCGCAACAGTACCGTGAGCTCGATCAGGTACAGTCACTGTAACTGACTAACGACCCTTGGAACCGGTTTCCGTCCGTTGTAAACAAACCTGCCCATCCATGATATCCATTACACTAGCCCCCCCCTTGAAGAAAACTGCGATTAATGCACTATTCACCTCTTGCCAGGCCAGCGCAAATCCACTCCCCAATTCTCTCCACGTCCCTAACAATGAAGGAAACAGGATCCACTAGGGGGCTGCAATGACTGAGTAACTTCTACTCCGCCGCAGGAGCATACCTTCCATGTCTCCCAACAGCCACATAATCGATACGCCTATGCCGCCCTACGACACTGCAAGAAAGGATTTCCTTTTCTGCACAAGCTCGAACGGTTGGATCGAGCCGAAAGTCCATGATTTGTCATATCCGTTGTTCAGGTTGACAGATGGCTGTACTCTTTCTCGGAAATTGAGTCTTTGCGCCTACACGAGCCAGTTACAAAAGAGGGCAACACCCACATAACGGGTGCATATATCATGTGAAATATGTATCAAAAGATGATCGTTGACTGCTAAGCAGAACCGAGGACTTCAGGGACAGATTCGCGTTTTACACGAGTGCTGGAGTCTAGTGGCACATTTCGGGTGAAGGAAAATCGAGCTCATCTTCCCTATTACCTGTCTTGCCCTGCGGTGAGTCATAATTCCAGAGCTTAGCTCTTCAGTTTCTCGTTGTTCATTTGCTCAGCTGCATATGCTTTCGACTATAGGTAGTTTAGGGCGGTTAGAACAGCTCTCCCTTGCATGATGGGGCGAATGATCTTTGCTGCAGCTGGATCCAAGTCAGAATTCATGGATACTTCATGATGTACTTTATGCCCCCGTCCGGTCAGTCAGGCCGCCGAAGTGCATGAACTACCTTTCTCAAGATCTGTTTCCCAGGATCTGAAACACGGCACAGAAGGTAAAACATGTCACCTACCGTGATACATCGAGCTTGCAGTCGCAAAGGCCCTACATCCTGACTCCCATCTCTTTGGCCAATCCTACGCTGAAGTCTTCGTGCCAGGATCATATTTGAAGATATATTGACAGGAATCTCGTATTCAGCGGATCGCACTCGAAGGCTGTAGCTTGAGGTGTGACTTAAAGTCATGTCTGACACAGGCTGTCTTACCTAAGACGATTAAGTTGAACGGTGTGGTCTAGAACCATCCAAACCACAGCCAGCCCTAACCATGATGAGGTAGGCTTGTCCTTTGAACACGGTCACAAGATCATCTGCGGGGTATGGATGAATGTATACGTCAAACCGAAAAAATGATTCATGTGTCCGCCAACGAAAGGAGGGTGCTTCATTGTTCTTCGCATGGAGGTGGGTTGCACAGCTCTTCAGCACATTCCCATCGCGCAACAGGCCTCGGAGGACTACCCAGACGTGTGCACATTCCTGCAGGTGAACTTCGCCATCCCGCGGCAGATCACGGTCACGGTCCACCCGGCCGTCGATAGCGACGATAAGCTCGACTGGGTGGGCGCGCAAACCACGGGGACCATCAACCTCGATGCCACGCTGGGGCTGGCCCCGGACGCTCAATGGACGATGGCAGTCAACGTCCGCCAGCTCGTCAACCTCCTCTCGCTACCGCGTGCCTTACGCGGCCACAACTGCTTCTCCGCCCGCATCATCCGCATGGTGGACCGCAAGCTGACCCCAACAAAAGCCGGACCGACGCCCTTCGTCAGCGACGGCACCGATCTTAGCTGGACGACGGTGGCGAGCGCCAACTACGGGCTGTCGATCCAGTGGAAACCTCCGCAGCCGACGACTTGGCTGGCGGACTTCATCAAGAACAGCCTCACGGTGGCGGCGGGATTCCTGCCCCTCGTCGGCCCGGTAGCGGCGGTCTGCTTCCCGCTCGCGTGGACCGCGATCGTCGATCCCCGGGCCTTCGATGGGATCCTCAAGGAGCTCATCCCCGTCGCGGACTTGGCGATGAAAGTGGCGGGTAATATGCGGCGAAGTGCCGAGGAGCAGGTGTACTATCTGCCGCAGGAGTGGTCCGCCACCGTCCACAACTTCAAGCTGCTGGCGGCGGAGAAACAGAGCGCGGCGGAGCAGGAACTGGCCAAGGCCACCCAACCGCCGGCACGCGCCAAGATCCCCGCGCCGGAGATGGTCAAGAAATTCGAGGCCATTCGCAAATTCAAGTACTGGAATCTGATGAAGCCCCTACCTGCCGCGGTCACCGCCACCGAAACGACGGTCCGACTCGATGCAGCGGGGGAGCCAGTTGAGGCGCCGCCGAAACCCGCATTCGCCCCGGAAACCGCTCTTCCGGCTGTTCCTGCGCCGCTCCCCCTCGACCAGCTGAAGCCCAGCTCCTCATTCCAGCTGGCGGGCCAGGTGCTTCAACAATCCGCGGCCCCCGCGGCTACGGGTCATAATGATGGCGCTTCGGGGGGGATCTTGGATGAGGTACGCCCCGAGGAGAATCAGGCCAGAGGAGCCACCATCGATGAGAGCTGGCTGGATGCATATCTCCACGAGGAGCTCTTTGGAGATGACTAGTGAGTGAATATGAGCACGCTAGTCTGGTCTTTCAGAGCGGGTTGATTTTCCCCTGGCAAAAGTATCTCATCTTAATCGCCTTCTGTATTGCGTTCGACTGTATGCATCTGTGTCTATCGTAAGCGATCCAAATTGACACCAAACTATTTACCCGTCGAGGATTTCAAGCAATTCGTAACCTCTTATAATTCGAGTGAGGGCAATCCGAGTCAACCCATGAACTCCCAGAGCTAAGGATCAAACTCTCACTGGGCTGTGAAGCTGTGCTTCGTTGTCAACATGGATTGTAGGAGGCATAAGTAACCTGGTTTGGGGGTAGGATATGAGGTACTACTACTACACTAGCTCAATATGATATGTGCAGACAAGCAACTGAAGGGAAGGTTGCAACTGCCACCCGCGGCCAAGTGAAACAACCTAGTCACCTTGCACTGAGAGAATGAACTGGTTTCGTTCCCATCACTTCACCATGGTCTTCTCCCTCTTCCGCGCCTCTCCCCCCCTCAACTTCTCTATTCCCCGGTCCATCGCCACTTCTTTCCTCTCCGCTATGCTCATTGAAGTCATCATTTCACCACCACCTGGTACAGTACCTGGAAACCCAAGTTACCACCACCTACCACCCAGCGAACAACCGCACCTCAACCGGCAACACCATCAGATAAGATCCAGACCACCCCCACGGAACCACGCGACAGTGAATGTCTCACCGCGTCCCAGCCAACACGTCCGCAGCGGAGCTCAGCCCTAAAGGTGGATTTTCGCGATCAGTTGACATCCCGCCAGACCAGACACTGCGATTGGCCCCCTTCGCGTTACACCCCTGTCAACACGTCCCAGACACCTTGTAGCAGTGGAACAGCCCTATAAGTGGACTTTCGCGATTGGTTGACATCTCGACGGAGGGGGCGCTGTGATTGGGTGGAGGGAGGCCCGACGCGTCCAGAGTAACACGCGCCTGTGTTTCAGCCTTAGGAGTGGATTTTCGTGATGCTTTCACACCTCGATGGGCCTTTGTGGTGCGTGGCTGGGGTGATTCCCTGGTGGTGTGGTTATCGTACGGTGAATGTGTTTGCGCTGGCTCATCCCAATTGAGAGGATGATTTCGGACGGGTCGAGGATGACAACCATAGGGCGCCTGACTCGGTTCGCTCAGATGACGGAGCTGGGTGCGGAGGCACCAACGGTGTTGACGTAGTCTTGACTGACTGCAGTAACTCATGTAGGTTGTTGCTGTATTCTCAGTTGACTCTGTCATCATGTTCCAGGACAGGCATCAAGTTAATCTACCCACCCGGCACAGCGAACCATGGGAAGCTTTTCACGGCACCAGGGATGCTTCAGATATGCAACAAGATAGGATCTGCTTATTCGATCGGAACAGAGACTGCGGCTTCTCTCCAGCATAAGCTAACCTACATATAGTTCGATATAGGCTGTGGATCCACTGACTCGGGGCTGTGTCTTCCGTAGGCTGTGGCGCAATAAACCGACGGGCCGAAAGCTAAGACCATTAGCCCCATGAGGTGGTCCCCGCTTACTATACCTGCCTACTACTTACTGCCTATAAGTTGCCCTCGATAGCCTTGACTCTCTAGCTTTAGTCTGTCATCTCTTCTGCCCTCCTTCAACACCCTCCGTCTATCCAATTACCATCTCATCCCTCACCATGTCGCACTACCGATTCATCTCCCTAGCTACCAAGCCCTCCGCTCAGCTCAGCTACAGTTTCCACCCCGCCGGGGGCGCCGCCAAGCAGCCCGCTCTAGTCGTCTTCGTCAACGGCCTCGGACTCCCGCAGACCTCCTGGGAGGGCGTCATCGCGCGCCTGCAGGCCCAGCCTCCCGCCGCCGGCCTGCCAGCGATGCTAACCTACGACCGGTACGGCCAGGGCCAAACCACCGACCGAGACCCCGCCGACAGCACCGCCGAGGACCCCACGCACGGCCACGACACATTAACCGTGGTCCGGGACTTGCACCAGCTACTCACCCAAGTGGCCGCGGAGAAGATGGGCGTCTCCAACCTCAGCAAACTACCGCTCATCCTAGTGTCCAACTCAATCGGCGGCGCATTGGCCCGCCTCTATGCCCAGGAAAACCCCGGCACCGTCGCCGGACTCCTGTTCCTGGACAGCGTGCTCGCCAACTCCGACTTCATCTCCATCTACCCGGACCCGGACGCGGCCGGGTTCGATCCGCGCAGCTTGCCAGAAGGGGTAGACGCGGAGGCGATCCGCGCCGCAAGAGCCTACATGCAACGCGTCTTCCACCCCAGCAACGGCAGCCGCGAGGGTCTGAGCCGACGCAACCTGGCGCAGCTCTTGCCGGCCAGCGACGGGCCCAGGTTGCAGGGCCCGGACGGCCGCGGGCCCTGGGTGACGGTGGTGGGCCATGAGTTCGAGACGTTTCAGGTGGAATTCGAGAAGATGGGCGGCGCGCCTCCGCGGCTCACACAGCTCTACCTGAATCCCTACTGGCATCGGTTCAATGAGGGGCTGGCGAGGCTGACCGACGCGGAGCGGAGCAAGGGCCCGCTTCAGGCGCCGGGGGCCGGGCACTTTGTCCAGAAGGATAATCCGGCCCTTGTTGCGGATGGACTGCGTGAAATGCTTGACAAGGCCCTGTGAGAGCAGAGGGTGCAGCTGCACGGTTTGGTGAGGTTTAATGGGTCTGTATTTTCCTCGGTACAAATTCAGCCTGCCGCTGGCGGGGGCACTCCGCACGGCAGGATCCGACTTAGGGCTCGGCGGTTATCGGATAGCTCGGGTGGTTTGGATGGGCATTTCTCGGCTAATGAATCTCAACTATGCCGTCAGAATCATGGTCCTGCCATTGTTTTACAAATTCATCTTCTACCGATCAATTGTAAGAGCAGCGCAGTAGAAACAGATACCTATGCAAACGTTAAGGCAGCTACAAGCCTGCTGCCCGATTTTGAGTTCACCGACAACCTAGTCTTTGGTAGCAGTTACATATACCTCTCCAAACGCCCTCATAGTGACAGTAATACAGACAGCCATGACCTCCCACACGATTCCATGCCATTGTTGTCTGGCTATCAACTCTGGCGATAGTGAAGATGTTGTACCTCCCACAAACAAGCCGGTATGGAAACATCCCCTCGGTTGAGTCCTTACCCCGGAGCGACTTAATCTCAAAGTTAGCGAGCGAGCGCTATACACGTCAAATCCTGAACGCCAAATTGTCTTGAATCTTAGCGTTTTCGCAGACTGTGCTTTAAATCCAGTGATCCTTATTTTAGAGAGTAGACTAGCGAAGTAAGCAAAACGATTACACTTGTATCACAAGGTTAGGGGCCATTGGGCGACTTCGTTCAACCAACTGTATTTTCGTTTCAAGATTGTATAGCTTGCGATATATGTTCTCTAGAGAACAGGAGATCAAGGAGTTAGAGCATTTTGGTCATAGACCCCGTAATTCTACTATTTGACAATAACCTTAACAAAATTTGACTGCTCGTGGTACTCCTTCGGATTTGGTTGTGAGATTCTGGTCAACAGAACCCTACTGTTCAATTCCTTAACTGTACTATATATAGTCTGTAAGACCGACGTGGTTAGTACAGTTGACGAGCAACATAAAGCTTGACAGTGGCGACCACTCTCTGGTTCATAAGGGAGAAATCTAAATCTGGTCGTTTAGGAACTAGCGCAGGCCCAATCCCTCGGATTCACTCCATGAAAAACAACATACTGTCAAGGATTAAAAAAAGAGTCAACCCTTCTCAGTTGGTGCCCAGGAGAGGAGCGATTCCTGTTGTGTGTTTTGATTGATAGACGAAGAATAGCATTGTGGATGAAGCAAGGGGGGAGTCCCAACTCTCGGGTACCTGACCGAACCCAAATGTTCAACCTCTATATTCCGCCAATTGAATGGTTATTTCTTACACTTACACATACCAGATGCACTGACAGATGCCCGGTTGCTGGGGTACCCTGACCCTCCACATTCTTGACACCTGGTCTTCCGGGCAACAACCGCAAAGCCACCCGAGGGGTGGACGGTTATATCTCGAGATCCACACATTCCTTAATCTTTTCAAGGGGAAGACACCCCAAAATTAGATCGGATGTTGTTGAGAGGATAAAGGATGTACCATTCTCGAATTCCACACCGGTAGCCTCAAAGGCTTGAGTTCAATGTAAGCATCGCGAGAGTTCTGGAAAGGAAAGGTTTAAATGCCTCAGTATCCCCCGGCTTGAACATGTACAACCAAGAACTACGCCTCACGACTTTTCTATCACCAAGACTATAATCAACCTCAACACTTCGCCATTACCCAATCGAAGATCTTTGCACACTCCATAAATCAACCATCAACATGCGCACCTCATTTGTAACTCTCCTGCTCGCATGCAGCAGCTACACTGCGCTCGCGTTGCCCTCGCACGGTAGCCTCGCTAAGCGATCGTGCGACGCCAACGTCTGTATTGTCCAGGCAAGTCGCCCTCTGCCTTCCCAAATCCTTCTAACCCCTCCGGCATGGCATATGCTAACCACCAGAGATGACAGTGTATTGCCCAGGGCTTCCAATCCGGCATGTGCGCCAGCGAGAACACCCCCTCCCTGCAACTCCTGGGCCTCGAGCTCCTCGGCCAGGCCTTGCCGTAAGCCAGCCCTCTCCCTTGAACCCCAAGACAACACCCTGGATAGAACTAACAAAGTCAACAGTGGCTGCATGTGCATCCCCACGAACAGCGGCTCCAGCGGCGCCACCAACGCCGCCAACGCCCCCGCCGCCAATGCGCCGGCTGCCACGACGACCACCACTGCTACTGTAACTACCACCTCAACTGCCGTCCTGACTTCCACTTCCACCGCGACGACCACCGTCACCACCACTGCCACAGCCACTAACACCCAAGCCGCGAATCAAGCAGCTCCAGCAGTAAACCCCCCGGCCCCGAGCACCGTCACCAGCACCGCCACCGTCACTAGCACCGCCACCGTGATCACGACTGCCACCGAGACGGAGACGGAGACAGAGACAGAAACAGAAACGCAAACGCGCACACAATTCAACACCCGCACCCTCACCCACTCTGCCCCTACCGCCACAACAACTAGTAATACCTCCGATGCAAATGCAGCGGCTGCTCCTGCGGCCGCGGCCGCCGTTCAGACCGTGTACACGGCCACCACGACGAACCACATCCCGTTCACGACGACAAAGACGGTGGTGGTCAAGACGACGACGACTGTTTGCCCGACCTCTTCTTAGGTTCTGTTTCTTGATGGTGTGTGAAAGTGGATGTCGGGTCCCTTCGATATGGATTCTTTTAATTATTTCCCCCCTTCCCGGTGGGCTACGCTCCGAAAAGAAGGGCGCTTTTCTCTTCATTGTATATAATTGCTGCTTTCACTTCCCTAGAGGATAGAACTTTTAATGGGAATGTCTCCTTCCCGCGCTTGATCCACCTTTGCTCTCCTTCCATATGTGCTGGTTTAGATACCTTCTCTATGCAAACACTCTCAACATAATTCACCCATGGACCTATATTTGTTTGTCACAGTCACAGCATCACTCGGCCCTCGTCAATGCTCGCGTCCGCCAAGCCATATACAAGTAAACCAGCGCGTACGGGCTAATCACAAGAATCACGAGGAATCCTGCTCCGGTGTCGGAGGAGCCTGCACAAAGACCAGCGGTGTACAGGTTGCACCGTTCGATGAAGAGCGGTTGGGGGCGATTGATCACTCCGGGTACGATGAAATTCTACAAGAGAGTCTCGGATGCAGATCGCGGACGGTATCGCCGATATTCCATTCCGTGAAGCCGTTGGAGATCCGAGTTCGATATGAATGAGCATCCCATTGTGGATGTACCCGGCGTCGCGGGACAGGGGCAAGATTCCTCCGCCACCGCAGAAATAGCCTCGATTGGATACAGAAGCGGTATCGCATTATCCAAAGCATCGTTCTCTATTAGTCCTTTGAGATGCGCCGCGTGGACCATTGACTCGAGCTCGCGCGTGGGTCCAGCAAATTCGGGTGAGTGGTATCACCGAAATAGGCAGCGTGTCTACCCTTCTTCAATAGACGCAGCCGGTAGATGGCTAATGAAGGGTTACTAGTGCCGCTTGTCCAGCATCCGCGAGTTTTATCAGAAACCGTGCTACGTTGTACGATGCTTGGCCATCTGGACCGGAGGTTGGCTAATCGACCAAGATGAGAATATTCGACTTCGAAACGAGCTCGACCTCGATCGTGACGTGCTTTCGTTGTTTGCTCCCACGTTGAGGCTATGCCCGGTGCCAAGACTGTCAATCAATGTGTCGGCAATAGGTTGCGCGGCTTAGGTGGGGCCCGCAGTCTCACCCTACGCTGAATGCTCTGCTGCAAACGGCATGGGTGGTTTAGTATACTGTAGGGTGGCCATGCAGAAGAGCTCGTATCACGTCTTGGCCCAATGGACCAGAGCCCTTTAGCCTCACGAAGTTGCGTGAACTGCTCATGGAGGGAACCGCATTCGGTCACAGCGTGTTCTATTCACGTTGTGAACTAGCGGGAGAGTGCGACGTGATAGACACTTCTACGGTGGCGTGAGACGGCCAGCTCTGGAACATCCCCGTATGGAACAGTCTATCTTCCTCCCAACATACACATTAATTGTCGGTCCAGTCCAATGATGCAATAATTCAGGCTATGGCTCCATACTGAATTCAGACTGAGGGCTTTGTCAATACGCTGATTTTATCTACAGCAGTATTGACGCCTCGACATCGCTTGGGAATAGATTTTGTTGAATTGCAAGATAGGAGTATACGTATGCCAGTAACTACACAGGGCCCGACTATGATATGCTACTTGAAATTCCACCCGGAGCGACCAGTCTAAGCATTTCCATGGTTGTGCCATCGTAAGCCTCGTGTCAACCATTAAGGTTATCTTGGTTCATCGCAGCGCCTGACCCATGGTCAGGCGGACGTTAGCCCTAGCCGTCCAGACTCCCAAGCCCGCAAGATTCGTTCGTCTTCAGCAGCCCCACAACGGTCGATCGTTTGTTCTCGACCATTGCACCATTTCTTGGCCCGTTCTTCACTTTTTCGGCGGGGGGCAGGTTCACCATCCAAAGCCCAGAAAAGAAAGCCTATCCCGCATGCGTAAAGAAACCACGAACATGGCGGGCTCGGGTTAGCTAGCTTAGGGCGGGGCGCGGGAGGATCGACGGGTGGCTGCGATTCCGGCTCCTCGCACAGTTACAGCCTGTCAGGCCGCTACGGAGCCTGTCAAAACCAATGACTTGCAGCTTAGTGAGGAAGCTAGGACTCCCAAATGCATCTTATACAGCTTTTTTAGATTCGTAACCTTAATCCTCACTCTTGTGATGCAATATGGTCCCGACACCTATACTAATGGTTTTCGTATCCGTGTAATCAAGAATGGTTCAGAGAGACTTTACAGGTGGCTTGCAACATTGTAGAAGAGGCCTTTTTTTAGACCAAGGCTCAAGGCTTATCAGTATTGAACATCTTGTCGTATATCGTATCATATAATGTGTCGTATATCGTATCGTCTGTTCTGTCGTATATCGTGTCGTATGCCAAGAAAGTTCTCGAGGATGTGAGACCTCTGCTTTTAGATCCTTCTTTGATTCTAGACCCGTTGGATGGATATTTTTGGCCCGAGTAACAGATCTGACCCCCTGCTTGTCAATATAAAAGCGGTGCAGATATTCCTCCTGCGACTTATGGCAATGCAGTCTGCAACATTAACAAGCAAGAGAATTACAGAATCATTTGCAATATGAAGTCCACACTGTATTTCCTCATCGTGCTGCTGCAGCTTGCTATGCAGTTAGCAGTGGCCAACCCAGCTGCACACCCAGAGCCCGGCTCTCCCCATCTGGAAGAGAGACAGGTGACCTCTCCGCTTCCGACCAGCTTGCCTGGACGGACTACCGCCGCTGCGACGACTGTCCCTGCCTCCACCCGCACATCCAGCTCGCCTGGCGCGACTAGCACCGAGTCTGGGGCCTCCACTACACCTGGCACGGCCTCCATCACATCTGGCACGGCGTCCACCATATCTGGCACGACCGGCACTTCTGGCACGACCGGCACTTCTTCCCGGACATCCAACACATCTGGAACTGGCCCGACTAGCACCCCGACCTCTATCCCTCAAGTCCCCTCTGGCCCACCTACTATTGTGGTCAATGTTGCTATCGCCATCGCCATCTCAGGTGGCAGCGGAAAGGATGCAGCCGCCGCAGCAGCGAAAGCCGCCGCCTCTGGAGGAGGACCGAATGCCCAAGCCGCCGCCGTTGCCGCTGCTGCCGCTGCGGCCGGTGGAGGTAGTGCGACGGATGTGTCTGTGGTTGCCGCTGCCGCCGCCGCCGCCGCCTCGGGTGGTAACGGAGGGGACGTCGCTGATGCAGCCGCCGCTGCCAACAGCGCCGCTGGTGGAGGCGGTGATGATGCTGCTGCTGCTGCTGCCGCCGCCGCTGCCTCCGCTGGTGCGAGTGGATGGAACGTTGCCGCCGTTGCTGCCGGGGCCGCCGCCGCAGCTTCAGGTGCCAGCGGAGCGGACACCGCCTCCGCTGTTGCTGCCGCCGCCGTCACGTCCTGCGGCGGGGGTGTTGCCGCTGCGGCCGCCGCAGCCGCCGCCTCCGCTGGGGGCAATGGCACGGACGTCGCCGTCGTTGCGGCCGCCGCGGCCGCCGCATCCGCTGGGGGAGATGGCCAGGCAGTCGCCGACGCTTGCGCTGCGGTCGCCTCCGCCGCCGGTGGAGGAAGTGCTGCTGCCGCTGCTGCCGCCGCCGCCGCCTCCGATGGGGCTAATGGATCGAATGCCGCCGCCGCTGCCGCTGCCGCCGTCGCTTCCGCCTCGGGTGCCAATGGCGATATCACCGCCGCGGTTGCCGTCGCTGTCGCCGCTGCCGGTGGTGGTGGGTGGAATGGCGCCGCGACTGCTGCTACCAAGGCTGCCGACGCTGGCGATACTGGAACCGAGGTTGCCGACGCGATTGCCTCTGCCCCGAATACTGAAGGCATTGGCAATGGTACTGCAACCGGCGGTTCCGGCACTGGAAGTGGCACCAACAGCACTGGATCCGGCAGCACCAGCACTGTAACCGGCGGTGGATCTGGTAGCACCAGTACTGGAAGCTCTGCTAAACGATTCTGGGATTACACGGATTCGCGTCGTGCCCGCGACTTCGTTGCCAGGGCTTAAACATGGTATATCCTTCTCGTCTTCCTGCAAAACATCAGTAAGTCCTTGACAATACTTAGTGTGTTCCGATACGAGTTTTGTCAGTATAGTCTTGATTAATGAGTTCAGATCTGCCGTCTCGGTTCTATCTCATCCTCTCTGAGTGTTGTTCGCTGATAAACCTCAGATTATTCGCGGATAGAAAGCGGAACAATCGGGACAAAGACGGTAAATTGATAGCAGTGGTGAGAAACAACAATTGTAACACATCAAACTGAGTAGCACCTGTAATAGCTCCAAATTTGGTCCTGAGTCCAATGAGCGTCGGACTGTTTATGGTTATTCATCATTCGGATGCTCTTGAATACGGTTTCTGGTGTGTGGAGTATAAAATCTACTTGAGTGTGATGAGGGTATTGCCAGATAGGTTTCTTTGAACAACATAACCATGGATTCTAACTAGTCCAATTTAGGGGTTTTGCGATAGCCCTAGTCTCACAATGCGTCCTTTTATTTTGCCATATTAAGATCACCGGCTATTTTTGCACTTCGCACCATCGTTCTGCACTGTGTAACTTTGTTGAGCTCCGCTGTTACCTTGGCTGCTGTTGCTGTTGCCGCTCTCTAACCTACGGTAAAGAGTGTTGGCTTGATCCAGGATCAACTATATCGTAGGTAGTACGTGGTCATACTCGGCCTCTTCAGCACGTGACTTCATCTGGCCACACCTTCACATTGAGTCCCACCGCTTTTTGTAGCCCTCTACGCTACATCTTTTTTACACACCAGAGGATAGATCAATATAGCCTGTCTGCGTCACAGATACTCCCGTGGTATCCGGTGATAACGATCTTCCTGGTTGGAAAGACTGGTACACCGGTCGTTCACCACCTTACCCTAAAGAATGCCTCAGACATGGTCTAGTGAGATGTCTGCATCGGATGGGGACACACTCTGATCTCTTACATAGACACTCGGCATGTCAACAGGAGCATCTTCGAAGGAAAAAAAGTAGCACACTTAACGGTCTTTCCAGCCTGATTACTCCAAGCAGTCACTCAAGTGTCGGTGCGGTCGATTGTTGGCCCTGGTGTCTCAATACCCAACATAATCGCCATCTTCGCAGACCTGTCTATTAAACCCGGGGGTCTAGACCACGTTCGACATCCGGGGACACTGGCGAAGAAGATACGAGGGAGCCGCATGCTCTAGAAGCTTTTTTTCATTTCTCGTTTTTTTTTTTTTTTTTTTTAGAATTTTGGAGATAACCCAACAATAAGGTTGCGGTTACGGGACGTGAACAAAGAAATCTCATGCGGCAAACCCAATCGACAGCCCGTCCAGATCGCACGTATAAGGTTTAATTATCAAGACCATCTGAGGCCAAGCTATGAATTGCAGATAATTCTAATCATAACTCAAATTGCAAGCCATCGGATATGCTACTTGCGGTCGGATTTCATCAAATCCCTTCCTCAAGGGGTGGTGCGAAGGACGATTATGAAACCTTTGATAGTGGGATGATAGACGTTGGTATCGATTAGGACGACCGCATAGCTAGTAAAATCTTGAGAGCCTACAGCACCAACTAGCCCGCCGCCAGGAGATTCAATGTGATAGCCCTGCACTCGGCAGAAACAGAAGGAGAAGGGCAGATTTCACCACGTGAGGAGGTCTCGGCGCTCCGGGCTTAGGCATCGGCACGACGAGCTACCAGCGGCCACATGGGAGCGCTGGATGCCCCCCTCCACCTGGGATGATGGATTGATGTGGGATCTGTTCAAGTTTCAGCCGTCCATATTCCTCCTCCTTGACGCGGATTTTGTGGTGGTTGGCCCAATCGAACACAACTCACACCTTTTAGATCAGGGATTAATCCCAAAATAATCGTTTGACAAAATCCATGCTACTTTTAATCACGTAAACTGACTTACAGGGTGGGCAGAGCATTTTAGCAGTCCAGCAACATGGTTGTCACCAGATACAAACCCAGGAACAGAAAAAGTATGCAAAGGGAAGAAAGACATGGTATTAGTATTATCAATCCATTATCAACCCCATCATCCATGACCATACGCGGCACATCAACTCTCAACATGGGGGAATCATCATGCATGAATATATAAGCTTCAGAATAGCCCAACTCAACCTACTCACCAGCACCGTAAACGAGTTGAAGCCAAAAAGTAAGGCCTCACTCATCGTCATCATCCTCGATAAGACCAAGTTTATCTAAGGTATCCACGAAGTTTTGAGCCGCAGTCCGCAACGCAAGCAGGGGAGATTGCTCGAGTCGAGCAGCCACTGCGGGTGCTATTTCGACTTCCTGGGGTTGGTGCCCGCCTCGGCGGGTGAAATAGTATTTGCCCTGGTGACAGGACCAGTGCTCGTAAATGTAGGATTGTAGTTCGCGGGCTGCATTGTGGCGGAGCTCGGGGAAGAACGCTGGGGCTGTAGGGGCCACTGGGTGGGAAGTGAAGGCTGCGGCGTACTGCGTGAAGTCACCGCCACCGGGGGAGACGGCTGCTGGAAGGTGGTTGTGACCGTCATTTTCTCCGGGGTTAAGGGAGAGGGCGATAAGAGCAAGTTGGCGGAAGGCCCGCAGCTGGAGGAGGATGTTGTCGCTGGCGGCTCGGTGGTCTATGGTGCCGCGGTCGATGTAGTCCACAATCGGCAAGGCGGACGTGATCATTTCCAAGAACGAAGCAGCGGTCACCGCTGCGGCGGGGTCGGTAAGCAGGTTGACGTTCCGGAACAAAGGAAGTTGCAATGCACGATACGATGGTCCGAAGACAGAGGCGACCATATTCAATACCGACCCCACACACGCAGAGTCTGTGGAGTCGAGGGTGAAGAGAAGCTCCTTGAAGACGAGGCGGATGGTATGCACAATCGGCCGGCTCACTATCCAAGCCGCCCGGCTGCTGAAGGCTGTCTCGAGGTAGGCAGGGAGAACAGCCTGCAGCATCGTCGACCTCAACGTGGGCTTGTCCGAGCTGCCGCTCTCATAATTCTCGCTCATCGAGGAATGCAACTGGTTGACAAGGTAATCCTGTTGACCATCTATGGCCGCCCTCTCCGAGACGCTCTGGACGAACACCACCAGCGTTTTCGCCCCACTCTCGACTGAGACCTTGGGCTCATAACTCTTCAATCTGGCGACGATGTAGGTTGGGTCCGTGGACGGCAGCGGGAAAGAAGCTGGATCGATGAAAAACGGATCAATAGGGCAGATTTGTCTGCTGTGTTGCTGCAGGAACCCTACAACTCGATGGACGAGATCGACATAGGCACCCTGAACGCTCTGGGTGCCATTTCCTAGCTCCTGATAATTTGCCTTCATCGATGACATCATTCTCTGGATTGCCTCGGCGTATTCTTGCTTTGTGCTTGAATATTCGCGTGCGCCTGCGTCTTCAAGGTCTTGGAGGTGCGAGCGCATGTTGGACAAGAGACTAGATATCAGCGACAACCGTCGCTGGCTGATGTCCTCCAAGCTGAGAGAATATCGTCCCTGCTTGCGGTCCAGGGCAAAAGGCAAATTCTGCAATACAGGATCCGTATCCTCTTGATTCAATAACGCCTCTGTTAAGCGGTGTTGGTATTTTAGTAAGGCGACCCTTTCGACCAAGCTGGCCATCCACATGCCAAGGATCTGGACTTTACAGTCGACGATGCATCGAGCGTCTTTTTCGATGCAGCTTGCCAAGAAAAAGGGCGTGAACTTCCTTGTCTGCATAGTTGATCGAAGCGCTGCCCACGAATCGCCGTTGTAGGGAGTTAAGTAGCTGTGCCAATGTCGCAGTCCGTGCTGAACAAGTGTTCGTGCGATGGAGGTCCAGCATTCGACAGCACTGAGAAGGATTGCGTCCTCAGGACAATGGTCTTCACCAAAGCAGTTGGAGACAAGTCGGGACACAGCGGGGTGGAAGACCTGCTCCACATACTCGATCTCAGGTGCTGCTGTAGTAGTCATCTCCCCACATACAGCTTCAATGTCAGTCCAGTCCCCATACTCTTGGCTGTCGTCGTCCAGCGCAACGGGTGGACCTGCTGTTCCTGGGGCCTGCGCTTGAGAAGCGTTGCATTTCTCAAGATAGGCAAGTACCACCAGTAGAGATTCAGTGACAATGATATTGACGCGAGAAAGCTGGGGGTTGAAAAGCCCTAATAGCGCTTTTACTGGCATTTTTGACACCAATTTTTGAGCATGCTCCAATGTCGGTGCCGCTTTGACGGCACCTCGTAGATTGCTCAGAGCCGTCTTCAGCAGCGATTCAATTTGTCGCTGATTCTGCGCTATTGTTTTTTCAACCAATTTATCGGAGAATTTGTTTGCAACTGTATTCTGGGCCTCAACCTCTTGCCGAGCCATTGCATGCTGTTTCAATAGCTCGGTCACGAAATAGCAGTGCCAGTCCGCAAATGCCTCAAGCCCCGAGGTTTCTTCGTCAGTTGACAGCTTAAAGCGAACCAATCGATCCCAGGAACGAAGACTGATATTGCATGTTTCCCTATGAGAGCTTGCAGGATGAACAAGATCCCGAATGGTTTCCAACCGGGGTCGGCATCCGTCAGGAACTGCGTAGTACAGCGTGCAAAGCAGGTCGTGATGGTTTCTCAAGGCATCCAAGTCGGTTTGTTGGATGGGCTTTTCCTTAGGGTACATCCGGCCATGGTTAGGCAACAGGCGCCAGGCAAAATTTCGCACTTTCTTTTTCTCGTAGGACTTCGCCAACGATTTCAATCCACTTGCAATGATCTTCAACAAGATATGAAAGCATGGCTCGCCAGGCTGCACGTGCAACGAAGGATTGCGGTCAAGCTCATTGAGGAAAGATGGGGACTTGTAGTTCTCTTCTTGCCTCAAATTGTACAAAGTATTCTTGGCGAAAAAATCGTATAAAGTGTCCAAGACTGGCTTGCAATCCCGCCAACCCCAACCTTTGATGAGGTGGAAGCACCTATGAAACAGGGCCCGGCAGTAAATTATATATGAGACAGGTTGCCCGACAGAAGTGGCTTCATAGCTTTCAAGCGCAGGCCGCAGCAGCAGTTTGACCACGGGCCAATTGTCCTGCTGTTCACGGAACCGTGAGCCAATCTGGGCAATGCCACGAACATCAAATTCGTTCAGAGGCAAGGATGTGAACACGTTCCGCCATGTAGCTTCCAGCTGAGAGACATTTTTCGACTTGCTCAAGTCGCCCTCGTCAGCTAGTGTGTAGGCCTGGGCTAGCAGATCCTCGAAATATCCTTTCACACTATCATTGCTGCGGAGCACATGCCGGACAATCACATATGCTTGAAAGGAAGATCTGCCGCTGCGAATGCCTCTTTCGCGGGCCTCTGAAGACTCCAGATCTTGTAGGTGCTTGCGAATACTGGACTGCCCCAATTCGCTTGCGATAACAGCAATGGTCTGCTTCGACGACAGCTTCAATGAGATCATAACCTCGTCAGCAACACTGCGTTCGACAAGTTCATGTCCTGCGATCTGAAACAGCAAGTTCACGAATACAGCGTTATAAGAAGAGATTGTCAGAAGGTGATCCATCTCCGGCTCAGTTGTCGGGACCAACGTCGCCAAGGTGTCATTGACCTTGCAAACAAGGCTATGCGCTCGCCTCACAAACCCCGTCCTATCGATGGGATCGATGAAGGACAGAGTGTCTGTGACGTATTTGATCAAGGAACGGTACACCATGCACCCTTGCTTGTCGACACTTCGAGTGAGAGACTGTACTGGGCCCTCGACCGATCCGTCCAATTCCTCAACAATTTTGTCGAAAGCAAGTCCGAGACCGGAGGAAACGGCATCATTCCAAGCACCCCAACGGTGACATTCATCTTCAAGATGCAAAGTGAAGAATTCAGCGTCAGTGTCGAGGTTTCTGGTGAGAATATTCAGCGAGCGACAAAACTCTCCGCTTCCGATAAAGGTTGACTCATGAAAAAACGTTCCTGAAACCAATGGAGAAATGTTGAAGTCAATGGTATATGTTCGCTTCAACCCTTCAAGTGCCTCGACGGGGCACCCAGAGGGCTGCGGTTCCTCGGCTACCCAATGCGAGTCTGAGATTGTGATTGTCTCTTGAAGAGGCGGCTCCTGTTCTTGGACCGTATTGACTTCCAACCGCCTTGGTGGACGCTTCCTCCCCTGACGACTTTGCAACCGGGTCTGTACAATTGGGGGTCTGACGCTCGTTTTGTCAAGCATCTGGGCCGTGGCGGGTCCATTTGACTTCTCGGCCGAAACAGGTGTCGCACTGCGACTCGCGATGAACCTATCCATGACCACGTTTTCACGCCTTATTCGAGGAAGGTTCTTACCGCGGTAATCTCGGTTCAGCTGCGATAGTGATCGTTGGAAAGACACCGAGGACACAGGTCGACCGGCTGGGTTCACCTCTTCGAGCAACGCAGGTCTAAAGCCATTTCTCGTAAAGGAGGTGACTGCAAAGTTCCTTTTGACAATCCATCTATTACTTGGTTGCTCTGGTCTACCGGTTTCACGAGATACATCATCACCATTTGACCTTTGGGGCGGAATTGTTGATTCCGTATCACGAGGGTTCTTCTCAACTCGGACACTAAGTTCTCCGGAGTCTCTAGACGGATGTAATGACGATAGTGAAGATGCCATAGTCGTTACAGGCGGTCGACCTGCTTTCATGCCGAAACGATCTTGTGTCTTCGCATGGCCTTCTCGCGAGGTCTGCTGCTTGAAAGGTTTGGTTTGCATATGAGACAGTCTGGTTTGTTGAAGATTACCCGATCGCCATTCATGCAACGAAGCATTCGCATCTTCAGTATCTGCGTGCGAATTAAACTTGAAGACCTTGCGAGACGGGCTTCTCCTTCCCTTATCCTGGCGAGTACGCGCCTTGCGTGCGGCAACCCTGAGAAACTGTGGCTGTTCGCTTCGAGGTCGAGAAACAACATCTGGTGCATCCAAAACACCAATCTTAGGCAGAGGTGGCGCTCTTCGTTTCTCTTGTTTCTGTGCCCGGTAAATGTGATCCGTTAGCCTTGCTTGTCTCTTGATATGAGACCTTTTGGATACAAGACCAGTAGAAACACCTTTTTTTTTTACGGTAGTGTCTTTCTTTCCCTGCTTCCGAGCTTTTAGGCCCGACGTAGAACGAGGGACTGGGGGGAACATATCATCGATCCGGTTGTCTTCTGGGATGTCGTCATCCATATCGTGATACAGTGATGTATGCTCGTACCCTTGTCGAGCCGCCGGCGGACGTGAAAAGAGTTCGTCGTCGGCGTCTTTGTCTTCTTGATCGTCCTCGCTGTCAGAATCGGCAAGCTGTCGCAGTGCGTCTATTGAGCCCGGCAGTCTAGCATTGCCGCCATGTTTCAGCACTCGCCTAGCAACACCCTTCATCTCGTCCGTTCTCGCAGACACCCTATCATTGTTCCGCTGCGTTGAGCCAAGCTGCACCTCCTTCTGCTTTTGCTGATCCAATCGCAGCCATGATGCTGGAAGCACTCCTTTAATACGTCGCTGATAACGCCGCCGTGTTGCAGCTTCATCCTCATCAGACCTTTCGCCGTCAGTCTCCTCCCGCTCCTCTTCGCTAAGAGCCTGAGACCCTTCCTGGACCAGAGGACTGGCAGTGGCCTCGAAATGCTCATCATCCATACTGCCTTCAATCTCAGGTGCAGACCAGTCCATGACATCTCGATCAGTGGTCGCAGCTCGTGGGCCAGTACTGGGAGTATTCAACGCAGGCGTGAAGCCTCTAGGGAATCGAAATGTGGTGGAAGGTTCCTCATCAGATGGGCCATCATCCTCAGAGCGGGGTGGGCTCGGGATTTCGAAGATAGGCTTATTAGCCTGGCTAGCGGGGGATGAGCCGTTATCGATGACGACCTGTAACCGGGCTTGGGTCTGAGTCCGAGGAGTTCGCTGAGGATTTGCAGTTTTGGACACCTTTCGCCTCTTTATGGTAGGACCCGGGAGCCGGTTAGTAGACTGAGCTCGTGGCGCCTGATGGTGTTGACGCTCCGGAGATGATTCACTTGGCCTTTTCTCTACAGGAACTCGAGTCTCGAGTGGAGATGACGGCAGATATTCAAATTCAGCTCCCAGACTATCGGACATTGGCTCTGGTTGGTCGACATAGTCCTGGTTCTGACTTTCTTGAGCACCCGGACGATTGATCTCCTGCTGGGCCACGCGCACTGGTTTGACTCCTCGCGCTCGCATAAGGTTGCGATATTTCACATCTTCCAGCATGTACGGATGCAATTGAATAGCCTTGCGCTCTCGCAGAGATCTCCGCGCTGGTTGGGAAAGCTCACGAAGTAGCTCTTCAGGAATGTCCAGCGGCGGGAGCTCCGGTGCCGATTGTTGTTCCATTGAGTCTTTCTCGGTCATACTGTGTTCCAGGAGCGTCTGCATTGTCGGCCATTGCTCCTCTGTGTCCTGGTCTGTCGAGACTTGCTCTGTGAATTCCTTCTCCATGGCATCCTGCTCCGTAGAGTTTTGTTCCGGCGAGCCCTTCCCTGGCAAATCCAAATCCATCAAATCCTCCAGCGTCGTCTGGTCATTCGAAGCTCCCTCTTCATGCTGTGTCTGATTATTGTCCGCGGAATTGTCCTCTTGATCCTCCTCATCGTCAAAGTCCAGGCGCAGCGAATCAAGGGACGAGAGAGGCGACGACGGCGTGGAAGAGTCATGATCCTCCTCCGCTGGTTGTGGTTGACTAACACTCTTGACACGAGTATAGACCCGGACCGGCTTTCGAGGTCGCATATACTCAAACTGTAATTCGTCCTCAGAGCTAGAATCATCCCAAGTAGCTGCCTTCTTTTGTGCCCTTGGGGTCGATGAGGCGCTGCGTGGAGCATCTCCTAAGGCTTGGTCCGACTCATCCAACTTCCCACTCGCTCGAGGGGTGGTCTCCTCTGCCGGCTGTTCCGTTGGTGCCTCTTGGTATGCGTGGTCGGCCGTTGCCGTCGGTTCGTGCGTGGGGAGATTGTGCGTAGGACCCTCTTCAACGCTCGAGTCAAGTGTCGAAGAACGAATTAGATCGCTACCATTCACATCCTGCGAAGGATCGGTGCCTCTTTCCTCCGCTCCAGTGACCCGTGTATTGGTTGCGACATCTTTGACCACCGCCGCAGCAGTCGCCGAGCTTTCGACCGCCCGCTCGTCATCCTTACGGGAAGAATTGAGCGTCTCTTGGCTGTCGAACCCGTCCTCCGAGTCTGAGTCCGGTACAAAGCCTCGCTCCCGCCATGATTCCATTAGTATTCCTGGCACGAATGGCCCATCTCCCTAACTCTCCATCCCGTGGCGACAAGTCTGTGGTGGTGGTGGTGGTGATGGGTCGGAAGGAGGTGGGCGCGTGTTAACGCGGACAAGAAGGCGCAGACGGCAACAGCGGGGTTTTCGCGGCAGGATGATTTTGCAACTGGGTAATTTGTAAGGGTAAGGGAGATTGCGTATGGAGTGATGATGCAAGCCCTTTTCACGAGCTTCTAGACCGTGTGTTATGAATGGATGGTGGGTTTGTGCTCTGAGGGACGCAGCTACCGTAGGCTTTGACGCGTCAAAGAAATTGTGGGGGGCCGGAAGACGCGCCTCAATTAGGCGATGCGGCCTTAATTTCGGGGCAGGCGTAGGCAGGCAGGCGCTTACCCGCTTACCCGCTCTCCGCCTGCTAAATTATACTTGGTGGCTTGCCGACTCGGCGGGCGTACAGGATAACCTCACTTTGCTTCAGTTTTATTCTGTTTGAGAAAAGTTGAGATCTGCAATTCAATTATGTCATCTTTTTCCGAAGCTTATGCTGCTTGTTAGTTTAGCTCAGATCTAGATCTGCCAGCATTTGTGCAAAAATGAGCGTTAAGAATGGTGCACTTTCGGCTCTTTTGTAACTTCATATATATCAAGTCTGGATCTTCAGCATAAACCCGAGGCACCACCAACCACCTACCAGTCTAAATCCCTGTGGGTTCCCGAACATGACTGTTGATCCCTCGACCAATCGTACATCCCACCTCTCGAAATGAAGCTCTTCTCATCCCAATAGACACTCTCAAGTGCCCTCTGAACCCCAACTTCCAGTATCGAAGGTGACGGCTCACGACCATCTCGATCCAAAAAGTGCAAATGCTCATCCAGGATCAAATATGACTTCGCCATAAGCGCATTCGACTCCGGTACAAATGCCCTCTGTCGGCGGCGAACATCACAGAAATGAACAAACTCCTCGTCCCGGATTAGGAACCTGCGGGCATCGCGAAGCCTTCGTTCCGAATCATTCTCCCCCGGAACGAGCAGAACCTGGAAGCACTTCCAGCGGAACGGCTGCAGCTCCTCGATGAACCGGTTCATGTCCTCATCGAAGTTGAGATGGCAGACCACGGTGTTGATTTTGAACTTGATCCCGTACGCCCGGCAGAGGTTCCGGACCTCGTAGAGCTTGGTGACCTGGTTGCCGGAGCCGCGGCCGATGGCAACGTTGACCAACTCGTTGAACGAGTCGCACGAGACGGCCAGGATGTCGATGTTGCATCTGTGTCGGGCGAGGAACCGCTCCGTCACTTTGCTCCCGTTGGTGACGATGGAGCTGGATTCCAGGCGCAAGGTCTCCTTGCGGTAGTCGGCTATCTGGCCTAGTTTCTCCGGGTAGAGGAACGGCTCGCCGCCGGCGAAGTTGATCTTCCGCATGCCTGCATCTTTGAGGAGGGTGAGAGCCTGCTTCATGTTTGCGAGGGACTCGATGTGTGAGGAAGATGCGGTGTGAAAACAGAAGCCGCAGGCTTTGTTGCACCGTCGCGTGAAGTGGTAGTTCACGGAAACCGGGCACTTGGATGGTTTCGAGGGTTTGTGGGTCATACAATAGCTCCGCAGAGCCAGGTATATGGTGAGTGCCAAAATCCATGACAGTAGAAAGACCCAACAACACATTTTGTCCGTGTGCGGAATAATGAGTAGAATTCGGAAGTTTCTCAAGGAGATCACAGCGTAATGATAACAAAGTCAAGGTAAAGCAGTGAATGAAGCACACGGGGATTATAAGTAGTTCCTAAGTGGATAAGGTAGATGACCCTGGCTCACTGCTCTTGGGCATATAGCTTCTTGTACCCAGGAACGCAACTTCATGAACTCCTTTTGCTGCAGAAAGTCATCAAAATCAACGATCAATCCATCATCAGTTCACCGTAACACATGTCGCGAAGAAAAGGGAGTCATTGATATACGCCTCCAGCCTTTTCTCCACCACGCTCTAGGTCGATCGTTTTATAGCACCATGAGCACCCAGAACCAGCCACCCAACATCTACCTTGTCGGAGCCCATTGTACCGGGAAGACGACCCTTGTCGAAGGCCTCCGTACCCACCTAACAGCCAGTCTGGTCGCAGAACTGTGTGGGGAGAATGCCGGAAGGCCCGCGATCATTGACGAGCTTGTCCGGAAAATCATGCGCACGGACGGCTTCACTGCAAGTGATGTCAGAAACCCCACTGCGGGGATCGAGCTTCAAAAACGCACCATAATAGCCCAACATCAAGTGGAAGAGAAGCTAGAAGGCAAATGGTTTATTTCAGATAGATCAGGAATCGATCCTATCGTGTACGCTGAGGTGTTCCTGGGACGACCGGCGGCTGAGGAGCTGACAAAACTGAAAGAATGGCGCGTCCTTCGGGAGAAGATAGAGAAGGCATGCGTCATCATTTGCGAGCCCCAGAACGCGAGCTGGCTATCGAGCGATCATGTCCGCGTGGCATGTAACGATGTTGAAGAGTGGCGTTCGATCGCCGGAGCTTTCCGGACTGCTCTGCAGAGTCATGGAATTTCTTATGTGACTATCCCGGCTGGAATAAAAGACTTGGGACAACGAGTGCAATTTGTTGAAGGCCTTTTCAGGTCCTCTGCCAAATCGGGGATGTTTCAATCATGAGACCAAAGAATCGGGATAGTTCTCGACACCCTCCTTGCCTGTTTTCAGATTCAAGAAGTCCGCTGCATGCTATACAGCCGGGATTGTGAGTCTTCTACAGGCTACTCATCATGACTACGAGCTGATCCTAAACTAGGAGAGTCATACTATCATATCCAGAGTACGACTCAGGTGCCACGAATCCATTCGAGAAAGAAGCACATCTCTTCCGATTAGCAAAATCCATGATGGTCATGTTGTACCACAAAGCATAGAGAGGAGATTGTATCATTGGACAACACTGCAAGGCGCATGCACTGCGTACACAAGCCAGAAAACAGAAATTACGAAACAGAAGACACCCCAAGACCCACGTCCCAACGCCCAAGACAATCCATAACTCCCAAACTCACCTCTCCTCAAGCCACAAGAATCATAACCAGCCTTACTTCCCCACTCCTCTCTCAAAGTAAGCCGTCAACTTCCCCTTGGGCACACCCACACAAAACGCCCAGTAATAACGTCTCATAAATGCCGGAATCCGTTCATCCATCTCGGCCGTCTTCGACGCTCTGCACCGTTCCCTCTCAATCCTAGGACGATCATCCCTGCAGTTCCACCGCAATTCCAGCTCCACCTCCCCGACGGTATGCCCAAAGTCCGTGACATCCTGCACGATCGTAAAATCATTGTCCGCGGTCCAGCTCTCGCGTAGTGTCGTAAAGGACGCCATCGGCGTCAGCCCAAACTGGTTCGTCGCATCGCTTCTCGTTTCGCCCGTGAGCTCGGCCAGGTAGGCAGAGATGGCGGCGGTCGTGGAGAGCTCCTCAAATCTGGAGTTGGAGTAGTTTTCGCCGCGTCGGATCTTGACCTGCCAGGTGTTGTTGCGCCGGCGGACCCTGACGCCTCTGGCGGAGAGGAAGTCGGCCGAGTCGTAGTAGGTATCGTGGAAGATTTGCGTGCCGCGGTAGAGGAGGCCGTGGAAGGGCAGGTGGCCGCTGTTGAGGTGGAGCTTGTCGACGGCCATGCGGCGGAACTTGCGTTCGACTTCTAGAAGAAGTATTTTGGTGTTATGGGCTTCTTTGTGTGACAATTGAGATGGGCGTTGAATTGGTGTTGTTGCTGAGGAGACGTACACTTTCTTTGTGAGTTGTCTTGTCGTAGACTGGATAAGCACGGATTTTGGTTCTGATCTAGAGCTTTGTCAAAGTATCTTAATGCAGCTGTTGCTCATGTTAATGTTGTGGTGATTTTGTGGGGGGGGTGAATTTGTTGTGTGCAGTCGATGTAGATGGAGAGAGCACAGACGCGGGATGGTCTCAGATTACCGAATTCAGTGTCGTAGGCTTCATTCACTACATAGTGCCCTTCAGACATCCCGCTTTAATTCACAAATGACCTTCAATCTCTCATGGAAGCCTAGATAAGAAGATTCTGATGTCTCTACTCTCATACCACCACTACCACTGTCAACATCAACAGAAAACACATACCATCCACTAGCACCACAAGCACCACAAGCACCATGGACCTCCGCCGCTTCTCGCGCACCTATGTCATTGGTAAGAATTCCAATCATCATACACAGAACTCCGTTCTCCTCTCAGCTAAAATATGATTGCTTTGACTACAGGAGCCCCGGGCGCAGGCAAAGGATCGCTGTGCGCCAAGCTCGCAGCCGACCTCGGGTTTCATCATCTATCAGTGGGCGACCACCTGCGACAGCTAGCTTGCTCTGGCCGCATGGACCCTGAGATCCTCAATAAGATTCAGAAAAGCATCTTGCTGGACGTCTAAGACCTCGTACCCATCCTGCGCGAAGCCATCGCAGATCTCAAACAAGACGCCCAAGACAAGCTGCGGCTGCTCATTGACGGAGTGCCACGCACCCTTGAGCAAGCAGCGCCAATAGAAGAAGCGGGAAGTATGCCCGATGGCTCAGTACAGACTACTAGTGCTCAATGATGAGTTAACGTTTGGTTTTCTAGATCGGCTCGCCCTACCTGGTCTTGTTTTTCGATTGTCCGGGAGCGCTAGCCAGACAGAGATTCTTGACCAGGCAGCTTCCCGGTAGAATTGACGATGGGTCGACCTTTGATGCGCGGTATCAGCAGTACTGTGCTGAGAACACGAGGATTCTTGCACATTACCAGAGGCGAGGGGTATTGGTGAAGGTATGGGGACGGATCTTGCTGCTGGTGTTTGATCAAGGTGTTTGTTAATGATGTTGCCCCTAGGTTGATACCAGCGGTGATATCGATTGCCCTTATGCACGGCTGCTACAAGGTTTGCCTTCATATGCGAAAGAGAGTTCTGAAGATGTGGAGGTCTCGAATAGGAATGTTTTGGGCTGAGGTTGTTGACGCAATTTACTGTACATTACACCTGTGCCCGGTCCGCAGAACGTTCTTGGAGACTTTTTGAATGTTCATTGTAGTATACCGAATCGGTCTTCGGAAACCAAGCCAGCTTCGTCACGAACGTCTTTCAAGATATTTTCGATGGCAGACATTTTGCTAGTAGCCGCTTATGATGTCATAGCCCCAGCCCAGATATGAGGAAGAGAATAAAATACGAACAGGTATCGTCCGTATTGCTTACTGGCTAGTACTGGCCCGGTCTGAAAATCGGGCCGTGCCGGAAGAACACCAACGGGTAAGGGGCCCACTGGTAAGGGGCCCACTACCAGCAAGCGGGACCCCAGTCGCAAGGTTGACCCGTTGATCTGCAGTGGGTCGACGGGGTCGCTGCCGAGAGGCGATAGCGGACTATAACCTCGCGGGCGAATGTAATGGTGCCGCATTGCACACTGTATCTTTACCCTGGCACATACTATAGGAAGAATATCTGGCTGTTCTTTTTCATCAAAATATGAAACCGCAGAAGTAGTAAAGAATTGAATATGCAAAAAGAAAAAGAATATGTGTATTTTGGGCAAGTTAGAGCAAAAGGCAGGCAGCGTATTAGAACTACTCACCACGATGCTGATATAACATGAGAAGAAGAGTATACCGGATAAAATAGAAACGATCTAGTGGGTTCCAGATCGGGCATTCTAGGCTAGCCTATCGATAACGTCTGCTTACAGGTTAACAAGAGGAATTCTTGAGGCAAGGAGGAAGATATAGAAATTGGTACTTGTATGTAAAGGGGGGAAAGAATCTGCGAACCAGGATATAAAGATTAGGTGGTGATGCTCCCCACGCAGGCAGTATAGAGCTGGAGCTCAAGTCTCACGCCACTATCCATACTCTTCTTACTGAAGTTGAAGTGAAGTACATGCTGAAAGGGTGGAACAACTTCCGTGAAGGAGGGGCCGGTTGTATATGCTTTGCTGAGACGGATTTATAAATGGGTTTTAAGTTTTTCGTGATGAGTATTCTCTTTCCTGTACTAACTTATGCTAAACAATTTACGAGAGAACCTCTGTACATCTGGCCTATGTTGGCCAGGGCTTTTAGCCAGTTTCCACAACCGCTGTGGGAACGCTAGGAATATCGAAAGCCTGGAGCCTGAAGAGCGCCTTTTCTCTGTCTAAACTAGGTATGGTTGGAGTCACCCGGGCCCGGGCCTCGCCTCCTCGGACCGATTGAGGACAGCTCACCGCCCCGGCCGCCGTGTAGATAAGGTAGGTATACAGTACTAAGGTAATTCCAGTTCCTCCTAAATAGCCTGGAATCACCATCTTCATGTTTCCCCCACACCTATGCCTTCATCAACACCTCAATTCTCAATTACCAAAATGTCCCGAGTATCGATTCTTGATCTGCCGCCCGAGATCCTCGGCCAAATTTTCCAGGTCTGCTTGCAAGACTCGCGACACACCCTCACCGCCATTCTCCTCACCTGTCAGCGGTTCTACCGCCTCGCCCTTCCCATTCAGTATCACCACCTCAAGCTTTCTTTCCCCTGCCAGCCACGAGTCATATGTCTGCATCGCACCCTGCAGTCAAACCAGGCATTGGCGTTACTTGTCCGGTCTTTGGTCCTGGATCTTAGGCCGATATACCCCGCTAAATATATCACAGTCGACGACTATACGGCGGCAGCCGATGTCCTCACCTGGTGTCGCGCGGTCCGCATACTGAATATCTGGGGCGTGGCGTTCCTCGCACCTAGGGACAGGACCTACTCACGGACTCAAGCTGTGTCAGGCCAGATTATTGACCTCAGTCGGTGGGAAATTCTTAAATATGCTCTCCGGCAGCTCCCTGCCCTGAGACGGATCGAGCTGGCAACTGAACCTGATTCGCCCGTCTATGGGTTTGATTGTCGCTTCGACTGTCGGCTACACGGGCAAGAGGAGTTACAAAGACTGCCGGGCACTGGCACGAAAGTTTTTGAAGCGATCAACGAGAGGGCGCGCAAGAGTGGTGACGCAATACAGGTTTTTCTTTCCCTTTTGTTCTCCTGTCCTTTATCATCTCGATTTTACCCTCCTTCTCTCCCCAAGACATTAGGTTCCACCTTGCTAGGATTTATATGAAAGTGATAATTAAAGAGCATCTAGGCTGATCTCAATACTTTCTAGCCCGTGCCGGTACAGAGTGATGTGATCGAGCCACGTCCCATCCCCGGCGACCCGGTCGACTTTTGTATTGCATTCGGATCAGGATATGCGACTGAGATGGCCGCAGAAGCAATCGTCGACAAATACCTCTTCTCTGCCTGGTTGAAGGCGCATCCGTACGTGCTACGACGTATAATTCTCGGGCATTCTCCACTGGCTGCCGAGCTTCATGCGGCGCGGTCGCGCAACCTGCGCACAGTCACCTGTCCCGGGTCCCAGGAACGATCTGTTCCTCCTTCGACGATAGCCGAGCAACTCCTGAGCCCAACCGTGCCCACGTTTGTCTGGAACCTGCCCTTTCATGAGATGGCGTGCGAAGATTTCGGGGAACGGGAAGAGAACTGGCTGCGGGGAATGGCCAAATTCATTGCCGTCGCCACGCCGGACCTTGACCCCGCGCTGCGGACGATTCAGCTCAACCTCGACCCGGACCCGCATCATTTCCTGCCCACTGATCCGGAGGAGTATCCATGGGACCGGATCACACGATTGGAGCAGGAGATGCGGGTATTGGGGTTGGAATTGAAGTATACACCTCCGAATGTCACTCGAGAAGAGTATGAAGAGCTTTACTGCGTGAGTCAGAGGATCGACGATGAAAGGAGAGACACGGCCATAGCCTAGAGAGGAGCATCGGCCGTAGGACGATCTTGTACTTGGAAATAGTATATCTATCGAATTTTCGAAGCACGATAGCTTCGTGCTCAACCTGGCCCAGCCGGGAATATCCCTCTCATCCATCCTTTCGTGTGCAGGCACACGATCGGGACGCTGCCTAAGAGTTCCCACATTCTAAATTACAATTCCACATGTAGCTTCGATCGAGTAATACTTGAGGGAGTCGATATTCGACAAACCCTGTCATTGACTTTACAACGGTTGACGAAATTGTTTGACTATAACTCGCGCAGCATAAGTAGGACACCTTAGCTTTGCGCACCAACAAACGATACAGCTGGCACGACGAGGTGCTTACCTCTGCCCCGAGCATAAGAACCACGGACTCCTCTCTCTTAGCAGTATATCAACCACAGAAGCAACTAAGAACACACTACACAGAGCAGAAGCTCGGTCGAGAATAGGGCGATCCTCGCTCTCAGAACATCCGAATCTCAACCCCTACAAAAAGGACATTAAACCGAGTGGTAGTTACAAAGAAAATCTATTCTTATCTTCTTCTGCAGCACTCAAACGGACCAAGTAGAGTGATATAGATAAACAACCGGCCATCCACAGACCCATCAACATTGATGTCCGCCTCCACAGTCTTGGTGACGTTCAGATCCACGGCCCCATCCGCGTGCACATCCATCTCCACACTCACAGCGGGCTCGGGCTCCCGCTCTGGCTCCACCACATCCGCCCGAGGCTCGAATTCATCCGTTTCCTTGGCGACGGACACCAGAATAATCCTTCTGTGGGCTCTCACGTATATTTCGGTCACCTTGGAAGGCATGTCTTGGGCTTGCTACCTGACACTGGCACGCCCCCTACGAACTGCTGCTCTAGACGGATGGAGGTATTATTAGTGCGGAGGCGTTGGCTGGGATAAGATTACGCTTCGGGCGTGCTATGGAAATGCAATGGAGCTTAAGTATGGAACCTAATATAAGAGCTTTGCTAAGACCTTTAAATAGTAAAAACTTTATCGCCTACTTTTGTTGGATATAGAACAAAGGTGAATGCTTAGCGCAATAGGATGACATATCCTCAAGACAAACAGCCAATGTCGGTAATAAAGAACCATTCTAGAAGAAAGTAATGGGATTCGACACGACAAACCACCGGAACAAAGAGATTGTGTCAAGATGGCAATGTTACAGGCAGAACAAAAAAACATACGACGTGAATCTAGCAGTTTCAGTTGTCAAAGGTACACTGTACAGTTCCTTGAGTGCGGTAATTTGATTTAGGCCAGACTCCTTGCACTGATTGATCAGAATGACCAAAGCTAACCAGTCGACTTCTGCAGTGTACCTACCTAGTAGTTTCTTGCCTCAAGCTCAATCTCGCCATCAGACTAAATAAACAAGACATGGTCGAATCGGGTACAGTACATCCCCGAGCGGCTTAGGCTTAAGCTTCGGCCCACGGACTGTTCCAAGTGGCCGGAAGAACGCCTGAGCAGCATGCAGGGTTGAATCCAGCCCAAATCCGGGGACAGATCACGGCCACTATTCCCAGATTCTCCAGTGCCAGCCATCGTTCAAGTTGATTTTCCGGTGCTACAATGTCTCCAGCACCATTGCCACGACCGAGAACCGCGTCTTTCCCTTCTTCGGGTCAATACAGATGGTGCCTGAGGAGAACGCGATCAATCGGTACGGACGTTAAGATGTGGGTGTGAGTGAAAGGGGCTTCTTGGGTTCACAATATTACATGCTTCCCACAGGCAATGTTTAGCAACGGACAATTCGACCCGTGGCAAATACAGGGGGCTCATGCCGATTCGACCATCAACCCCGCCGCTGCGCTTTTCTTGGTCCTCGGCCATCTTCGTGCCGCAATGCAACAAGCCTTCACCCGGAAATGCCGTCTTTGGGTTACGCAAAGGTCAATCAACACGTCGGATAATTGAGAGAAGACAATTTGAGGCAGCTCACGTTCCGAATTCACCGGTCAAGGCCTGGAGATATCAAGGTCCTTGATGGCGGTTGTCCAAATCCGTAGACAAACAATGCGAAAAGAAAAAAAAAAAGGGGGGGGGGGGGTGGACGATACGAGAGTCCAGATTCATAGCAAAGGGCAACCAACCACTTTACTCAACCGACGGATCTCTTGGCGAATGAACCCTAAGTGGCATAAGCAATGGGTGGATCTATTTAATAAGACCGGTCCGCACTCGGCAACAAGAGCCCCCAAAACTGTCAGAGATGTGACCTGACCCGGCATCCTACGTGTGCTGGCTGGACTGAGACTACTTTAGGCTACAGGTTTCTTCCGATCGGGTCCGGCGCCTAACATTTAGCCCTAAGTATTGACTAGCATCCAATCCTACGCGAGAAGCTGACAGGGGCTCTGATCAAGGAACAACAACGAAGCTCTAATTGGTAAATGTCATGACGCTCCATACCAGACCGCTTCTCCGACGGCAATCCGGGTGGCCAGATGCCTTATCACGGAGACACTGACCGAGCATGGGCAAAAGCTTATCTCTGGTAGGAACGCAACCACCCGAAAAGGGATTCGATGTTAGACTGCACAGTATCTAGCGGGCTGCGACAGACTCTCTCCAGCCCTTTCCAGCCCAAAGTGAGCATTGGTGGCACAGTTAGCGCAAGTCCTGAGAGCTGAGGCAACATGCTCCGCCCCCCGTTCGGGGGCATAAATATCCAATCCTTTCTTGCCTTCCACTCCTACCCTCTGCTTTCCATTTTCATCCTTCTCACATTTTATTTGTGTATTCTATGCCCGATTAAAGGAAGCAACATGACAGAAACAGACGTCGAGGTGAGTGTCTATCTTATTTTCCCGGATTGTCGAGACTCGATCCCATAACCGCATCTCATCAGGTGACCCAAATCAACCTGCTGCCCACATTGAAACCCACTAGCCCCGAGGCGGTCGAGAACCGCTATGAGAATGTGTATCCCGCGACGACCGTGTCAGATACTCTTTTAGCAGACTCGGGAACTGGAGCAACGCCATTCCCGCTGACCGACTTGGACCGAGGCATTGTTGGGTGGGATAGTCAAGAAGACCCGTCCATGCCCCTGAACTTCCCCAAAGCCCGCAAGTGGATACTTATCAGCCAGGTGTCGGCAATCACCTTCATCCCTCCTTTGGCTACAACCATTGTGGCCCCGGCCGGCTCGTACATCAATGCCGATCTCGACAATTCGAGTGCAATTCTGTCCAGCTTTGTGACCTCGACCTATCTCTAAGGTGCTTCCTTTTCCCCAAGAACTATCACTTTAACCACTCTTATTCTTCCCGGATTGATCTAACACGTGTATATGTGATATGACAGGCTATGTGGTCGGACCACTACTCTTAGGCCCGGCCAGCGAAATCTGGGGTCGACGCCCGGTGATGTCAGCGGCGAACTGGTCCTTTGTGGTCTGGCAGGTATGCTGTGCCCGGGCACCTACAATAGGAGCCTTGATCGGGTTCCGCTTCTTGGCGGGAATCGGAGGGGCAGGTTGCATGACGCTCAACGGCGGGGTGGTGGCCGACCTGTTCGTGCCGGAAGAACGGGGCGGGGCCAATGCGATCGCGGCGGTAGGCGTCATCTTCGGCCCGGTGCTCGGCCCCATCTGCGGCGGGTTCATTGCCGAACGGGCCGGTTGGCGCTGGGTCTTCTGGACGCTCTGCTGCGCCGGCGGGGTGATCAGCGCCGCCATTGAGCTCTTCAACCGGGAGAGCTACGCCCCCGTGCTGATCGCCCGCAAGACTGCGCGCCTAGCCAAGGCGCTGGGCCGTTCGGATCTACGGTCCGCCTACGAGAGCCAAGATGGGCCGAATCACAGCAATCGCAGCAAAAGTGGCGCCAGCACCTGGCGTCGGATGCAGCGAGAGGTGACGCGCCCCTTGCGCATGCTCTTCCTCTCGCCCCTCGTGGCGCTGTTCTCCAGCTACATGGCTTTGGTCTACGGGCTCTTCTACCTGCTCCTGACAACTATCACCACCGTCTATCAGGACACCTACCACTGGTCGCCGGAGCTCACGGGGCTCGCCTACCTAGGCCTCAGCCTGGGATTCCTGGCGGGCCTGCTGAGCATCGCGACCACGAGCGACCGGCTCATCGTCACGTTGACCGCGCGCAACGGCGGTGTCTACGAGCCCGAGATGCGGCTGCCCTTCATGGTGGTCTTCGGCCTTCTGATCCCCGGTGCCCTCTTCTGGTATGGGTGGACGGCCGACCGCGCCGTCTTCTGGCTTGTGCCATTGATGGGCCTCGTTCCCTTCGGCTTCGGCATGCTGGGCATCTTCTTCGCCATCCAGATGTACATGATCGACGCCTTCCCGCGCTACGCCGCCTCCGCAATGGCCGCCGTCACTGTCTCGCGCTCGCTCCTCGGCGCCCTCCTGCCGCTGGCCGGCCCCCCGCTGTACGACCGTCTGGGCCTGGGCTGGGGCAACTCCCTGCTGGGGTTTATCGCGTTGGCCATGATCCCCGTGCCGTACTATCTGTGGAAGATGGGCCGGTCCATCCGGCTGAACCATCCTATCGAGCTGTGATCTTGGTTTATCCTACTCCTGCTATGTTGAGCCCCCAAGCCCCAGATGTCATTCGGGAAGGGGACTTGTGACGAATGATGAACTACGCCTCAGGTGGTCAAATTGATCGGGGGGCTTAAGATTCAGGATGTATACACAATGTGAATGATATAGAAAAGTATAGAAACCCCTTCATCCAAGTCCCTGTTCACTATAGAGCTTCCGAGATTATAGCTTATTTCAGTCATAGTGAGAGAAAGCAAAATCCGAAGAGATTCGGGTTCCAGCACACAACTAGAAGGATTATTTTTCCCCCGAGGCAACTCTGGCACATTGCCGAATAACAAGCAATCTGTGGGTACTGCTTACCATACAAAGTCGCAATATACAATAGAGGAAGGTCCAAACTGAACAGAATAAGAACTAGTGGAGAATTGATGTGATAGAAGGGATTTGCTGGTGTCATTCGCCCAACTACTAACCTCCCGGCCCGGTGTATAGCTTAAACACAGCCCGAAGATGGCTAGATCATACATTAGTAGGTTAGTAGATGAAGTTGAGTTATATAACTTTATTTACCGAAACTCTGATATTTCCTTGGTAGTATCTTTTGAGCAACAATAATAACCAATAATCCAACAATACGCTAATAATACTAGATCAATAAACTGAGCTAAGACTGTCTACTTTAGGTTTAAATAATCTATAATCCTATTTTTTCCGCCTGGTATGTCAAGAACTACATAACGGACTAGAACACTGCGGGTTAGGCAAGGCAAAAGCACTATCAAGCTTTATTGCAAGGCTAAGCTGTGAGGTTCTGAGTCCCCAATGCTCACGATGTTGATATATGTACAACTCCAGGGGAGAAGGGTACAACCCGGACGTGACCGTAACCGCAATGAATCAGCGCCGAGACGGGAGCGGGTGCCGTAGTCACATGCTCAGAGCTATCGGAGATCCTTTAAATTGTGGCTTTCTTGCTTCCCTTGCCGCAACTTCAACACACTGTCTTTTCGCATCTCTCACTGCGATGTTCCCACCATCATATACAGCTTGCTTCTTCTAACATGATTCGGACAACCATAATATAACTGTAGCTGGTTATGGCTCGTACCAGTAAATCAAAAGCCGCGAAGTTCAATGCACGCACCTTGACTAAGCTTCAAGCGGCCATCGAAAAGGATCCGGAGATTGACCTAACCGCGAACTTGCCCTTGAGGTATTCTGATCGTTTAAATGAAATGCGACAGGATGTCCAAACTGGCAAGTAGTTCTCCATTCAAGCAATTCAGCCTCTAATATGTTTCCCCCTCGAAATCTAGAGAATGCGACCGTGGTTGAAGGCTACGGAGAAGACGACATGCGCACTTCAATCCGCTCGTCCGACTCGGCTGAGGTCATTTTTCCTCTATCCGACACAGTTCGAAGTCTGCTTGGGATGTCTAATTCGGCCGAAATGCAACCGCAATGCCTTGCGCAGCGACTGGTTGATGTCATAGGCTCAAGCAAGGTTGTCTGGAAGGGGCCCTTTGCCCGTCAGAAAATGGTCTTGAGCTGTGGTCATAATGTCATTTTGAAGGCCGTGCGCAACCTGGACGATACCACTGAATACACAACACTAGCCTATCTTCACCAGCGTAAGCCGAACATAGCCGCACCAAAGCCTCTTGGTTTGATTCGGTTGAACGATATTTCGCTCATATTTATGACTCACTTGCATTCGACCACGTTGGCGGAGGTGTGGCCATCTCTAAAGACAGCCCTAAAGGTCTCGATCAAGGAACAACTTACCTTGATCCTGAATGACTTGAGGTCTTTGCCGTGTGAAACAGGCAACCCCTTTGAAGGGGTTAGGGGCGAAGGCTGTAAGGACATTCGAAGGCATCTTCGTCGGAGTATCACACCCATCTTAACTGTCGAGGAGTTTGAAGGTTTTCTCTTCAACAGTGATCGAGCTGGTGGAGAGGTCTTTGTTGAATTGCTTCGTCAGCTTTCCCCTGCCACTCAATCACCTTCGCCTGCAGTAGTCTTTACGCATGGTGACCTTCGTCCAGAAAACATTGCCGTGAAATATGAGAACAATGAATTAATCGTTAGTGAGCTTATTGATTGGGAATACAGTAGATTCTACCCAGAGTATTACGAAGCGATCAGGTGCACAAACTGCATGGCGCCTTATGATGAAAATGATTGGCACCTATTTATCCCGGATTGCGTCTCACCGAAACGATACATGCATTGGTGGCTGCTTGACCGGGCTCGAGAAGTGAGAAATGTGTAGATAATCATCTGAGATCCCTGATCAGAGTATCTTAGTCTCGCAAAGGCCAAGAAAGGGATAGCTCCGGTTCAGATACTGTGCACCTGAGCCAACTGTGCCTCTGGTCCTTTCGGGGAGGAAAATACTCTTATAGGACATGTGAAGATAACCGTCGCAGACCCTGTGATCAGCCCTTGAGAGGTGACAAGGCTTATAAGACGGGGACTCTGGCACTCCCAATCCAGCCCTAAGTGGGTCTAGACTGAGCCCTGTTCTCTCTTAGACCCGGGGGAAAATGGATCAAGTGGGTCTTTTGTAAGAATTTGTTGCGGACGCTGGATTCGCTGAGGCACATACAGGCCGCCGGTTGGTCGGGGCGCTGTAGCAGAACGGACCGCCCCGAACCATGCCAGCTGGCTGTCAATGAGGTACCACTAGATCTCGATGTTTGCCTCCTGATGCTACTAGGTACCCCCGCTACATACCGCATTCAGTGACTTAATGCTGGTGCAGCCACACAATGCCTAGCACGCCCATGCCTAGGGTTTCACCCGCGAACGGCTTGAATAGGGCGCTGGAGTCCCGCGCGGGAGGGTGACTCGGCTCGAAAACCTCCCCCGTGAAACCAAGACTTGATCTCTCCGTTAGCTGGCTAATCAATCGTCCCATACCCGGACACAGACCGTGTCCGGGGATGCTGGTACACGTTTGGCGCGGCGGGAATTGAAAGTATGGTCAAGGGAGGTGAATTCACCATTAATGAGAAATCTGAGAACAGTTAGAATACCAACAAGAACAACATGATTAGTCACCTCAGCAGATGAAAGATGCGGTTCAGTAGGACACCAAGCTTGAGACCGAGATCATTGGGAGCATTACTCAAATACTACTGTATGTCTCAGTGGCTACGCAGAGCCGCAGGGCTCATCTCTCTCAACCCGCATTCCGCGATGAGTAGCTCCTTGTATGCCCCAGGGTGGCAAAAATGGCCAATAAATCCACACACAGTGGTCAGACCTTCTCCTTCCCAGCACGCTTCGTATTTTCCTCGAGTCTGTTCGTCAGCCAGGAAACAGACTGCTTGATATCTTTTCCATTCCCTGCCGCGACAGGGCGGAAGACCTGTGAAGCGAATTAGTACTGTTTTGAAAACTTTCCCTCGAGAAGCATCATATCACGGGAGAACTTGACGTACCCAGTCGACGCCTAACTCATCCAAACGCAGAGCAGCGACCTGCTTTTGGGCGATATTTTCATCCTTTTATTTAGACCAGCAGATGACGAAGTCAGCCAACATTCCCTGTTAAGTTCCCCGCAAACCCCATTCAGAATTGCGAAAGAAGAGACTTAGAAATAAAAGAAGAAGAAGAAGAGAAACGAAAAGAGATTCTATACTTACCGCTACCTCCCCCTTGAACATCACCAGTACCAGCCACGGAATTCCCTGTTTCGCGACAGGGAAAGGCTCTGTCCATCCCTGCACGCGTCGCCCGCGCACCACTCGTCCAAGCTCCTGCCGGAGCTCGTCAAGGGTAATTGGGTCCGCGACATCGACTGCGACAATCAGCGCGTCCACGTCCGCATAGGCCTGGGCCGTGAACACGTGCCAGCGCCCCGGGGCGTCGCCGCCCACGTCCACCATCCGCAGCGCGAGGCCGAGCGAAGGGCTGCTGCCCTCCTCCGCGATGTGATGCTGGCCCTGCAGGATAACAGGGCGGATCGGGGTCTCACTGAGGTGCTCGAGGATCGTTCGTTGGCCCGCGCTGAGTAGACCGATAATGGCTACTTGAGTCAGGGGTCGCGTGTTGTGGGAGGAGGAGGAGGCCGAAGTCGGGCCTCCGAGGAGCGCACGTAGTCGAGAAAGGAATGAGGACATTGGACCCGGCAGAATTGTGTTATTCTGATAGTAGTCAAAGGGAGAAGGGAAGGGGAGACGGGAGTTGATAAGGTGTAGTTGCTGTGCATTACTGTCCGATCTCGGGCGGCTGAGTTAGTCCACTAACCGGAGCGGGGGGCTAAGCATCAATCCATGCAGGTTCTTTCGGCTACTTACTATAAACATGTTAGCTTATGTATAGCAAGCTAAGAACGAACGAGGTACATGTATATGAGATTTGACTTCAATTTGTATGATCAAGCAACGAAGACCTCACTCGGAAATAGTAAAAAGGTATTAATTGACCAGTCAGACCTGCAAGAAAGACGACACTTGGATTGCCAAATCAATTATGCAATCATCTCGTGCTCGACCACTATCTGATCCGTCCGGTGGATCTCTAGAACCGATCGACCCGGAATCGAATACTACGTCCGCAAGTCACTCGGCAAAATCTCCTCCTGACTGTCGCGTCGCACCGAGGTGGTGGTGGGGATGGTCGGGTCTGTGAGAGATAGCATCGTCGAGCGGTTGTAGAGTCGGGTTGCCGAAGGCGATAATAATGAGGTTTGCTTCAACGGTGTAGAGGCATTAGTAATGGCAGCATGGAGGGTCGAGGGCCTCAGATATACTTGTTCCAGAGAACAGGGGACCAACTTGCGTCTAAGAAGTTGTGGCTCGTCTACCGGATCGGTGGTAAAGAGGGAGTGAGAGGGAGAGATACAAGTTGCATCTCAGATGTTGGCGAGGACGTTGATGTGGGTGGTCTCGATGATGGCTGCGCAGGCAGATGTGAAAAGAAAGAAAGATCATTAGCCGCAGCCACGGAGAGGAGAGAGATTCAAGGATAAAGCATATATCGCCCCAAGCCCCAACACAACACACAACGCCAACTTTTACACCGTGACATTTTAAGTAGAATGTGAACAGGTATCGTCTGTAATATTTTCTCAATACCAGGCCTAGTCCAAAAACCGGGCTGTACCAGATGAACACCAACACATCAAAAGTCTACTCCTCTGCTATAGTTCGTATTATTGTTATTATATATGAGTTTTTTAGCATGTCGTTACTTTATTGCTAATTAACCCCGATTTAAGGTAGTTTCAGCTATAGTCCCTATACTATATGATTTATAAGACATACGCCAGCCTATTCGGCTAAACCATTCTACTAAGCTATGATTGTGTTTTATGTTGTTTTTAGACCCCCCAACCCCATATAACACTTCGAAAGGGGGCTTGTGACAACAGTATCACAGGTTGGGAAAAGTTTAAGACCAAATAGAAGAACAACAAGTTCAAAAAAGAAAAACATACAACAGAAGGGATTCGCTGGTGGTCACCCACCCAACTACTAACCTCCCGGCGTGTGGCTTGAGTACGGCTGAGCGGACGGGAAGCCCTATTTTCCACACCCTGTGGTCGTATGTGGTGTTTTCTTCCTTGCTAAAGTATATAATAACCCAAAAAGAGTGCAAGAGAGAACTGCGCGGCAGCCAGCAGTTAGCACTCTGGGAGCCCGGAAAATAGATCCGAGATTCGCGATCTTGTGGGTGAGGAGTTGAAACCACTACTAACCTTAAATGAGCTTCGCCCGGTCGACCGTACAGAGCGGATCGCCATTTTAGATGAGCCTTTT